GGGGCGGCAAAAACAAATTGGCTTGATCAACTACATTTCCCACTGCGCTCCTGTGGAGAGTGAGCTGTAGTTCTTTATAGATGAAGAATGAGAAGAGCGACGCGTGGAAAGAACGGTTTGTCCAACTATTTGTATTAACCACACCAACCAGAGTGCACAGAGGGTATGTATTCAGCACCAACTGTATTTCAGAGATTAACTGGGATCTGCATTATACATTCACATTATATTAGATCTAAACGGGATTTCCATCAGTAACTGAAACCCATCATTTTAAAATAGTGTTTATACCCTACCTCAATTATAACCAATTAATATGGTAATCCATCATGTAGCCTATGACTGCTGATACACTGTATCTCAACACTTTGACTCAAACTAATAGTCTTGTCTTCATGTTGTCATTGTATAATGTACCAGCATATTCCTGTTTTCAGTAAAAACAAAAACAAACTTGTGATATTGTGTTACTATCAATTATTTTAATGTTGCTGCTCACTTAACCAAACCCATAAGAAGTTTAAAATGAACTGATTGCAGTGACGATGCAGTCATCTAACAATAGCAAAACTCATCACACAGAAAATTTGAAATGGAGACTGAAGAAATGGAGAATAAACATAGCCACATAGATACATCTTACTGCTACATTTTTGCTTTGGAGATTGTTTTCAGCACTGATTTCCTCCGATAAGTACTGCGTATAAGTTTAGACACTCGTACCTCTCTTTCACAGGGCTCTGGGATTGGTGAAAGTGGCACAGCAGCTAAATATAGAATGGCCCAGTCACACCCACACATTAGAGCAAGACAGTTTTATAGTTGAATGATGCTGGGGAAATATTATACAACTTTATCCCAACACGACTTCCTATTCTGCTTAACTTTGTGGTTTAAACTAGCAGACTAAAACGCATTGTCGTATACCTGTTAAGTGGAGGAGGGCGGAGCCTGTCTGGGTGTACTGCCATTTATGATTGGTCGCCCAACAAGTCATGCAGCAGGATCCATAGATTGTCGCTTACTAAAATAGACACGTGTTGCCACCATGAGCTACTGATGGACTGATGGGGCAATGTGTTCAAGAAATCCCAATCCGCTGTGGGCACATTCACAGCATTTGAGGCTAATCCTGGGATTCCTGAGGGGAGATATTCCAATCCAGCAGACGACCAAAACCTCCCGCTTGGTGCCAAATGGAAAAGCTGGAGCAAACATTTCCAAACGCAAACAGACTGTGCCAGTGTACGTTAGCAGAGCCGGGCAAGAGCATAGGCCCAAACTGCATCTCGTGTTTGGTTTTAGGTGAGCTGATAATCTCTATCATTAATTGAGAGGCAGGGGCTAATCCACAAAGAAGGGAGGAGGAGCAATGATTATAATATGCCCTAACTGCATTTAGAGGAACACCCTTTTACTGATGCAGACAGACCACTATATATACAGAGTTTCTTTTGTTTTTGCACATTCTAGTATTAGACAACAATTGAGTTCATACACAATTAGTTAAAAACATTTCAAGGCCAAAACACATGCTCCTTGATTAGGCCAATCTCTTCATGACTTCACCCTAGCAATGAACAAGTGCTAATTACATTTAACCTACTATTTGTAAAAGAGATCGTTTTCAGTTGAGGCACAACACTATTAATAGTTGAAGCTGCAACAAAACAGTGGGAGAGGACTATAACAAACGATGGTGTTCAACTTGTTATTCAAAAATAAAGGTGTTGGTAGACGCTAGAGGCTGCAGCACTGTCTTTCTAGAAGCAGCCCAAGAAATTCAAAACAGGAAATTAGACTTAAGAAATGTTGCCAATGCTTTGAGAACCATTTTGTATTATCACAATTGTGGGTCTTCACTGGCACATAACTAATAGTAGGATAGTTGAATGCACATTTTAAAACACGTCCAAGAACATGACTATTTGAGAGAAAAAATATAAAGAGCAAAATGATGAAAGAATTTCATACATTTCAGAACACGTACAGGTGTAATAAAAGGGGATACTTTGTTGTTTCAGATTAAGTTATTACAAAAATTTAGGGCTAGACAATAAATCTAATTAAATCAATTCATTTGTGTTTTCAATAATCAAGATTTTGAAAAATACTTCTGACTTTCATATTTGCAAAGCAGGGTTATTATGCAATAAAATATTTAAATTTTAACAATTAAAATTAGATTACATATCTATACAAACTTCTTAAATAATAAGATATAAGAGTGAACTTCCCCTTTATGAAAGACAAGCAGTCGCTGCTCTAATAAAAGTTGTAGTTGTCCAGTGTGTGCAAAAAAAAACAAACATTCATGCACCCAAACTGTAGGGGTAATATCATTCACTCAAGCAGACAGTGTAAACCTGTAATGATGGCCAGAAAGTGCAATGAGGAACCAATCCACAGGCATCTGCCATTATAAACTGTTTGGACACAACCACAAAGCAGTGAGAGTATTGTAGGTCAGTGTTGTTAGTGGGCTGTGTGGGTTTGAGAATGTGTCAACACTGGGAGGTGCAGGGGCCTCCAGAGGTCAAGTGGGCATTAAACATGGCTCAGACTACAAAGCAGTTTACTCGACAACAGAGCTCCACAACTGGCCCAGGGAGAGGGTGAGAAATATTGGGCCAGGCATGGGATGTGAGACAGGGAACACAACAGCTGCCTACAGCCGGACAGATGGACAGTGTGGTCCAATCAGAGGAGTGGAGGGAACAGTGACATACATTCTGCATATGGCGCATACTTTCAGTCCAACAAGTGATTAATGTCCCGTTACACAGACATAATCTCATAATGGTTGCTCAGCAGCTGACCCTGGACATGTCACTTCCAAACCAGCTGTTGTGGGTCAACAGAAACCTGAGCCAGGCACAAGCGCATCATCCTAGCAGCGAGGCGGACTTCCCACATTCACAGCGTGCCACAGATTCCTTCCAGAGGGATGTGGGGGAACGGCAGGAATTCTTCAAGGATGAGGAGGTGGCCAGGAATAGTGTGTCCATGCCACGGACCACTGGCCTACATCCTGAGGCAGCGTGCTTACAGCTAGGATACAGTGTTGTTATATTTATTATGCACATAGATAATATGAAATGTGTCACCGTGGGGGATATTTTGAATCGACAATGGACATAATACAGCAGTTATGCTAGTTAGTTAGTACACAAACTCTAAAACTTCAGTAAAGACACTGTTATTGTTGTGTTTTTGTTGCATGCATCAAATATTGATTGCACTCAAACTTGCAATTCCTTGGTGCATCAGTACAAGGGTACAATTTTGTGATATTTTGTTTTGTTTTCTGTTCGACTTCTGTTTGCTCAACCCCTCTGAAACCCCACGAACATTTATTTTACATCTAGTATAAAATGTTAAATTATTTGTTGTTTTGTTTCAACTGATACATGTGTTTTATTTATCAGCAATTGAATTAAGAAGCATCTTTCCAGCACCTCAGTTCTGCTCACTGATCCAAACCTCAAATAGTAGGGTAGACTGATTTGAACGCAATAATGGGGCCTGGGTTACCGCGGCAACCCAAACACAGCAGGAGAGATGCGGAGGGGAAACAGACCTGGGAGTGAAAGACCGCCTGCTACTTGTACCAACCAATGCTTTTTTTGTTTTTTATTACCACTGGATCAATTTCCCACTGTGAAAAGGGCATAGTTTTGGCACCAAATGTGAAAAACTCTTACTTGCAGTTCATGGAGTTTGCTGCTGTAACGCTATCTCAGTATTAGTGTTCAAAGATGCCATCTAGAGGCAAACCAGGGAGCACATTTCAAGACAGCAGAATGTTATTAGAGCTGAACCTATGAATCGCTATAATCATGACTAGTCAAATATAAGTTGAAATAGTCATTCTCATATTTTAACAAGCAGTCACACTACTTAGACTACACAAACTATAATATATAAACATATTTTAGCTTTTATTTGGTCAAAAATATTTGGCCATTGTACAAATAGATAACTTGTTTGACTAATGGAAAAAAAAAGCTGACTGGTTGACTTCTAAAATAATGGTTAGTTGTGGCCCTAGCCATTATAGAGTTACACTGATTAAATTAAAGTCCGAGCATTTGCACTCAAAACTACAGCAGCAGAGAGATGAAATGCAGTGGTATCCCTGTTCCTGAAAGCTCTCCTCAGCACATCTGTCATGGTCCAAAAGCATTAGAGCTATTACATAAGAGCACACTGACCCCCCTCCTCCATGTCCGACCAGAGCTGAGAAAGAGGCCAGCAAATGGACATTATCCCCCAGTGTCTTATAACTAAGTGAGACCAGGGAAAGTCGACCGTTGCTAAAGGTCTTCTACTGACTTCTATCATCGACCGAACCCAAAAATGACTCCCTATAATTGCCATCATGTTGTTTAGTCCTGTTCCTCCTTCTTCACCAGAGCTTGAGCTGCCTCCATAAAGACCCCAAGGCTAGGAGCAACCTGCCAACTTGCTGTCCTCATTTGTATGAAGCAGTGAGGAGTTGGGATTTTTAATGACAATGTGGAGGGGGAAAAAATTGCAATACAGTGATTGGAAATTCTGTTTTAAAATAAAAATAGGATACCACAATGACACTTTTCCATGCCATTTTAAACGCATCGCATCACATAGTGGCTTGTAAAATAAGATCTACTAGCAAAACTGTTTTTACAATTTGTTGTTCAGAGTATAAAGATTAATTAGGCTACTTTTCTCTTAATAATAAAAAATTACATGCCACAACATTAAAGAAACAAGACATTTAGATTTAATAGTCAACCTATGAACCCAGATGAAACAGGCTGCCACACTAATCATCATGCTGTTGCTATGGAGACGCAGGTAACCAATCAGGTAGAAAATGGTGGAAAAAATGCTTTACTGTGTGAGAAACTGCAGGAACAAAATCTGTGCATATCATTACCATTGCAAAACGTACATGAATGTTTGACTCATGATAACATAACACAGATACTGACAGCTACACATGGCTGAGTGTTTACCTGCTATCTGACTCGATACATCTCCTTTAGACTCTTTAGGGACAGATCCATCTGGAAAACACAGATAGAACGCATTGGTTAGGCTTAATTTTTATGTTTGTATTGTGATGTTGTAATGATAACACAATGCGAAAACTGTACAGATAAAAAAGGTCTGGTATATAGTTGTCCACCTGACAAATATTATAGCATAACGTTACAGATCAGATGATTTTCAGCACACATTTGCACTGAAAGAGCTTATCTAACATCAAATAATGCAAGTCTTGGGACCATTAGCCTAACCAGACATCACCATTATAAAAATCTATTAGAAAACAGGGTAAGACTCTGCATCAAATCACCCTCTCATCTGGCTGTAACTCATGACCCACCCCCTTCTTTCTCAGCCCAAACAACAATTGGGGCATTGATGGAGCCTATAGCTGTGTTTGTCCGTGTGTGTATGTGTGTGTGTGTGTGTGTGTGTGTGTGTGTGTGTGAGAGAGAAAGAGGAGGATATGGTCAGTGTCATGTGCTGTCAACATACACACAGGCTGGACACTGGGCCAGCTGAGTCACTCACACATGCTCTGTCATGACTCAGGCTCTTCTGCATGTTGTTACAAAGTACTGTGCAAGGGCTGATATGACAAGAAGGACCTCTGGTTCAAAACAAGATTAAACATTAGCTTAAAGAAGCTAAGATTTTATCTGCTTTTCTATAACCAAATCATCATGTTGTGCGCATAGAGCCAATTGTGAAATATATTTAGAATATGATAAGTCATGCTTGAGAAGTGATTAGAAAAGCAGAATCACGTTACACGAAACGCCCCAACTTCAGGGATAGTACTTTCTAATAAAAAGCATTCATTTAGATGCCAGATACCTTATAACATAAAGACAAAGAAATGTTTTCATGTCCATTTTGTTTACATTACTCTCGAATTATGTGTACATTGTCATAGTGTTAGATTTATCATGTGATGAAACTGGTTTGTCGTGGCTGCTGAAGTAGGCTATCCAACCAAACAGCTGATGCAGCAGTTAGCTCCTAGCACTTTCCATCAAACACATATAGAGGCATAAAACACAAGAGCAAACACGTTATCAACTAGAGTCAATGCCAGAGTGGTTTAGGATCTGATGATCAGTACATGGGAAATCCAAGCTAAGAGGTGGAGACAGGCTTGAGGGAATTCTTCTCTATACCTGGGAAAACTTTACACAGAATGAATGGGATAATAAAGAAACAAAGGGATGAGGACAAGAAGCGAGAGGCAGACCAAACAGTCACATGTTTCACATATTTGCAATGCCAAAGACGTCCACTTAAGCAGCAGCGTGCTACAATGCAAAAGACTACAGTAGTGGTTTTCCGGCATCTTATCACAATTTAAACACTAAGACTTGCAGCTGAGTGCGAAGTCAAACAAACTGCAACAAAAGGAGCCATTACACAGACAATAAGACCATTAACAAACAATAGATGGCACATAGTATTAAGTGTGAGAAGTTGTTCCTTGGAGATACTGTTAAATCTTTCAGTTTATTCAACCACATTGAACACACAGCAATGCGCACATTCTGAGCCAACTTTGTTAAGACCGCTTTGGGACTGGCCTACCACAAGGAAGTCAGCCAAGTCATTAGCATAAACACAGCGCTAACTGTTAAATGTCACTGAGGAAATGATGACGCTTGCTTGAAGTATAAATGAATTCATAAAATATCTTAAAGCAGACATATTATGCAAGTACTTGTATTTAAATATAACATGAGTAGATCATCCCTCTACATTTTATAATTGCAAACCACAATACTGACCCAAAATGGCTTAGTAATAGAAAGTCCATAGACTTTCTGTTCAAAACTGCAGAACTGATAGCCCCACCTCTTCATAGTGGCATTTCACCATGGCAAACAGAAAATTTGTATTTACATGTTTTTATTTTTGAAAAGTGGCGTGTACATATAGCATTCAGTTGCCAATATCTGAAAAAAAAAAGAGTAAGTACCAGAAAGTGGGTTGAAATAATGGGTAGGTGAAACTGAAAACAGAAATTTTCTGAGCACTCAAGCCGCAAATACAGAAAAATGCAGGATTACACAAACATACATGAATCAATCTAAATACAACTTTGTGTACGCTAATGATGAGTGAACACAGTTATTCCATGGTTAAAAGCTCATAAAATAAAATTATGTCCTTAACTTTTGCAGTGAACTTATCCACACCCTTCCACAGTGTCTAACACTATCAGTACTGTATCCACAAGCCTCCAACAGACAGTTTCTTGTTATTCCTAATCCTGCGTCAACACAAGAGCACAAGACCACCCTTCACTTGGGCCCCTGCCTTCCCTTCTCGGCAGGCACACTCATAGTTTGACTCATAGGTTCAAAAGGAAAAGGCCCATATATATTAAAATACCCATTGTCTGGCTCACATTGACAAAAGGCACTGAGCAATGTATAGTGAGTGTGGCCTCAGGAGCTCAGAGGCAGTTATTATTATTACTCTGAGGGTTTAGAGAAGATCTGCCTGTCAGATGCTATGACAGCACACTGAACAGTTGGCATTACCTGGGAGATTAGGGAGGTTTCTGTTGATACTTGGCAACTGGTCAGAATAGGAAAACAGTGGGTATCAGTAAATGTTTGTAGTACTAAGGAGGAGTTCATTTCTGAAAAAAATGCTGGATGCCAAAGCAAAGTGTCCTTGTTCAACATTTAATTAGTAAAGTGTGCAGCAGCCAGTAGCATATTGGATCATAGGGATCAAAACATTTTATGTCAGTCTGACCTCAGTTTAAGATGTCACGTTATCATAAAAAATATCTCTGCAATGATAACATATTTTAGAAAATTACCTATGACATAGCATTAAATATGATCTCTTCAACTGAATGAGGCATTCTTTTTGTAATGCTGTCATTGGTCTCAAAGTTCTCAGCTTAACTACTTTATTAACAATTACATTAGACACAAACACTTCCTGTTTAGTAAGAGTCTGATCATATACAATAAAATAACCATCAATTGTGCACTTAAAGTGAACTTACAAATTGTTTCCACAAAAGTTAAAAATGTGGATGCCACATGCTTTGAATGGTTTCAGTGGAGTTCTAGTGTACCATTGATGCACTAGTACCAAGTGTGTTTTTCTTTCTGACAGCTGCGGTGGCCATATAGCTCTGCCTATTAGTATTAATACATTTCAGCTTTCTGTTTGTAGGTGACATTTACAACTTTTTGATTCTAGCAGTTTGTAAACAGCTAACTTTTGTCCATCCAGGTGCAGATGGTATGAAAAAGCACATTAAGCTTCAAAACTCAGAACATTTATCTATTTATTTTCCCTGGTAACTTTGAGCCCTCCCTCACCAAGTCCAACATTTACCTATAGTGTGGATTGATTTCTTCCAGTGTTGGGAAATTTGCTAGAGATAAAATGTTGAGGTCAGACATGAGAAAGTGAATAGACAAAGGACGGGCTTGAGTGAGATAGCAGTTTTCAATTCACCTGGGACTAAGACAAGAGTACAATGGTCTTTCAGGAGTTGTCCTAGTTCAGATTGCTCTTTCTGCTTAAAATAGGAACACATTGGAAAATCTTTCACTGTAATCCAGATCAATTGTCAACTTGTTCAACTGCATTTTCATTTACAAATAGAAGCTTTCCCAAGAGCCTTGCAGTCACATACCACTCTGGTCTTTATCATCATCTTTCCAATAAGTTATTCTTTTTTGTATAATTGTTGCATTTCTTGTCCACCTGCATTGAATAGACCCTTAGTTCTCAGTCACAGCAGAGTAAAATCATTCAGCAAGTCCATTGCTTATTGTTTAAGTTCCTTGTACCAGAATGCATAGCTTAATTGCTTATCAGTGCTAGAGTTTTCACCCACTATTCAATCTGGTCTGAATGAACATACCTCCTGTCTTCTCCATCTTCTCGCCATTTTTCCCTTTGCCTCTTCGCTCATGTACTCCTTCTCGTTCCAGCTTGTTTTAAAAAGAAGAGGGTTGTAAAAGGACATCAGACTTTTCCCTGTGCTCACACCAATTAGCTGTCACGCCAGTGAAATTAGCGAACGGGAGCACGGCAGATGAGACAGAAAAGTGGGACAAGCAGCTTTTTATAAACACACACAGGAGTAGTGCGTTTGGATGAGTCTGGAGATGGGTGTGTGATGGGTCTCCGGTTAATGCAGTTCAACACATCTAATTCACAATTCGCCAATTTGAAAAGCTTTGAAAATGACTTTGAATATCTAAAATAAAAAGTCAGTGCTGAAAAACTTGACTTAACTTCTCACACAATATATTGCCAAGTTTACTCAGGTGGAAAAGCGTAACTGTCCATTCTATGTGTCTGTCTGTGTGCAGGCTCAGGGTAAAAAGTCTTGTAGCCCAACCAGGCTTACATAGACCCACTCATAAAAAATACCACAGGCCAGGCATTGTGGCTGTTGTGGGGTCTGTAGAAATAGAGCCAATCATAAAAGGTACATGATTAATAGTACTTAGGTCGAGACACAAGAGGATATTCAGCCAGATTATAATTCGGATTTGTCCTAGAACAATGTGATTAGGCAGTTTGTCAGGTTGCAGCTCGAATAACTCAAATCATAAAGTATCAACATAACTATGACAGTTTGCTTGCAATCAACTTTGACAAAAACCACTCAGAACAGGGCAGACTGTGTCACCAATAAGGCTGGGTATTATTATGAAGTTGCCAATAAGATACATACCTCGACACATAGGCCATGATAGAGTATGTATTATACAGTTGCTTTCGACTTGATAAATTTCAGATTGATTTGATATGGTTCAATAAAAAATAATGGCTAAATCAGGGCAGTGATACTAAAAGTCATTGTTAAACTATTCTTGTGCAATATTAATACAAAACACACCCATTTTACTGATCAAAACACTGAAAATCTCAAATGTATAGCATAAACAAGTTTCCTTCCTCTAAACAAGCAACAAAGCTGTAGTGCTATAACAAAATAATTTAGTAAAATTTACAAAAAAATACTCAGAGATACATCAATACAGCAGTCCATGATATCAATCCTGTATCATCATTAAACATTAAACAATACGATATGTCCATATTTTTGCAAACCCCCAGACACAAATTGCCAGTGTCAGCTCATATACCTTAGAAACAGTGAAGGACACAAATGTGGAAGTTGAATGTATTGCTGTGTATCCTTGTGTGTTTGGTGTGTGAGGTTGTCACTGTTCTTCATACAAAATGTCATCATGTCTGTGGTCATTTTCTATGTTTTTTTCTTTAATTCTCAGGAAAGAGTTGATGTTACTAATTAAATTAATCTTAAATCTAATTTGCAAATTAAATCCTGCCTTAACATCTCTCAAAGCAAGGGAGGATTGTGAAAGGTAAGTCCTCTATCCTTTCAAACTGACAGTGAGGATTAATCCAATAAAATCTCACCCACAGGCCTAATGCTGTGAAGAGCTAACATTTGTGTACAGCAGAAGGATTGCACCCAGTCAGCAACAAAAACAAAAGCATTTCTTAGGGATATATAAAAGGAAGTAAAATAGTTCCTAGTGAAATGTAAGCTGTAAATTCTTGTTTTGATTCAGGGTTACATTACAGTGATAGACCTAAAAGTTAACACTGACATCATCCATGCATAGGGCTACAAACAAAATTGAAGTACTGGTCTAAGTGGAATGGCTTACAGTCCTAAGATTGAGACAAAAAAAACCCAAAAAACTCTTTAGCAAGACAACATTTCAAAGGAAGGCTTATCCTGGTGTTGACCAAGGTGAGGAAAAAATGTTGCACATTGACAAATTGAAAATTTAACACTTGTTCTTCTGTCAGTAGTCTCATGGTGACAAACTAACCTTTGACCTTTGCATTCATCTCATTTCTAAAAAGGTATTGGTTCCAGAGGTAACACTAACTGACGACATAAACTGGAGACCAATAGATGTCTACATAATGACTGCAGACATCAGCTATTGCTTGAAGCAGAAAGCCTTTGGAATCCAACTGATGGATATTTACAGCGACAGCAGCAACAAGGAACGTAGCCATGAACAATGGTTACAAAGAGGTACTGAGAGTGTTTTTGATTATTCTATAACCAATTTTTCCAACAGAACATAGCCAGTATAATGTCCCTTCTACAATATGTTCAATCACACCAAAGAGTGTGACTGTCCTAATTTTGGACGGGCCAATCACAAGAATTGCATCATGTATCTCTCAAATGCAGAAGACGTCTCCCAAGAATACTCATATAATTCCAAAAGAAATTTATGAGTTTTAACTGAGATAAATAACAGTTTGGTGCTGCGATCGTTAATTCTGTTGAAATCCACACGCAAATGGACAATTCATCTCTCTGACTGGTTATTCTATCTATCAATCACACCCAATTCAAATCAGGGAGACAGGATACAGTTCAAGACTCATTTTGTCAAAGTGTGTGGTTCTCACTGAACATGGCCTTGAGCAGGCAAAACTGAATACAAAATCTGGGATTTACTGTAATTTCTTTGTCCCGTACTTTATACAGAAAATCTAAAGACACATCTTTAGGTTCATTCCTTACTTGTAACTTGACACTATGACTCACTCAGCATGATGCAAATTTAAGAATTATCTTAACTGCAAACATAGTAAGCATAGAGATATACGAACCTCTAGCATCTTTGATGCCAGTAAAATGTACATAATGTGAGTTCCTGCCTTGCACTTTGAATACTGAATATATAGTTACAAGATAGGAGACAGTAAATCTCCTCTAATCCGAACAGTCCCATACAACAGAAGATAAAGGAAAAGCACTCATGTTGGGCATTAGTTGAGCTTCTGTTGTAGGACTTTGGCAGCTTTAAGCCTGAAGAAAACCTTTACAGAGGGGCCTCCATCAGTCTCCATCTCCTGGATCAATAGCCATTAGTCTCTGGGCCCTGGATGGTGAGTGTGCAGACCTCATTCTGACTCGACGCAGTCATAAACGCAGCCCTTGGATCACATTACTCCATCTCTTTAGCTTGTCTGTTTCCCTGCTATGACAAAACAAACACCACTGTTCATTCAATGCCTGGGCCTGTGAACGGCGTTGGGTAGCACCTACATATTCATTCATGAAGTTACTGGCAGCTAACATTCTCCCACTTCACAGAGTAACATAGGCTATCAGCCTCTGAGTCATCGGTGAAGCCCAAGATGTTTGGGATGGGATGACTTGGTGATTGACAGCATGCCACAACAGAACTCCCCTTTTCTCTGCTGAGGGCCTATAGGTATTAATTCCAGTCTGGGGGACAGAATAATGGAAAGGGAAGCTAGTCTTTTTATTATTTTGTATCAGAACTGAGAGGCTCAGAGACTCTGAAAGACAAGGCTATTTGAAGTTGAAACAGCAGAAACACACATTGGAGAACTTAGAAAGGGACAACTCACTGGAAGCACAAAGAGCAATGCCGAAGGACGGAAAAAGAAATGAAGACGATGGGGTTGGGGATGGAGGGAGGTAACATAAGGAAAAATAAGCATAGCCTGTGGCAAGACACTCAAACCTGTGCATGTCAGAACAAGTGTCCCGCATCTGTGAGGAGGAAGTTCAAGAGCAAAACATGAAAAGAAGGGAGCAAGAATGGTGTGAAAAAGCAATGGTGGGCTATGCTTATAGACACAAGGTACCAACTTTTGGGTTGTACAGATAAAATGGAATTTGCCCAGATGTACCAAATGGAAAATTATGATGCTCAAATTGCTTATTGATATAATGAGACAATAATAAATGTACACAAATTAATGAAATTCAGCACACTTAAGAATAAGAGACTGGTCATGAAAAAATGAACTGAAGTATTTGTGATCATTATGTAGCAAGGTATAGGAGCCTATCATTCACTTTCCTATCAGTATGCCTGCAATGATGCCAGGCTTCCTCAAAGGGAGGCGGTGTGACAAGCACTGTTCAACAAGCACTAAAATGTAGGGCACATTAATCAAGAACAGCTGGAGTTGGAAGTATTAGAATACACAATTAAGTTACAAAATGTACATGTAAAAAGTATGGCATCGTGTTTTTATGATGCAAGTGTACTCAATATTGTTTTCAAACATACATTAATAATAATTCTATGAAGGTCAAAGATGGGAAATTAATGAATTTGATCTTGCTGTGGGCCAGGCCAGGGGTGCAACTACCATCATAACACCAATATGTGGTTAATCATTGTAAATAAAAGCTGTTTTACACAATGCCATTAATTGCTGAAGCTGCAGATGGCTTTTTGGCATAAGACAAAGGGTGATAACTGGTGTTTCTATTACACAGAACATATGCAACATCTGCTATGAAGCATACAGCTTTGCTGTATAAAATATACAGTAAAAAATACAATGCAGAGTAAGTATGTTTGTCATCTGAGCAATAACGCAACTCAAAGATTTTCACATTCCTCCCTAAAAGGGAAGCTATCAGATCTGCACAGAACCAATACTCAGCTTCTCTTTGTGGCTCATTATCTCACACAACACTAAACCACTAGAGCCAGGGGCTGGATGTCAAAGCGCTGCATTCACGTTTTTGTTTACAGTCATTTACACCTTCAAATGTTCTAACCAACGGTCACTCAAAACACACTGAAATGCAACAGGGTTTGTGCTGTTGTACTGACGTACTACTTCCAAGTTCTCACTTTTCAGGACTGCAATTACAGGTAATTTCAGGATGGGGGAGAAAACACAGTACCTAAGATTAAATGCTTCTTTCGGCTGTGCTCAAATGTGGCCTTAGAGAGCTGATAAAAAAATATCTGCTACCACCAGCGAGAACTCAGTTTTTTATGACTTAAGTCATAAAATCCAGTGCTATGAATTACTAAACCAGCTGCATGTATCTGCAGAATAATAAACAAGTCTTCATACGTAATTATTTTCTAAAGCAGAGAGTATGACAGCTAAAGCTGAAATCCATTTTGACTTGGACGTGTGAAGTACTGACGCGGTGTGATTTACTATCATGTGTCGCTCTGTGCACTGGCCTAAACAAGTGTGCTACAGTGCTAGCTAACACTCTGAGCACACCCATCCCTCTATGTGCCACGCCATGTATTGTTTACATAGCCCGGTTGCTTGTGCTAATTCAGGAAAAGCACGAAAGGGTCAAACAATGTGCATCTTAAACAATTTTATCATGAGCATAATGGTAAATCACATGCCGGTCCAGTATAGTCATCGATGCAAAACCAGACGCTTTGTCATGGCTGTGACAGAGTGCCACGCTAGTGCTGCTAGCTTTGATTAGCTCGCTGTCCAGCAGACAGGATTCTCCAAATCAGTTTCACAAATGTAGGCTAGCTCTCGCTGCTAACCCTGTAAGCATCCGAGCCAACTAAAACGATAGCAGTATTACTCTGTAACTACGGATTAATATTGGACACACATTGTTTGCTGAAATATTATGTCTGATTCAAACAGAAAACAGGAATTTGCAATACTTTAATCTAAGTTTTAAAAAAAAAAAAAAAAAAAACTAAGCATTGTGTGCTACATGAACGTCTAGACCATACAAAACCTTTTAAGCACAAAGTTGTGTGCGGATGTGTTACAGTAGTACCGATTATGATGCCAAACGAGAAAATGTGCAGTTAAAAATGAAAGACTTGAGTAACAAGACAGACACAAGACAATTCTGAGTTGCCATTTGTCAGAAGCATGTGTCCTCCGTAAACGAACTCCCAACATTAGCGCTGTAGCTAAAAGGTCTCGCTAATATCTCTTCACAACCGATTTCTGAATAAAGTCATGATAATATCCAACATTTCTTTACTGAAATTAGCAATTCTCTTAATGTGTTAATGGGGGACAAAATAGCAACCGATTTAGAAGAGCGTGGCAAGGCCAGTAACGTCCAAACAAACGGGAACAATGTCCCTCATGTAGCATTACCATCAGCGCAGCTCCCAGGGGCCAAACACCGAGTTCTGAGTTCAGTACAGGGCTTACCTGTCTTGAAAAGGGCCGCTGAGTCGCTAGCGTCCTTCGTTGTCTCGTCTGCTCCTTCCCCGGAGCTCATGGCTGCTAGAACTCAATCCAGGAGCTCAGTGTGTCCCAAGAAGACTTCCCCCAAAATAAAAAAATAGATGGCACAAAATCACTTCCCCCCAGACCAAAGAGCCATCAAAATCATAGGGTCGGTTTCGGGAACTGGAAAACGCTAACGGTGCCATTTGTAGAGCCCCATATTAACGGGATGAGTAAACGAACCAGCCCGGAGCACCGGGTTCCTCCTCGGAGTAAAGCCGAGGAAGAGTCGCTGTAGCGCGGAGGTGGGGCCGCTCCGTGAATCTCCGTAAGCTTTCGGAAATGAGCAGACGGTGGGTCATCAAGGAGCGTCTGCGGTCATGTGTGCGTGTGCGACATATTCAAAACATAATACACTGAAATGTGATCCAAAAAAGCCCTAACGATAAAACTCTATCTATCTATCTATCTATCTATCTATCTATCTATCTATCTATCTATCTATCTATCTATCTATATATATCTATATATATATATATATATATATATATATATATATATATATATATATATATATATATATATATATATATATATATATATATATATATATATATATATATATATAGATAGATATAGATAGATAGATAGATAGATAGATAGATAGATATAGATATATATAGATATAGATATCTATATAGATATAGATATAGATATATACTGCTACTCCACTAGGCTAAGTGTATGTAAAACGTTTATAAAAATAATAGCTTATATTTATTTTTCCCAGAAATATCAACTGTATAATGGCTAGTAAAGATGAACGCTAAATGCCTCTCTGACTCGCTGAGCTTTCCTTTTATTGTGCGTTAAGGACGCCATCTGCTGCTGTCATGTGGAACTGACACTATCTGTTTTATTTTTGTTATGAATTGCATTTCTCTGATTACGTTGTTAGCATATAGCATTACATTTTGATTACTGTGATTACGTTACTAGTCTGGCTCACATAGCTGTGCCTGGGCCTAAACCATCACTGAATAGCTGAATTAAACCTTAGGCTACCAAATAAGGATAAATAGTTGTAAGTAAAGGAGTTATTATGACATAATATAACATAACAGAAATAAATTAAAGCATTGTACAGAGAGGTTGATGAAATTGTAGTTTTATCAAGAGAAATGTTTGCATCAGCCATTTGGCAGCCTACTTGTTACACCCAGCAGAGGGTGCAATAACACCATTGATCTTATTTCGAACTTATTCAACGTTTGGTTTGTTAGATAATTTAATTGCAATATTCTACTAAATAAATAGGCTAACTTAATATTGCTTCTCAGTTGAAATCCAAAGTATAGGTTAGAATAGAGTGAAAGGAGAACAGGATCTACTGTCCATTTTTAATAACTCCATCTAATATGAAGAACCCTTTGTCTTCAGGTGCTTTCATTCCCACAGTGACCCCTCCAAACAGCAATATGTCCCTCTGAAATGTCAGCAGTAATTACTCCAGTGCTCTGAGAGAACCTCCAGAACAAATGAAAGAAAACAGGTGCTGATCATGCTCCCCCTTCCTTCATTCTCCTGTCTGACCCTTTGTTCAAATATGCCCACTTTGTCCACTGCATGTTTTTGTTGTTACTAACCTTTTGAACTCCTTTAAATTGGGATGTTTTTTCTGTCTCTATGTGTGTGTGTGTGTGTGTGTGTGTGTGTGTGTGTGTGTGTGTGTGTGTGTGTGTGTGTGTGAGTATGTGTGTGTGTGAGTGATGATGATGATGATAATACCACTACTACTACTACTACTACTACTACTACTACTACTACTACTAATAATAATAATAATAATAATAATAATAATAATAATAATAATAATAATAATAATAATAATATTATTATTATTATTATTATTATTATTATTATTATTATTATTATTATTATTATTATTATTATTATTATTATTATTTGTGTGCATGTCAAGATCATTACAAAAACTCATACCCCTAGTACCCAGACCTGAACAAAGTCTTCTCATAGTTACCCCCCGGTATACTGAATAGGAGCTTTTTCTTTTCTTTTCTTTTCTTTTTAAATTTAATTAATGGGTTAGCTTAATTAAACATATGACTGCAGCATACAAGAGACATCAGACTATATAGGAACAATTCTATTATTTGATCAAAACAAAGAAAAATCACTTTAATCACTTTTATATTACCATTTTTGTTTTATTATGATTTTAATGTATTTCTTATTCTGTAAAGTACTTTGAATTACTTTGTGTACGAATTGTGCTATACAAATAAACTTGCCTTGCCTTGCCTTTTTACGATTTAATTTAACAGTTCGCGAAGGCTCCAGACTCTGCTGTATCGTTTCCTAGCAACGGTTAACGCAGGTACATGCTAGGCTAGTCTCCTGTAGGTAACGCTACATTTGTGAAGCTTTCAATATTTTTTTTTTATTTTTGTGAAAATGGATGTCGAGCGAGAGGCGGAGAAAAGACCGCTCTCCACCTTGTCTGCGTTTAGTTACATCCCTCCCAAACGAACGGAACCAAAAGAAATGTCTTATTTTAACCGAGAATCTCAGGTATCATGGGAAATAAAGTTTGCTTGTTGATCTGCTGTCATGCTTGCCAGGTCAGATTAGTATGTGTTTGTCACATATTTGTAACGTTAAATGTTCCTATTTAAGCCTACCTGACCTTTAAAAATGGCATGTAATAATTTCACTGTGAGGATAATTATTTTAGTGTATTGTTCTCATGATTTTTAGTTCTCCTATGTTTAGTTTTTTATGATGCGTATAACAGTATGCTATTTGAGACAATTTAAGATCTACCATTACACAGGAAATTATTTGATTAACTAACTAGAATTAATTATCTAACCATAACCATAATGGTTAGTATAAAGTATTAAACATAACCATCATTATTAGATGAGGGACTTAATAGCTCCTTGACTAATAAAAAGCTCCTTAACTAGCTTAATGTCTGACTTCTACATTTTCAAAATGTGTTTTTTGGGTAAATCTATTAACACACACATTCTTTTTGACATAATTTTCCCTACAGGATAAGCAGGCACCAGAGATCACCATGTTTGACAGGGTGCACAACCAGGCGGAGGGATTTGACTTGAAGCTACATCGGGATGACAGGAGGCACTGGAAGGGAAGAGGGCTAGACATATACAATGAGGTATTTTTTTATGGAGCTTTTTCTTAAACCCACCTCATTAAATTGCCCATAGTTAAATGCACCATGCAACAACACAATCACACATTTAGCTATTAGACACTGCCCAAGTGGCTGTGGAGGAATGTGATTGGATCAGATAGACTTAGGTTGTTGGTATTCAGTGACTATATTTGCATACCTTTTTTTTTGGGGGGGGGGGGGGGGGGGGGGGGGGGGGGGGGGGGGGGGACAATGTATAACAAATGTTCCTTTTTGCAACCTAGCTTTCAAAAGCATGCAACTTGAATTTCTCAGCTACACCTTTAGATAAAGGTACAATATTACAGGATATACAGTAAACATCTCTTATCTGGTAGTGATAACCAGTTGTTCCCAAGGTTATTTGTCCAAAAGTGTCCAGTAGGGTTAATTAGTTTAATCAGTGATCAGAAAGTTATAGTTTAGAAATGCTCAAAACTTATTCATATTTAGTATATTGTTTGTGCTGTTGCAATACAGTATTTAAGTCAGTGTTGTAGAGCAGATTAATATGAGTTATTGCTTATTGTTGCATGCCGGCTAGGGAACTATATCTGAAATGTTTACAATTTGTCAGTTGTAGTAACAGTGATCCTCTGTTTTCATTCATGCTTGGCTGGAGTGAATCTCCTCCAGTTGCGTTTGTTTACATGTCCTTCTTAAGGCGGTGCTTCTCTGTGGAGTAATTATTCATGTGGTGAAACCTAGCTCACAGTGAGTTTGTGGGCCAATGAAGAGAAGAAGGCGAGTGAAGCGGGCAGGCTCAGCTTAGATTGTAATTACAGTCACTTGAGTGATTGCCAGTCAGGCAGCTGCTTCTGAAATGTAGCTCTTTAAATTTAGATGTAGTTTTACAAATGTACATTTTAAATTATTTAGAGTCAAGACTTTATATGTAAAAAAAAAAAAAGAAAACTCACTAGATTATCTATGTCCATAAAGGCACATTCATGGCAAAAAGGTGGAACTTGATAGTGAAAATGGAAAAGAACAATTTCCTTTCAATTTGTTCCACTACAGGGGGCAGGCAGTGCAATCAGGTGCCTCTCAACTACTGTGATTTGGGGCCCAATTTTAACTCTGATGATCATTATATTCTGCCCTACTTCTGAATCAAAATACTACAAAACTGCAACAGACATGACACTTACTGTATTGTATCAACTAACATAAATAATGAAGAGACCTCTAGTTCAACTTCCTTAGTATTCATGTTTAGGCCATTTCATGAGCCCACTATACAAGTCTCATTTTAACAGGTTTTGCAAGAATTATGTATATAATTTTCTAAAAGAGGTTGTGTCCCCAGGAGAAGTCCCGAGTGGTCCCTGTGCGTGCCTCATCAGAGTACGGCCATCGTCTGGTCCCAGTACATGGCAGTCGACCGCAGCACGCATGTGTGGCTCGCATGAACGCAGAGTTTTTCATGAAGAATGGAATCATCTGGAATGTGGCAGAAGGCTATGGATCTGTGACTCCTTTTTAAAAGCAGTATTAAAATGTGTCAATTTGGCTCTCTTTCTATTAGAACATTTATTCATTTATCCACATGCATACAATATTATTTCTCTTGTCATGTAAGATTTATCATTACCATGCGGTATTTGTAGTTAGTATTCTAATGTAAAACAAAATCAGCATATTTTTAATGGTATGTGCATGACAAATTAGGTTGTAGTGAAGTGATTTTTTTATTTTTACATTTTCACTCAAACTTACATTACCTTGATGTGGCAATGTCTTACCCTACTCTTACATGATATTTTTTGGTTACTCTAGTCATCTTCGTGTACCATTACTGTAGTAATAAAGTAGAGCAGTATTACTAACGTAGTATAAACCTAAAGACTTACAATAAAAATCACATTTGCTAAATACAAAACAGTATAGTGTAATTATTGACAATCCCATTTTGTATTATCATCCTGCAGTATTTAAAACATAAACTCAGTTTTAAATACAAATGTTTAATGGATAACAAAAGAATGGCAGTGAACATTATATACAGACAAGAGTTTTGTTCCTTATGCCTTATATATAAAAAAAGAAACAGTTACTTAAATCTCTGACAGAACCCCGTGTCATTCAATAAAACACAAATGCATCTCAAAGCTATAAATACTATTTTGCATGATTTGGCATCTACCTTATGCGCTGGCAATTAGCTAACATGGGCTGCTCTATATGACAAAAAACTAACATCCATTTAAATAAAATGGAATCTCACCAGTTCACAGTTTCCAGCCAGGCAGATATAAAACCTCTCCACAGGCAGCCCAGTCTACAACAGGCTCTGAAGCACAACACTGGCATGGCTAATTAGCTCTGCACCGCTACAACTATTGTACACTTGGGTGACTGCAACCCACGAGAACTGCACTAATTCAGCAAACCTCTGTGTAGTTAGTCAGGCGCTCCTCCAGCCAAGCCCTTGTTCCGCTTCAGATTAGTGAAAACCATCCAAACAGTCGTGCTAAAGACAGAAGTGCTTGTCCACTTCTTTGGCTCTTACTTACAACAATTACTTATAAACAGCCACTCGGATTGCATTCTTTTAGTGTCTATAGGCTCAGTTAAAGCATAGCACACTCAAGGCATCACAGTTCCTTGTGATAGAGATCGGGTCATCTCTGTGTGGACAAAATACGTTGTCAAATCTCCTTTGCCTTTCACATTGATAACGCCCCGACATGAACACATGTATCCCAGATTTTGCAGGATTCGCCTGGTCTCCTCTGTCACCTATGGGGGGAGATAAAACATTTTTACTTTATTATTATTATTATTACCTGGACTGCAAGTCAACAGAGTAAATGCTAAAAAATCTTGTATTGCTTTAAAACAAGTAACATTAATAAACTATTAATTAGCCAATAGTAAGCAATATGTTTGTAGCTAAACATGCCTATAACAGAATGAAGCATGAAGGGGCCTATATTAAACTATTTTCAGATCTATGTTATGAGTTCTTTCAAACAGAAAATACTCTATTCCACCTTGTGATGTCATGTGGTAATACAGAAAGTATTCTACTGTGTTTTTAAACTCCATTTATCTTTGTTAGAATCATTTAGATGATTGCAGCCCTGAAAACTATTTCTACTGAACAAAAGGTCGCTGTTAACTTGAAAACTATCACTTCATGACATCATAAGGTTAAAAAGAGCATTTTGAGCACTGGAAATAATAAAGGATTGCTCAAATGTGTAAATGAAACAAAACACAACTCCAGGTATGTTGAGGTAACAACAGGTAACAGCATGGCTTAAAGCTCACAGGTAAATTTTGCGTAATATAGGACCTTTAATAAATGCATATTTGGGCACTGTCAGTAATTACTGGTAAATGCTTTTTAATGCCAATTATTTTAAAGCATAAGTGGGATCTAAAGCATTACCAAAGATCCTACCTGTATTTTCCCCAGAACTCCAGTAGTTTCCATGCGACTGGCCACATTTACACTGTTTCCCCAAATATCATACTGAGGCTTCTGGGCACCGATAACTCCAGCGATCACAGGTCCATGGTTTATTCCTAAATCAGAAATCCCAAAACTGACTCTGAACTATCATTTATATTTTGTAAAAAAAAGGGGGTATGTAATACAAGGCTCTCACCTATTCTGAGCCTGAAGTCGTTAAAGGAATGTTTGTTGATGACATCAAGTTTCCCGTTCAGGGCAAAGGCAAACTCCACCATTGTGCCAATGTGCATGTATTGTCTCTCATCCTATAAAATAATCAAACAAATAGAAGTTAATGTTATATATTATTGAACAATATGTATTTGATTTGTAAATATAAAAAAACACTTCTTAATGCTGAACTATAATAATATTTCTGAATGAGGATCTGGATGTTTTTACTTTATTTTTACAGGAATCATTTGACTTATCTATAATTGTATTGCTTGAAAATACCCTGAAAAGCATGTATACTTTTACTATGAGTGAGTTTATCTTTCCACAGATCTGACGTAGCACTTGCTCTGGTGGCATCCCTTGCTTGTCTCCATGGAGATAGAGTTTGTGGAACATTCCAGGCCAAGCAATAAAATTTCCATGAAAAGATAGCTTCCCCTCAACCAGAAAAGATACAGTGCACCTTTAAGATTTCTGACTTTAATACCATTCAAAAACATACCATTCATATGAATTTAGAAGTGTTTAAAATAAAACAACAAACTCTGCTATATTCAATTTTTTTCACCTTGGCATCTTTGAACCTTTTTAAAAAAACATTACCTTTTCATTAATTTTTCTGACATATTAGGCAATAAACTGACACAGATGAGAAGACAATTCCCTTGTACATGTCAGTATTAATGAAGCATGAAAAGTGTGTGTGTTATTGTATACGCTTCCAAATGTACCAGCCTCGCCAGAATCTTGGCCCAAACTGCTTCCATCTCTTGTGTGACACCACTGGGCCAATGCACCTGTCCACACAGCCAGCTCTGCCACTGCTGTCACTGCGGCCCTTGCCACAATTTTCCATTTGAGAGAGGAAAATGCCAATTATGTAAAAAGCAGTGCTGGTGTGAGGTCCATGTGACTACCAACACTTGCGCGAAATAAATAAGTAAATGTGTGAAAAGGAATGTCTCTAGACAGCACAGAAATGATGTGCTCGTACCTGATAACAAGTTTCTATTCCCTTCAATCATTGATGAGGTAAGCGGTGTGAAAATTAGACCTCATCTCGATTTGTAACCATAAATTTGAAATGACAGGATAGGGCCTAACCTGTGAGTGGAGGTCTTTCTAAACTCAAATTGAGACCGACAGCTGGCCTGGACCAAAGCCTTGTCTCCTGCTCTTTCAATCTAAACCTGTAAATTACATGGGGGACCTCACATGGTGAAAGCTTGTAACTATTCAGTGCGTGCCTGTGTGCACTCTGGTCCCGGCGCTACGTTCAGACCAGTAGCGGCCATGTAAGTGCTGCCGATGGTCTTAATCTTCTCCACTCCGCTGAATTTTGGCTTGGACAGCAGCTGGAGAGGGTCACACAAGGTTATTACAAATTTTGCAAATGATTTCAAACTATTCATTTTTTACACATAGTCGCAGGGCCAGCAGGGCTACCTCATCAAAGTCGGCTATGATCTCGTTAAGGAGACGGAGACACTCCAGTCCTTCTTTGTTGACGTCAGACTCGGTGTAAAACTCTTTGAAGTCGGGAATGGAGGCGAACATTACACACACTGACTCGTACGACTGATGATATAGGTCCTACAAGCAGAACGTGAAGAGATATAACAGCTAGGGAGGTTGTATTAATTTATGGCTTTAGCATCAAAAGAACAATATATGTATTTGAAAGTGCAAACAAGACATGGCAGAATAGGAACAGCAATCCTTTACAATGTAGGCAACCTGTAATATGTAAATGAAGGTGGCTGTTCTTAACCCCTATTTGTGCAGCCTAGTTTTATTTCTGCACATGTGGCCTAGTTATAACAAAGATGACGAATATGAATTTATAAAAAGGTTTAAGATCTGATGAAATTTTAACTATTTTCTAATCAACCCCAACATGTACTGTACATCTCAACTCACCATTTGGAAAGTGCTGGCTTGGTAACACATGAACACTTTAAAAAACAAGCAAAGTGGCTGATTTGGTGTTGTTGCACATTGAAACAAATGACCACAAACCGTATATATGTGCGTGCTTTTTTTATACAGTCTATGGTATAGGCAGAGTTCCCTAATTTAATTAAAACGAAAACAATCCTGAGCCCTTCCTTTTTATTTTTTTTACACAAAGGTAGTACACTAGTTTTTATGTGTGTGATACTATATATATATATATATATATATAAAAAGGCAGCACTTCTTGGCACTTGCCAATAATACAAAAATGCTCACCTCATTTTTCCAGTGGCGTCCCAAAAAGTGCTCCGCAACATGCGCAGGTAATACATTTTCCAGCAGAACTCTGTTGAGATTCTCCATGGTTTCAATCTCCTCACACTCCCTCTTGAACTTGTCTCTCCACAGGAAGTCCAGTCGACAGTAATATTCATTCTGGTACAGGACAAAGAGACAACGACAGCTCTGTTAATAAAATTTGTTACTAAAGCTATTACTTTTTCTCATAAATTATACAATATAGATGTTTTTTACTTGGCCAAAATTAGAATTTTCATTTATGAGTAGTATGACATATATGCCAATGCAGGGGATCGATTTTCACACATGACTGAACTAAGACGCATGGCAGCATTTATGACTATAAAAGTGTATCCCAAGTGTATCTAAAGATGAACTATTCAACTTTAATTAAAGGCCATATTCAGTGCAAACTACCCAACTGAAACAATTTCTTTTCATAGATATAAAATGTCCCAGTAAAACAGCAGTGAAGCTGTGCTCTTGTTGCTTGAGGAAAAACGGAATAAATTGAACTATTTTGCATTAAACAGCCATCTTTTTATTTGGTTATTCACGCTTATGGTTTAGAGACATATCTAAAAATGCCAGAAGATGCATTTACAGTATCAGGGCCAAAACATCCCAGGAGCGCATGCATTTCACAAGGGTCCCTGAATGCATCATCATTATTCTCATATATGTGTGAGTGCTGCGGGCTACCTGAGGGCTGGCCTCTACACTGAGTGTCTGCAAGTGAGTGGGAGGGACTCCAGTCTAAGTCTATATTTCTTGTGTCATGATGATGTATGTGTGCAGAGGATATTTGTCCCCCGAGATTATGGAATGATGCCAATTTAACAGTATGCAGTACCACAGATGAAATTGACTCCTTTTTTCTGATTTGCATTGCAGGCCCAAAGCTAACACAGAAATGATGATGGTGTACTGCTCCTATGGAATGTGTGCTATTTATATGTTGTAAATATATGAGGGGTGTTTTCTTTACTTTTAGAGACAGGAACTTCTGGGGAGACTGGAAAGTAGGCCAGAAGATAAGGAAGCTCATTCCAGATGCTGTTTAGAAACAAGCTAACAAGGCGCTAAATGAGCTCTGCTCCATTGCACTTCTGTTCTTGAGGGATGAATTACAGATGCTTCTAACCTGCTTTCTCCTCCCTTTGACTAAATAGTTGTGAATTTGCATTATTAGTGCTCGTGTTTAAATTTTTTAAAGGAATTTAGTTGGATTTAAATATATATAAACCAATGTCCTTTTGGACAAAATGCCCTAAAACTATGACCTGTCTCAAACCATATACGCTGCAAAAACACTGGAAAGATAATCACATTCACCTTTAAAGACCTTAGTCTTAGTTTTAAGGAGAAAACTTGTGTTTGTCTCCGTCCTGGTGACAGTGACCTAGATTGAGAAGAACACATGGAGCTGTTGGACCAAACCATGGCTCTCTGGAGAGGCGCTGCTGTGATGCACTGAGAGGGAAGCGGTTCAGTCTGAACATCTGTTTTGGGGTCACAGCTGATGGATGGTACCCCAAAAAAGATAAAACATACAGATCTATGCCGGCTGAATTTAGCTCTAATATGAAAAGAACATGGCAGCTCTGAGCCGTGCTGGCTGTTCCTACTCGACACAAAAGTCCATGTGAACATGTTCTACTGGCAGATTCAGTCAAATCCTCTTTTACTTGTGCCAGTATTCACACAAGACTGAGTCGAGATCTGCTAAATGGAATGACATGGAGTCGAGGTGAGAAAAAGATATAAAGAAAAATACAAACCTGTCTTGCTAATACCAGAAGTGTGATGAAGAAGATGAAAAGTGACACAGAACCCATAGTCTTCAAGTCCTTGAGGACCCCAGGCCTACAGACACAAAGACATTCTACTGAAAGAGGCTATACTCTGTGAAATTAGTTTTGAAGTCATAAACCCAACAGAGAGGATGAAAACAACAATCAGTGGCAAGGTAAGAAAAAACAAAATAGCTTGTTCTGGCTCTGGAGTCAGCAAAGTGCCACATGTTACATAATCTACCCAAAAATAATGTGAGAGGTCAGAACAAAGGCAACCATCTCAGGAGATGAGAGTACAGCATGTTTAAGGAACTATTTATAATTTGTGTTTTTAGCAATTGGGCATCTAAAGAATCATGAAAAAACTACCACATGTGGAAGTTCGTTTCTCCTCAATAACAATTATATTTTTGTAATCCATCAGAACTTCTAGCTAATATACTGTGAAATGTCATTGCAGATGTTGAAATATTGCATAAAAGTGAATGGACTGTAATATTAAAAGTAAAGAACAGAAATATTAACTTACACCCAGTGTTGAAACGTCACACTTCTTTTCAGTTTTTCATCAAAACCTATGACAATTTTCTGACAGTTTTCATAAAAATTATAGACTTAATAACTAAGTATGCTAAATGTGCATACCTTCAAAACTTAAGGTAGATAGAGAACCTTTAATACCAAATCACTGGCCTCGGTCTCTCACTGACTTTTGGTAAAGTTTTCATTGCGAGCGTTTTCTATTTCTAAATTTACAATATGTGATTATACAGCATTTATAAAGTTCATATATTTTTATGCTAATACATGAGAACCTAAACAGCAAAGAAGGCCAGAAGTTTTCTTATTCTGAAAACTTTGAGTTTAATGGATTATTTCCAGCAACCACACTCCAGCTGTCAATCAAACATGGTCTGGCATATCTTCCTCTGCCACTCACCATCCTCTACCTCCTGAGGTTACAGTTGATCGACAGTCGCATAGGAAATAGCCTCCTCAGCATTACCATTTCCCCATAGACCTTGGGAGCATTCTTATTAGTCATCTTAATGGGCTCCCCGCTAAGTGTCACACTGACTGCTACAATGGCAAGTGCAAAGAGGAAGCAGGTTGATAGGTCTGAAGTTAAGCAGGCTGTATAGAATCGATACTTCATTGTTTCCATTACCACAAGGACGTAGGTTGGAGAAGGAAGCTAAGACGCATGCGCACTTGCCTATCCAGTGTGTCGGTTGTGTACAGGGCTTTGTTGACGCCGTCCAGCAGCGAGGCGTGAGTCTGGAGGATGATGATATTGTAGATCACCAGGGCAACCAGCATCACCAGCATCTTCAGTTCGTAGTTGATCCTCAGGAACACGGAGCAAGACACCAGGCCCAAGATGCAGCAATAAATGAAGTACTGGAAATGGAAAAAGTTATACATAAATAAATACATTACACATTTTTTGGACAAAAATATAGCTTTTAATATACATTTTCAGAATTTAAACTTTTAATCATTCCAATTTGACCTGCAAACAAAGAACTCTTCTCCAAACGACATGCTTTCACCAACAAAGGACTGGCTGTAGACCTCTCGATTAAAGAGATCTTATCACTGATTGGACAGCTCTAATATGGAGTGAAATGAAAGAGCAGAACAACTACAGCCAGGATTGAGAGGTATTTTTTGTTATTGTTACATATTTTTTATATTGTTTCATATTTGAACTGTGCGGAATACTAAACATGCAGCGGATTTGCTATGGCTTTGTTGTTGAAAGTAATTATTGTCCTTGAACAGAGTATGTTTTCATGCACTATCAAACAATACCATTGTTGCATTGAATGAAAAGTAATGATACAACCTTTTATTTTATTTTACTTTTTACTTTTATCCTCTATTACTGCATTCAGAATTACAACAATTACAGACAAACTGGACCTTCTGGTTGCACAATGAGAGATGAACCTTTCAACTATGATAAATAACAACAATTTTAGCAGAAGTACGTAGTTACTTCCCACCTCTGCTGAGTCAAAGCCAACAAGAGGTTACTCTGCAAAAATAGGACCATGCAATATAATACTAAAACAGTTACGCAACCAAAACATTGACTTTATGTAATGAAAAGACAAAATAAAAATATTCTGTTCAGTGAGTGAGAAAATTCAGAGCTTTTTAACTTTATTTTTTATGGATGGCACTGATAATGATGCGTGTAAACATCATGAATGCTGAGCAGTTAATGAGGTACTTTCTCTTTCTCGATGAAACAGAAAAGCATTGATTTAACAGTTATGAAATGTCCACACAGCATAAAATTGACACAGTGCATGTATGATTTAGAGATGGGACTGTGGTAAGCATCTCCATGGAATTAATTTCCAAGAGCAAAGAAGATGAGAAGTCTATCTGTATCTTTGCAGTGTAAGACAATATGGCCGTATATTATACAATGACACAGAGATCAGTGTCGGGCAAGTTATGAAAGGAAATACGGTATGTGCAGGACAATGGTGAGATCAGCAGTGCTTCCTTGGCATGTGAGCTGGATGTCGTAGAACTAAAGATGTTCCTGTACTCTTTGTTCATGGTGAAAATAGAAAAGATTACAAATGCGTACATCAGAGAGGCAAATGTTCTCTAAGTAGTCTAAGTTTGAGAGCCATGATAAAGATGGTTCTGATATGTACAAATTAGGAATAATTCGTGAATATTAAATAACATTCTTCAATATTAAATAAACATTACCTATATGCAAAGATGTTAAAATACGTGTCAAATAATATTTTTACAGATAGCAACTGCAGTGTTAAAAGTATCCAAATAATTTCCCTTGTGGATCAGTAAAGTTTGTCTAAGTCTATATTACACAAAATTGACTTGTGATCTTTAAGCCATGTTATAATGCTGTTACCTCCTCAAAAACATTCATGGGGTTGTTTTGTTCCACAGTATTTTTTTGAGTTTGAGTAATCTTCTATTATTAGTCTGTCTACATCTCCAATACTCAAAATACTCTGTTTCACCTTGTGAAGGAGCGGTATAGTATTCAAGTTAACAGCTACTTTTTACCCGACTTCAGTAGAGATTGACAATTCAAGGTCTGAAATCACCAAAATAATTCTAGTGAAGGTGTATGGAATTTTAAAACAGAGGAGCACTTCATATATTACCACATGACATGAACAATATCACAAGGTGGAACAGAGTTTTCTGTTTGCAAGAAGAACCGAGAATGTGTGTTAAACATGTTTGAATGAAACAAAACACAACTCCAGGTATGTTTTTGATGAAACAACACAACAACATAACAAATAACAGAAAATAGCATAATATAGGCCCTTTATATTATTCCCAATTGTACAAAACATTTGGCATGGTGTAAAAGCTGTTTAGAGTAGATTAGAATAGCCTGTTAACGAGTCAGTTATGTTTACATGTTGTATTTTGGTTCAATAATCCAAATTAAAAACCAAAGGACTGATGTGTCTGCAGTGTTTGACAGCTAATGGCATCCCAGGCTAATTTTAAATCAGAAGGAGCATATGTTATGCCCATAAAGAGAACAACCAAAAGACCTTAATATCAAACCAAAAATGTATGATTGCACTCTCTTGTATTCCAACACTTACTGGCAGATAAAACTTTGCTGCTTCTGTGGTTTGGTCCTGATAGAAAAGCAGGCTGCCGTTGGTGAGATTCACAGGTGCCATGGTGATTAGCACTTCAGGTGGAGTACTCGGTAAAACATCTGGTGGTCCTCCGGGATCCTCAACAAAGAACTGACAAAAAACAATAGCTGATGAGAGAAAGAGGCCTCAGATTATGTGCCATCTACTAAATGTCACAATCATCGCATGTCTGTGGTGTTCAAGCGTGCCCAGAGGAGATGACTTTAACAGACAAATAGATGACCTGAGAAGAAGGGCACAATCAATCTTTGCATGTAAACGAGAGGACTGAATAAAGCCAGGAAGTTGAGAGTGAATTCCAGTTATAACCATTTGTTCTGAGAGAGATTTGACGCATGCCAGCCAAAGATATAGACAATGCTTTTAAATTTTTTTTCTTGCATAATCAGCCGGAGGTCATTCTAGGACAGGTCATATTAAATACTAAAACAAGCACATTGTAAAACATCTGTGGGTTTCAGAGGGATTAGCATTACACTAGCAATACACAATTCAAAACAAACTATTATATCTTTTGAATGATGATCAATGAGACATAGGCCTATAAAGAACTAGAGAGATTGTTGCCATGGTAACCTATAGTATATAGAATAGAATATCCAGTTTTCCGCAGACATGTTGTGAGTGTAGAATTCTACTCAAGATCTCAGACCGACTAATAGGGAGCTGGACAATTTCAATTATCCTTTTAATACTTTGATAAATGGGCTTTTTTGCATTTATACCTTATAAAATACCCATGTTCTACCAAGGAAATAAATTCTTCTTTTAAAATACTTGGTGTGAAGTAAAAAGTCTAATTATCAATAGTTGTGTCCATATAGTGTACTGGCACAAGAGTTCTCAGCACACACAGTTCCTTGCATAAGGACTACAAATACAGCACTATAGGTCAATTTAAACACTTTAATGAATTAATTTTCTGGCCTTGTTCTTACATCTTTTTCAGTGATAATTTTGCTCTTATTCCACTCATAAAATGGATGCTGCATTTGCCACAGCAACAGAACCCATGTTCTATCTAGCACTTATAATATATCACTGAAAGTGCTGCCAACAAACAGGAAGCTGAAAGCCATAAACAGGTAATTTATGATGACATGACACTTTTTGAGGAAATAAATTTATATATTGAATGCAATACATCCAGATTAAGTCTTTGTAGATTATTTAATAGTTTATACTCTGAAAAGTTATAAACTATCACCTTAACGTAATTTATTAGGGTCATAAGACTTTTAGTATTTTATGCTTAATTAATTCAGCCATTACAAATCTTTCTGATAAACAAACTACGACGATGGACCATCACTGGACATTAGGTAATACACAAAAGAAAAGAAGACATTTGATTCATTTTGATGCTAGACTATGAAAACTATACTGATTGGAGCAGTAAAAATATATCTCACCATGTTGAAGACAGACATTATTAGAATGAGGGCGGTGGTCATGATGGTGAGGACCAGTCTCAGCCAGGGGTTATTAGTGACAATGATTCGTGAAGAAACTGGAAACCAGGACAGTGGGCAGAAAGAGCCTTTTCCTCCCTGCTGTAGGTGGAAGAAAACAGGACATTCAATATGGATCAAGAGGTGACTGAGAACAACACAGAATGCTGTAGGCCCTCCCCTAGTCCCTGGTCCTTCTTGCACAGATTGGCTAAGACATGCTCATTAGGCTCTCTTTCATAATTCTAAAAACATATGAATGTAAACAATGACAGTGATGAATTATTACCAAACAGAATTACGCTGAAAAAGCACTTTTAGTTATTAGTAATTTAACTTGCACAATCCTTTAGTCTATTAATTATACTAAAATTGTAAGAAAAAAATAGAACATTCAGCAATGAAATACATGCACTATCAAAATCCCCTCAGACAAATTGGCTTAAAAATATTCTCTGCAGCAGTATTTTTTTTGCCTTAATAACTGTGAAGGGCGGTTTCTGTAAAGACTTTTTCCAAGAAATGTGTTTGATCACAAAAGCCATGTAATGCTCCCTTACACAGATGAAAAGAGCACATCCTCTAATAGGCTCATTTAACAAACTCGAACACACAAAGCCGATGTAACATGTCTTTATTTTAGTCAATTGTGCGCTCCCACACAAAAATGACAGAGACCTTTATTAAGAATATGCTCAGTGCTAATTGGAGGTTAGTACAAAGCCATCCAATCATTTACTCTGTTCTCATTCAGGGTGTGAGGCTTGCTTCTGTGTCAGAGCAGATGCAACATTATTGATGGTGCTTGTTAATTGGGGGTGACCCACTTGAAGGATCATAAAAGTCTATATAGATCATCAGACATGTCAAACTGTTTACTGACTATCCATAAAACACACGTAACAAGAGCTGAATGTTATGTAACAAACAGCCCATTACAGACTAGAAATAGCTACTCTATATTGAAAATATGTAATAGAAAGGAAAGTAAATATTTATAGTAAAACTTACTGTGTCTACTATGCTGTCTATTTTGTAGGACATTTGAATATGTTAGAAACTCAGAAACCCATAAGTTAAGGCTCCATTAATGCTTCTACAATAATTATTATATACTTATGGAATACTCAAAACTATTTGGTTGGTAATGTGTCATCACTAAACACAAAACTCCTACATCTTTTAGTGATCTCAACTTACATCTTTAACTTCAACTCCTCCAATTTAAAATATTCAATTCTATACAGTGCATAATATTCGTGTGGGCGGTAATGTATGTGTGTTCAGTGATAAATCAATGCAAAACCTACCAGAATGTGACCGGCGAAGCACAGAAGCAGAATGAGCGCCAGCAGCAGGAAAGCCAACCCAAAGGAGATTCCCAACACAGCAGTTCTGCAACAAACACACAACTGCATTACTCTGTAGTCCCATTTAGAGCAATAAATATAATGAGCCTTTTCTCTCTCAGCCCTGAAATCTATTTACATTGACAATCTATTTATCAACAAACTACTGTAGTGGGGTAGAGGCGCTTGTAATGGAGTTATTTTCATGTTCTAAAGCATACTGGACCTAATGTGACAGATTTAAGGGTGCTATAAAACACATGAAGTCACTATTAAATGTGCACAGCTATGTCACCACAAACATTGCAACGATAAAGACGGAGAGGGGAGGTGAATTAGAAAATCAATGGACCTCTTTGACATTAAATTACACCTTAGCATCAAAAAAGTTAGTATGGCCAAGGTATTTTATTTTCATGTTCGACAAATGTGGTTAAAAAGACTCTTTGATTCAGCTAATCTATAATCATTGGCAGATGGATGGGGGTCTTTCATTATTATCTTGCATTTTAGCGTTCTACCTCCCGCGTGCCTTCTTCGATCACAGTGACGCAGGCCAGAGGATGAGATAGCTGCCGTTAAATGTGTTTTTTCCCCCATCAACAGACTGCCACAGCTGGAGTCTGGTGAGGCATCAGGGATTAGACAGGGCCAGTGGTTAAATGGGAGGCTAACCTGGGCAGAACCAGGACCTGCACGACGAAGATACAGCAAAATATGAGGCAAGCGCAGGTGACGTAGTACTTGAAGGCTGGTAATGTTGTGGATCTGTACTGTGGAGAGGGAGAGTGGGATTCAGTTTGGATAGCAGAAAGTAGGACACATTACAGTTTATTTCTTAATTTAGTCTGATTAGCGAAATCAATACATAATGGTTTTAAGGATGAGACAAGCCACAAGATTTTGCAACAACATTGCCACAAGATTATGCACACCTGAGGAAAATGATCTTGTGACTGTATGTGTTTTTTCATTTGGATGGGGAGTTACAATTCTTTAAAACATGTAGTTTCAAAATGCTATATTGACTACAAGTAATAAATAAAATAAATTTTAAAAAGTTAGGCCAAAATTGTGAACAGGATTGCACAATTTATTTATTAAATTATTGTCTTGACAAATTATGTCCAAATATGGTCTCGTCTAATCTCAGTAGGCTCTATTCATGCTTACATCACAAACCAGGAAGTCGTTTGGAAAGATGCGATTACAACTTCAGATGGGTACTGTTCGCAGTAGCAAGTCTAATGAAATCTAGGAAAAATTACAAAATGGCCGACTCTTCTTAATGTAAATGTTATTATAGCATTATGTTTGGCTAATCAACAATTACAACCATACCTCAGTTTTCATAATTTTCCCACTGACACACAATTCCGAGTGCACTAGGTACATGCAATTAGAAGAGATGAGAGTGCCAAATTCAAGATTATTCCAAACAGCACACAAGTATGCAGTCTTCATTTGACTAATGATGACATTTCAATTCAATTCAATTCTGTCATTGTCACTGTCATATAAAATAACAATGAAATTATGTTAGAGCATCATACAGACTGCATAGTATTTTAAAAGTGCATAATAGTGTAGAACACCCACCACGTAAACATTACACCTGCTATGTGAACATTAGAATACAGTGCTAATAATATCAGTGCAGCAGCGAAGGGGCATATCAACAAATCACAACAAAACAACCAAAAGAACTAGGACATCAGGGACAGGGGGCGAACCAGTCAGATGTGTATTTAAATGTATTTAAATGTCCTGTTGCAGCACTGCAAAAGCCCAGTTCACAGTTATTGCACAGGGTGGATATGGTTTATTGACAGTAGGAGGGGAGAGAGGGGGGACGGGGGGCACCTTTCAGCAGCCTTACTGCCTGAGGGTACAGGCTGTGGGCCAGTCTAGATATTCTGGTGCGTATGGACCTGTCCAGGTCCACTGATGACATTTAATTCTGTAGGTTTTATCACAGTCGGTAGTCAAGTCCAGTGTCGGTAACTACACAAGAAGTTGTAATCACACCATTCCAAACGTCTTCCTGGTTTGTATTGTAAGCGTGAATATTGTGTTTCTAACGGTTACACTCTAGGGCTAGGCAATATGACAAAAATATTAACCAATCATGATATTTTATAAAATTTTCTTTCAATATTAATGTCACAAACATAGACAAGATGATTTCTTCTTCCTAAGTCTAAACTGCTCTGAATCTTTTAATGACAAAATACAATCTTATCGCTGCCTTTTAGAAATAACTGAATCTCGATTAAATTATGTTTTCACAGCGCTACACTCTCTTGAGGTAGATGGGTGCTTAAGACAAGAAAAACTGAAAAATCAAGAATTAAACTAGATTGTAAAACTATTGTATAATTCAGCCAAACACAAATAACTGACGTGATAAATTACACCTTTTACCCCAAAGACTAAATGGAAGTAATTATGTTTCATTGTACCTACCTCTTTTTCCAATGTTTTATTGTGAAAGAACAATGAGATGCGTTGAATGCCCTCAGACTTGAGCCACTGTCTGCAGATATAAATGAGACACAAACAAAACAGGCCGTGTGGGTATCTGAAATCAATTCTTCATCTCCTCAGTTTATCCCACTGACTGAGGTTATGGTGGATAAATGAGCAAATCCACCTTCTCTGTTGCTAAGTGTCAAGACTCCAAGGTAAAGAAGTGAAAACAGGACTTACTTTTGTGAGTTGATTCCATCAATGGTTCGGATCATTCGCTCATTAAGCTCCTCCTCAAACCTTCTCCTCTGTGACTTAGACCTAACATTGGAAAACAAGGCCAAATTTTATAAAAAAAATCTACCTATCTGCTTTTGAACACAAGAGTCATCTGATTTAACCTTTCTCGCCTCTGGAAGTGGTACTGCCCCATTGGAACATCCTGTAAAAGAATGGATTTGGATTTAATGGTAATGTAGTAATAGTTTCTCTTGCTCAGGCTGCCTATGTAAATATGTGGTCATTTTCACCGTGGTGTTGATCATGCCGTTGTCAGTGGTCATGCTGTCTCGGTGGTGGAGGTTGGCAAAAGGCTTGGCAGCGCCCCAGGACTCGAGGTAGCGGGTCATTCTGACAGAGGCTCTCATCTTACCCCCATCCAGAGAGGGGCGAGATCGGACGCCCAGGAGAGGGCTGTGCCTGTCCGTCTGTGAGGAACAACCAGCAAAGGGTTCAGAAAAAACTGTGTGCTAGATTATGTGATCGTATCAATGCTTATTAACTATCAATTAAATAATGTAATAGTGAAACACTATGTTGCTATTTCAAATGTAATTAAAGTTAGGGCTAGGTGATATGGCATTAAAAATTTACCAGTAATGCTCTTGAGTGAATGACAGTTTAATTAACCAATCACAGTGAAGAATTAACTGTCACCATAAATAGATTAAAGCCACTTAATGTCTAGATTCTAGGAAATTGTGATTTTTCTGGCATATTGCCAACCCCTAATTAAAGTACAATGGAATTATAAACATTTAAGGGTATGGCTTCAAGAAAAGCTAATTTGTATGCATCATTAATTCCTCAATAGCAATATTTTAGAGCATTAGAGATCCAGTAAATGTGAGCCGCAGGTGCTTCAGAGAGCAGTCTTTTTCACAGACATTGGTGACCTGACAGTCAGTGTTTGGAGCCACAGAAAATACTTTAAGTCAAGGATGATGCACCTGCACTCTTATTTTGAAATGTGTTCTGAGAGTCTCTCCAGCAAAGAGCCATCACTTCAGAACTGCCCAAAGCACAAAAAAAAAACAATAAAGAAAAGAAAACCAGCTCTGTCCTAAATATCAGTATCAGGGCATAATGAAAACTGTTTTACATAGGAATATGTTATACTGTTTGTTGTACTGTTTACTGTATTTAACCTGACTTGAAAAGATTTTTCACCTCTTATCATGACCCTACAAAATACACTAACCTGGCCTCAAATGGCTTAAGAGGTTAGTGAGAGTAAATAAGTCCTAATGACCCAAATGCAGAGTGAAGGAGAGCTGTGTTCATTTCCTGTATGGGGAAAGTTGACAGTGACAATCAATAGCAGTGACAGTGAAGATGACACCTCTTTGATCCATGCTTCCTATTTAAAGCTTTGATCCACTGGTGTTTCTTAAGGGCACTCACAGCTGGTATAGAATGTCCTACAGGATAATGAAAATAGACTTCTATTACAATGTTTCATGGAAACCAATTGCAATAAAATATAGATATGTTCATGGCATTAGAATTATGAAGGATTAAAATGAACACAATGAGAATGAACACAATGAGTTCAACTTTGCAAAGACATCAAGATAATTACTGTAATGTATGTTTTCCTTTCAATACTTATTTTTACTGAGGTTTATAACATTGTATATGCTACAAGCTATAATGCTGATCTCATTGTCAAACCAGCTAACCATCAGATAAAAAGATGATCACAGCAAGGCTGTAGCAAATGCATAGTTTAAGACTAAGCATACTATTATAAAACTGAAGGACAAATGCTAAATAAAGTAAAGAGTAAAATCTACTAAACATTTTGAGAACATTTTAAAAGGTTCCCTCAAAAGCACTTGAACAAAAAAAAATCTACACTTCAAACAGTTACAAGGACTTCACTCTCAAACTTAGCTATAAAACTGGCAGACTATGAGCACAAACAGGAAAAAAGAATGGACCTAAAACTGGATTTTTCAAAGCATGACGGCATCGTACCCATGATAAAGGGAGATTAGGAGGCAGAGCACTGTTAAGCTCCATTTTGCCGTTTGCCTTGCCAAATCAGTGGGTATGGACAAAACTCAAAGAATGTTTTATGGGGGAAGGTTTTCAACAGCAGAAGGCCTTTTTAACATTTTAATTGGTCCTTTGAATGGTCTCCTTTGACGAATCCTTCTTATTCTTACTAATTTAATATAGGATTTTTGGATACAGACTGTAACTGTTACTTCCATGGTCAAATGTTCTTATTTGGAATAAAAATAAAATGAATAAAAGATGCACTATGTAGCTATGTAGCTTTCCAAATGAAGGAACGTTCCTCCTTTCACACAACTGGGACACCCTCCTCAGGATAGCACCGGGCAATGGGAGGCATGGTCAGTCTGAGCGATCTACCAGATCAATCAGGTTGATCACGCCTCCAGAAAGTAACAACAGCTGATATACGACATGTCACCACCAACACTGGTGACAGTTCCGAAAATGGCTTGTAGCTAGCAGCCGAAATGTGTCAACAAGGTAAATACACCTCCTACTGTACTCTCTTTAAAAAAGAACCCTAGAAGTTAAAGTACATAAGAAGACAAAATGAACAGCTTTGGTTTAGGAAATGTTATTGCCTTGCTTTGAATTTTACACAGTATGGCATTAGACTCATCTATCACCATGGACAGTAACAGGTGACACCATCAGGTCATGTTACATAGTGCATCTTTAAACTATCATATTGTTTTTCATAGGACCTTGGGGTTGATGACCAGGTAGGTGACAACTCCATGTTCTTTGAGGTATGAGTCGCGGCTCTGTCCGTTCCCAGGCTCCACTTTGTATGATCCATTCAGATGCTCCAAGGTCACGGAGGAAATGTGCACCCTCCTGTAAACAGCGCAGAGATTATGAGAGCCACAACAACAGACTGCATCTACATTTCTTATTTGAAAATGTGTGTGTAGAAAAAGAAAGATTTTTTTCAGACCATGGTACTAATGATATGAAGTAAGACTACTGGACAACAAACAGTCTCAAACAAATACGTTGAAACAGAAAATCAGGTCCTGATTTTGTTGTTACTGTTGGTTAATTTATTAAATAGTTGATGCTGGAAGTTTCATTTGCAATTACATCGTGTACAGTACTGTTGCCGTTGCTGATACAAAAACATGAATTCTCAGCATGCTCGGATCCCTTTGGTAATTACATTTTACTTTATGTTTTAAGGAATATCCTCACTGGTATTGTCAGTTACGCAAAAGCATCTTACCCGGGCACACCTCCTGCTTCCATGTGATTGGCTAACGTGACGTCATGTGACCAGACATCATACTGCCACTTCCTGAGACCAATAACACCACAGAGGACGTTTCCAGAATGGACCCCCACACGCATGTTAATATCAACACCAGTGGCATCTCTGACTTTCCTGTATTAGAAACAAGCTTTCATGATAATCCTGTAGTAGACAGCATTTTATATTATATATTTATATGTTTGTAATGTAGTGTAATATAAAACTTGTAGTGTATGTCCTCTTATGAAATTATGATTAAAGGCTACTGTAAATCTTGACATATTGATTTACAAAGGCTGTGCACTTAGAGGAAAACAAGCACGTTCTATTAAGTTTTTCTACTGATTTGATCTTAATACTTGCACAGCTTATCATATTACAGTAATGTTGTGTTTGCGTTGGACATCAAACAAAGCCTGGCGTTCCTTCTGCTCAATCTGTCTGACAGGCGTTTGTTTGTGTTGGTGAGAGGGAGAGAGATCTGGTATTTTACTTGATGGCCTCACACATATCCAAGCCCATCTTCACGCAGTTCCTGGCATGATGAGGCAGTGATTCGGGCAGACCGGACACGCAGTAATAACAATCACCCAGGATCTTGATTCGCATACATTCATTCTCCTAAAAGAAATATAGAAAGATGGAAAAGTTCATGAAACAACAATATGGCAAAAAACTTTATAAATTTTTTCCTGGTATTCATCAATCACAGTTTGATATTATTTTTTGTATTATAACACTTTGAAAATAGTGCCATTTAACATCCAAATAGACCAATTTATTCTCAAAAGTGTGAACTCTGAATCACCATGCCTTTACTGACAGATGATAGGCTGTAGACCTCTATAAAAAGCACCAAGCTGAGCATTGACTATTTTAAAAGATTGGACCTAACTTTGATTAAAATGTGATTACATGCATAGCCCAAGAAGGACAAACCCCTCCATCTTGACCAAACCTGCTACATAAAGTATAATCAGCATCAGCAAGTCTGTAATAAACCAAGAAACCAAGAACTCCTGGAGTGGCCAATGCTTTAAATCCAATTCCCAAAGAGATTACAACACTTTGATGCCAATTTCTAACCATTGACTGTCTTGTTAGGGAGCAAAGCTTCATCCACAATGCCACTGCTGTATCACAGCCAGGCATATACTACCAGTCAAAAGTTTGGAAACTCTTTAGACCCCTCTCATTCAGTGTTTTCTTTTTTTCTTTATTTTTTACTACTTTCTGCATTTTAGATACATAGGTAAAATATCAAATATATGAAGCAAGATATATGAAATTATGAAGTAAAGAAAAAAAGTTAAATAACTCGACTAAATATTTTCTTGTATATTTTTTATATTAAAATACAAGTAGTAGTGAGCAGGAAACATTATTCTTTCTTAAGCCTTTCACAAAAACAAATTTCCATGTCCGATGTTGTTACAGAATATATCATATTCAAAGATAATAGGGTTTCACACTACATCAGAACATCCTATAGGCCAATAATATTTAAAATAGACGGAGGAAAATGCAGATTTGTCTTGTAATACAGAAAGCTGTTTTGTCTAGTAAATAATAGAAATGATCAGGCTCATTTGTAAATTTACTTTTGGAATATTTCATGGGAAAGTACAATGCTATCAAATAGGGAAATCATCACATTCTCTGAAAACCACCCACTGAAACTACATTATGTCATTGAAACAAAGCATTTTCATCAAACTTTCTTTTTGTTAATTAATATTAAAAACATGTACTGCAATTAATAAATAGGCGAATAAAACACTTATGTAGTTAGCAAGTATCACTAATGAGTGGTGTGATAATTATTACATCCTGCCCAGAAAAATTACCCTAAAAATATTGTTTAGCTTTAAGTCAACACAGTAATTATAGTAAAAGGCCTATTATTTCTTATACATTACATTGTCATTTTTATATAATATTACCACAGTCCTTTTCACCTTATCATAACCCTTATTCACACAGCCAAATCCATCAGGCAAAAAATCATCCACCCACACCGACAACACATTAGCTGAGGTTCTTCATGTGGGATGTGTAACCGCTCTCCTTTTGGGTGGGTTTACGTAAGAGCAGCAGAGAGGGTTGTGTGGACACGGGTGCCTGCTGGACAAAAACGCTGAGAGAACCTGAATCTGCTTTGAAGAGCTGAATACAAGAGGACCCAGAGGAGCATTAGACAGGTCCTGGTCAGCCCACATGGATCTACAAAGTACTCCGGGAAGGCTGCAATAGACCAATAGTCGCCGCAAGACACAGGAAGCAGTCATCTCAAGGCCACATTTCATCATCACTGACAGCAAGATGTTTTTCTAACCTTAACACAGCTACAGTTTTGTGTATTGCATTTATTTGACCCAGGTTCAATATTTGAGTAATATAAACTGCAATTTTAATTAATTTATGATGTTTTTAATGTTCTTCACATTCTAAGGACGTGATTAAGCAGCCTGACACGTCTTCCGCTCAAGTCTCGCCCAAAGCTAAAGTAGTCGAGAGCATTTCATTTTGCACTCAAATCAATCAGCCCAAATTAGAGCTAAAGGAGTGTTTCTTAAAAAATAGCAGAATCATAGAATTAACTGTGCCTAAAAATTATCCTGTGTATCTGGAATAGCATATCTTTTTCTAATTAGTTTATAAATTGGTTATATTATATTTAAGGATATAAGACACATCAAGGCAATTTGAAGCACATACATTGCCACAGTATGAGATCCTATCTCACAATAGTTGTAAAGATTTAAAACCCAGAACTAGACTTTCTTTAGAGAAATTATACAGGCGACCGAGACTTATATCTCTCACAAAGGCAGGGTTCTCTCATTGAGGATCAGCGACTTAAATGGCCCATTCTATTTTCTGACCTTTGATATGATGTTGTTTTCCTCATCAAAACATACCTGTGTATGTGAGTGGTGTTTTGTTTAACACACAGGTTCTGCATATTTATACTGAGTTCTCCTCTCAAACGGAATATACTCTCTTCCTCTACCTTGTGATGTCTTGTGGTAATACAGGAAGTGCTTCACTGTGTTTTTAAACTCCATACACATTCATTAAAATCATTTGGATGATTTCAGAGCTGGAATTGCCAATACTGAACAAAAGGTAAACGCTAGCTGTTAACTTGAAAACTGCCACTACATGACTACACAAGGTGGAACAGTGCTTTTAAAACTTTATATAGATAAGAGAGATATAAATGACTAATAATAAGAAAGGGTTACTTAAACATGTGTGAGTGAAACAAACATGTTTCTGTTGAGGTAACAAACTTACAACATATAACACACGAGTCAGAGCCAGTGTATTTGCCCTAAAGGCCAAAAAAAAAAGTGTAATTCCAGTTTGTAGTTACCTTTGCAATCTGGTCAAATTTCCCAAAAAGTTCATTCAGCATATGCACAAGTTCGCCTGGAGAGCAGTCACTAGCCAGTCGCGTGAAGCCCACAATATCTGCATACAAAATACTGCAGAGAATCCCAGAGTTACTCAACTTTAAAATGAATCAACAAAACATCACAAATTTACAGAGACAATCTCATAACACATTATTGGACATGGTGGCTTTCCTCTCAATACACCATCTGTCCTTGGCTTTGTTCTGAAAAGATTACCCTCTTAACTGTGTGAATTTGTTATTACTGGAGGGATAATTGGCAGATCAACATGTAGACACACAGACTGGGTTAGCATACATACACCTGAGCCCCACTTAAAAGAGACACAACATGGCCTCTCCCGCAAGGCTTTTCTGTGCTGAAAAACAGGTTTTAGAGGACATTCCTTGGAGAATCTCATGTTAAGCCAGGATTTGTGTCATCTGCTGTGTTTTCAAAGTTCTCTCCTCTTGTGTTATAGAGGTGGAAGCGAGGGGGAATAGAGGCCGTACTGTATGTGGCTCTGCATTTGGCAAAGTGACCCCAAAGTACAAGAGCTGGATTAACCCGAGTGGGCAATGGCCTTAGATGTAATAATGAAGGAGACTATTGGACAAGGGGAGAGGACAACAAAGAAGTACAAATAATTAACTGTTGTGTGAAAGCAACATAAAAGTAAAATAAATGAGCAAATATGTAGTTTCAGTAAGGATGCACTAAAATTACCACCACTGTGACAGCTTTAACTACAACCAACATGGGTCCTATATCTGTGGTGTATTGAAATATTGTGATTACAAACATGACTACTGAAATACATGTTAACTACATGTTTTGGAAATTTGCTGAGATTATATTAGCAGTGATGACCTTATGTGTACAAAAATAATCTTGTGTAATCCTTTTTGTTCTCACCATAGTTAATCACTATTAATGTTTTAATATGCATCTTTCTGACACAACTCTCTAAAATCATGTGGGTTAATTGGGGTCACTGTTATTTATTTTATTATCTACTCTAATTAAGAAAGATGTTTTTATTACAACAGAATACTTAAAAGTTCCACATTTGTTTGTAAGGTCATTAAAAGTAAAATGAATAAATAATAGAATTTCAGCAGCAAAAAAGAATCTAGATGCAATTCAAACAAAAACAACTCAGAAATGTAAACAAAGGAAAGCCTTGGATAGAAGTGCTAAAAGAGAGGGATGTTGGAAAAGTAAGTCCTTCAGATGAGAGTTATAAATAAATAAGCTTTTCATTGATGAGGAGCAGACCAGGGCAGCAGAAAACTCACCTGACATTGGTGTGTCTCTGCACATATAGGTTGTGAAAGTTGTTGGTGCTCTCCGTTCGGCCAAAGTTGGGCCCTTGCAGTCGCTGGATAATCTCAGCTTTCATCACCCGGGCAATGTGCGATGGCAATAGGGACAAGAGCAGGCGTTCCTAGAGAGACAGTGTCATAGGCAAGGATTATAGAGGGCATTATGTGAATGACACCTGAGTAAAGATATCTGCTATATTATATTTTACACATATTTTAGAGTTTTAATTGTATTTAAGTTACACAACTTAATTTTCTGGTGGTGATACCAGCATGATACCATGGAAAAAAGTTAAAACCACACTTCTGAACATGCTCCAAGGAGATAGCTGTATTATATGCCATACTATATAATATTATACTTAAAGGAACAACATTTCCAAGGAAACAAGAAAGAGTCAGATTTGTGGAGATGCGAGCCCTCTCATAGTAAATATGAACATTAACAATTTTAAAAAGCTTTTAATGAGTCTAAATTATGGCTAAAAAGATACTTGGTGAAGATTTAAAATTATATCATTATTCTTATATTTTGCTTTTGAAGGTATATGTTCACTGTACAGATATCTGTACCTTATTGTTGCTTAAGAGCTGCATTGACAATTTCTCCACTGAAATCAGCAAACCTCTATCTATAGTCCATGTGGAGTAGAGCTAATATTTGAAGAAATTTTTACCACCTAAAGGGATTTTCACATTACCTTAATGATGGCTCATTTGGTCTAATTTTTCAGCCAGGAGCACAAAAGAAAAAAAGACAGGTACAGAAGAGAAATAGCCGAGGTGAGCATATTTCACAAATGAGAAGGCTTTGGTAATGATTTTAAATATAACTTTGGAGGAAATGTATTACTTCAGGTTGGCAACAGACTATGTAGGCTTTTATGTTAGCAGTTTACCAAGCATTTTGCACTGCTCTACAGATTACTCTTACACTTACTTACTTTTTAATACCATTCTATACTCTTTGTAGTTTTGCCCCCCATTTTAGTACAAAGCAGAAAAGAAAATGTCCAAAAAAAAACTAAAAGCATACTCCAATATCAGAGTCCATTTTGGGGTGGTTGGAGTGATTTTGATTTTGCATGTGTGGTTGTGCCTGTAGGGTGTGTGTGTTTGTGTGCGCGTGTGTGTCTGTGTGTGCATGTGTGTCTGTGTGTGTAAAAAAGAGTGAAAAGCTGCTTGAGGGTGTGTGAGTCATAAATGCGACTCACAGCAGAGAGGGTCATTACATTGTTCACACGCTGCGGGCTCATTTCCTAAAACATAGCAGCAAATTAAGTAGGGAGAGGGTTGGGGTGCGCAGCTAAAAATAGAATCCTCCACAGCCCCAAACCTCATTCAGAAGTACTCTAGTGTGAGCACGGTACACACGGGCTGATAAGCTACAGAGGATGCTTCATTAATTTATTGTGTGTTGATTACAGAACGGATAAAATTGCATTAGCGTGTGTGGGATATGACTAGCAACTAGCTACCAAACAATTCTCCAAAATAAACAAGGCCGGAAAATGATGCGAGGCACCAGGTAAATAAAAAGGCACTATAATTAATTATGTTGTGTTAATTTGTCAGTTACAGATAGTAATTAAAAACTATGCAAATAATATATAAGAGCAATCAAAGTGCACCCAACTCCATTTTATGTAACTAGACTTCTATTTTTAGTAAAAATTATAGGTACACTATATGCACATTTTCAGATGGAGTGTCCACTACCTGTTTTTCTCCATGGAGATGCTGTGTCTGTCTTGTTCATTAGTATATGGCATTGAATGTATCTATACTGCATATTCCAGGCGAAGCAATAACTCCTCCATGGGAACAAGAAGATAGACACTTGTCACTAAAAAGGTTGCATAGTGCAGCTTTTAACCCTTTTCATTTATTCTAAAACATTGTTACAGTGTTACTAAAGTATTTTTTATGTTTTATTGTGTGTAATAAAGCAGGGTTTGAAAACATGTGCCAAAAAGGTCATGGAAAAGCTATTTTGAAAGATAACCTACTTGGTGAAATAGGCCATAATGAAATGATCAGGAATGAAACTGGGTTCCACAATCAGATCAGTTGAAGACCACTGGAAAAACCATAAACCCAGATAAATAAGTTAACATCTTGGCCCATATAAACCCTTAACTACCCCAGAGTAAATGGGCCATCTGTTAATGCCTAGTTTGAGTGTCAGATCCCTGGTTGCAGGAATGGCTAATGTCAGGGAAGATCTTTAAATATCACCAAATGTCACTGCATAATGCCTCCATACTCAGGACTCAATATACTATCAAAAGCTATAAATAATACATCTAATATCCACAAACCTGTTGATGCTTCTCAAACTCCAGTTTAATGGGGGACTTGATACAGTTGCAGGTGTCCTGGTAGGTCTGCCTGAGGGCCAAGTCCATCAGATGTTTGTGGTAAGCCCCCGCCAAGTTTCCACAAGTAAAAATTATGACGTTTGCTAAAATCTGTCAACACACAAAAGCAACAAATGAAGGTTTAAAGGTTATAAACACTCTATTATTCAGGGCCATGACCCAGAGCTGTCTATTGTTAAAACTAGGTGAGCACACAATTAAATAGTGCTCTCTACCTCAGCCCTCTGAAGTGTGGCTCTGCATATTAAGGAGATGGCCTTGGGGTTGAGTCCAAGGGCACCGAATGTCTTCACTTTATTATTAGAGAGCTTTTCCACATAGAAGTATCTGGGAAATAATGGCAAGGATATTGTTTGTACACGAATTCTTTTTATTATGAATTATTACAAATTTGTAAAATAATGTAGAACTCTATAGTGGAATTATGTTGTACTAATACACTTTACCTGCCTTTTGTTTCCCCACTTGAAGACGATATGTAGCAATCCTAGAATGTAATACCAAAATGCCAATTTATTAGATGTTTTTGTTCTGCTGAGAATACTAATGTTTTAATATGCACTGTGCCCCAGCCTCTGCTGGAACAAATAATACAAATTATGTGCAGTATTATACAATTGAAAATCCAGAAAACTACAAAATATGTAAGAGCACAGAAAGCTTTATTCCACTCTGGAGACTTTACTGAAAGTGCAGTGTCACCATGACACAAGATGGACTCTGCACTTTACTACCTAGACCTTATTAAAATGTTGTATCTCATCATTTTAAATGGTGCATGAAACATCCTCGTCAATTTTATTCCAGAAACTAACCCTTGCACTACAGTTAGCCCTAAATGAAGTGATCATTTAGTCCATCAGACTTTGTAATAGAAAGCTTGCTGCAGGGTAATCTTGGGCACAGTACATCTGGAAATCTCAAGTACTGTCTATCCCTTCCTTTGTATTCATTAATTTGAACGGGTATTGGTCTCACCTGCCAGACTAAATGTTCCAGCTCGGTGCTGCCGGCCAGGCAGAAGCTGAGAGTAACTGTGTGTGAGAGGCAGGTGACGGCACTGGCGATGATTGCCCCACTCATGGAGAAAGGCAGCATGGTGTAAACGACAAAAACAATGAAGAGAAAGAAGGACACCTGTAAACAGGAAAAGCATACAAGACATAATGAGGAATATAAATATCAAATATTCAAATATCAAATAGGTTATACTAACTGCAACTTCCAAAATAATACAAAATACAATAATGTACTGGTTATATTGGTATGGTACAAACTCTCTTTTTGTATCTTATAGATACTGGTGGTGTTATAAATCATAGAAGCTACCAGATCAAATTAGCTTTCCCTTGCCTTTATACAATCCAGAATACAGAAAGCCTAAAAGCATCAAAAAAACAAATATTTGTTTTTACTAAAAAGTGGTTAACTTATTATCATTTAAGTGTTAATATGTGCAATTTGGCTTCATGAACACACCTGCAAAGCTTTCCAAGTGTGACCAAAAATAATTAATGATGCACCTGTCAATTTGCAGAAGACAGACACTTGAGTAGAAAACAGTGCCATATTCAAAACATAACATTATAAACAAGCACATGGTTGTAGGGACAGAAAACATCATTAGCTGTCATACTATATACACTCTGAAAGCTTTTCAGTTCAAAAGCTGCAACAGAGATGAACCATTCCCTATGTGGGTAACCTCACAACACATTAAATGCTTTCATAATCAACAGATGGAATGAAGTGTTTGAAAACAGAATACTAAAATGGGAGTCAATAGCAGCCAGACATTTTGGAGTCCTCGCCACTCCCGCGTAACCTGAATGATTGATATTGATTTCCTTGTCCATTATTTGTATAGGATAAATGTCTTTATATCATTATATTTGTATTATAGTTGACAGCAAAGCAGTGCACAGTACAAATGTGGGTTCTTGAGCTAAAAAGTGACATAAGCAGCATCTCTAACAAAAAAAAGAAAAAAACTGGATTTGATAAGGAAAGTATTTTCAGTGCTACTCCCAGGAAATTCTGTCAAAGTCAGCTTTGTGACCTACAGCTGTCAGTGTAGTTATGCACTGTCTCATGTCTAGTTCATTGATGCCTTATGCTTTAGCCTCCTGTTTGGTCCCTTTCCACTTCCCCTGCTGTCGGTTCGGCCCTTCCTGTTATGGTGCGGGTGCCAGTGACCAGTGTCAGAACTATGACACGAGATGAACTTTGAACCTCTGGCCTGTCCAATGTTCCCGTGTCTTTTAGGTTGAGTGAGCAGCTTTGCAAACAGGAATTGGCTAAACGGGATATCAAGCAGCTGGGCTTTTCTTTCTTGTTTTCAAGAATGACCCAGCAAGTTTGATTAAAATTGGTGTGAAGATATTTAAAAGATGTTTAAATATAACTTCGTAATTTTTGTGCAGCTTATGATTGTGATTGCTGAGTTTAATCAGGCATAATTTACTTGAAACTTAAAGAAATTATGAAAGAATCACTTTTGTACTTGTTACAATATACAATATTAGCTGTATTTTGTTAGGGTAAAAAATTGTATCAACTGAGTTTGAACAGATAAATAAATAAAAGTGGCTGAAGTTTAAGGTGCACTAAGTTCAGCTACTTGGTGGAAAATCCATCTCTGTTTGTCTAATAGATATATTCTACTTCTTGTCTCCATGCTATTTTATGTAAAATTTCATGCAAAACAACATCTCCATGGAAAAAAGAAGGTTTCAGACACTCCATGTAAAAAAAAAGAGAAAAACTTACAAAATACCCACCCTTCTTTTAGTCATTTACCAATTTTCAACACACTTGACACCTGTTTGACTAAGGATCTGGCACAAGTCAATGGTGACATAATTTTCATGCACCTGTACTATTAGGAAAAGACACAATGTACAAAAGATGTTAGCTTTCTGTTGCTACGGAGACCAACTCTTGTGAAAGAAGAAATGTTCCCACACTGTCATGTCCTCGACTACTGCTCCTGACCCCACCTTCCCATGCTGAAACATAGATACCTAGGGTTGTATGTTGCGTTCAGAAGAATTTGATAATGCTATAATTTCAGATGTAGGGCAGGGGCCAATATAAATCTATGGGAGAAATAACCAAACTGAAAACACATAAATGTTGAAATGTAGTATTTGTTAGAATTTGGCTCCACAAGCTAATAGTGTTATGGCTGAAAGTCCTTTCAAATGACAACTATCATATCGTTGGGGTTGAATAATGATCTTAATGATATTCTGAAGCTTTTGTGGAAAAATAATTTCCCTTTTGTAAACTAGTGTTGACAGAGGACCAGGTCTTATTTTGCATGGATAAGCCCAGTATTTACAAATATTTTAACCATAAACAAGGTCAACAAATCTTCAATCTGACAGTTAAACAGCAAATTCCACCATAGGATTCTGCCCTGCACTCCAGATGTTAAATTATAAGGATTCTACATTTTTGTCATGTGAATGCAACCTATTTCATGATCATCACCTGCTTTTGACTCCATCCAGCCACACACCTCCTATGGGGCTTCTTGATTGCATTCTTTCTTGCTACACCTGTAAGACTAAAGCTGACTAAACAGAGTAGGCCCTGAGCTGCTATTTTAGAAGTCTAATGTTTTGATTGTTGCTGAGTTTTCATTTTGGCCAGTATGCCTGGCACAGCAGCTGGTAGCCCTGAGAGACTTGGCATTACAGCCAGCTAACAACGTAATTTGCTTTAAATTGTGGTGTAAGCTTTGGGCTGCACAATAATTGTTAATCTTATTCAATTAACCAGTACTGCATTACCAATATTTGTATCTACATCTATGGCAGCATTATATCAGTGTTTGGTGTTTAGTATGTATTAGAAGTATGTGTATTATTAAGCCTTAAAAGTAAGAAGCAGAAACAAGTGCAGATAAATCTTTTCGTAAATTAATTATGAAAAGATTTTTTTTTTTGTTATTCACAATCAATGATTCTGCTGCCAATTCTACTGCAATATTGTTCTTTGTCAGTCAAATTACTTACTTAAAGGTGCAGTATGTAACTTTTTCTGATGGAGGATCAACTGCTTGTCTTCATAGAGAAATTATTTCTTTGCTTAGAATGTTGCACATTAAGACAGTAAAGTCCCTATCTCCAAGGAGAAAAGTAGCTGATTCCACCAGAGCCACTTACAAGCCAAATCTGTGAAGAGCTGAAATCACTAACAATAACAATTCATTGTGGCCATACCAGTTTGTCAAAGCTTGATCCCGTCAGATCAAAGAAGCTAAGCAAGGTGGGGCCTGGTTAGTACTTGGATGGGAAACCACTGGGAAAATCAGATGCCACAGTGGGGCACCAGTTGCAAAAACTGTCATTGTGTCAAGGCACTTCAACCACATTGCCTAGAATGAAAGTGGCGTGTGTGTGAGTGATGGTGGTAGTTGGAGGGGCTGATGGTGCAGACTGGCAGCCTTGCTTCTGTCAGTCTGCCCCAGGACAGCTGTGACTACAATAGTAGTTTACCACTACTGAGTATGGAGTGAATGAATAATGCTCTGTAAAACGTAATTCAGTGTCCAGAAACGTGCTATATAAAACTGATGCATTATTATTATTAATTCATGTTTTTCAACAGATATTTAGCAAAAAAAATGCCTAAACAAATAGAACTAAATGTTGGATATGTTTAATGCCATACTCTGGAACAATCCATGCAAAGAAATAACATCTTGCTGAAGATGTTACCAGAAGTTACAAATAATTTCAATCATAATGGCTACTGTGAGTCTTATATAACTCAGAAATTAAAATGCAACTAGTGCACATTAATACTACTGGCTACAGCTTTGTGTTACTATTGTTTATACAGTGTGTGGGGGTGAGATGTTTGGCTTGTGGGGGCTATAAGTGAGTGACCACGGAGAGAGAGCGGATTAGAGTCTCTCTTGGCTTCATTATTTGTCTTTTCCTCTCCCTTTTCCAGGCCTATAGTGTTATCAGCTCAGTGTGCTCCACCAGACATGCTGTTCTAGCAGTAATCACAATCAAGTCCGACCCACTGAGAGCAGGCTGCAATTTCAACTGTTTGTCTGCTTTGCTTCGAGTTTAGTTTTTCCTCCTTCCCAACTTATTTTCTGTCTTCTTTTTCTCCTAAAAGCTTGCCAAAACCAGACAGACAGATAGAAGGGGGAGAATGATTAATAATGTAGAGTGATTATGTGCTTGCATGTAGCAGTTAAAAATAGCCCATTCAAGCGACAAGGGGAGGGCAAAATATAGAGGATGAAATTGAGGATGTGTTTAGGGAGGCAGGTGGGGGAGCTGGGGATAGAGAAATAGATTTTGATAAATAGGGGGAGACAGGGTGCTAGAGTGAGAAAATAGGTTTCTTGAGACAAAGAGAGAAAGACGTCTGGTGCTGAAAACAAATGCGTCTGTTGACTGGTGGGCTCTACTCCAGATCCCATTGGGTCTAATAAGTCACAACTTAATTCAACACAGGAAGGCATGTACCATGTAATGTGAAACTAACAGGGACCTTAACTAATTATGTTGAAAGAAGTTGAGACAAATTCAAAATTGTTTAGCTAAACATGAAAAATTGGTGTATTACGTTGCAAATGTCATTTAAAGTGAAAATTAAGTTTTAATTCCATAAATAAAAACTGGGATAACTGACTAACTGAACTACTAAATGCTTTTAATACATGCTGTTCCTTTCATTTATTTGCTTAGATTTTCTTTGATTCTTCCTGGATTCTTCTGGAAAACTCCATTGTCCTGTTTTCTTTGAATGTACAGTAAAAGAAGGATGTTGCACAATTCTTCTCATAATGTGAAAAATTACATTGCAGTTACAGTTCTAAAATTGCCTAATAACCACATCACAAGTAAAATACAAAGATAAAATTCATTTACCTGGTCCCATGGGCTAAGAATGCCTCCAGAGAACATGAAGAGGTATCCCATAGTGACCAGACAGGCCCATATGAGGAGTGAGAAGAGGCGGAGCATTCGCTTGAAGACGGACTCGATGCACACCAAGATGAAGATGGACAGGAAGAGGAAGAGCGCCGCAGGGACTGTGATCAGGAACGTCAGGTGTTCTTCTGTGTTCTACAAAACACAAAAGTATCAAGGTTTTTTCTTTACCATGTGAAACGTGTACAAGACAAGTCACAACAGAAAAACAAGCAATTAAACCCAGAGGGCCTAATGTACTAATTTAATTTGCCTCATTTTAATGCCAAATATATAGGTGACAATATACCTAAGGCTGCTTAATAGTATATAATAGGGCTGGGTATCATTAAGAAGTTGCCAATACGATACATACCTCGATACATGAGCCACGATACGATACATATCTTGATACAGTGCACTTTCGATTTGATATAATATATTTCAAAACGATTCGATATGGTTCAATAAAAAATAAAGGCTAAATCATGGCTGTGATACTAAAAGTCTTTGTTAAACCACTTCTTGTGCAAAGTTCATATGAAACACAAACATTTTAATAATTATCAAAACAGTGAAAATGTCAAACGTGTCGCATAAACGAGTTTCCTTCCTCTGAACAAGCAACAAAACTGTAGCGCTGTAACCAAATAATTCAGTAAAATTTTGTAAAATATACCCAACAATACTCTTGGCGATATATCAATACAGCAACCCACGATATCGATACTGTATCATCACATTAAACGATGCGATATGTCGATATTTTTGCACACCCCTAGTGTATAATATATGTACTTACTTGTTTCGGGCTATGTAAGTTATAGCTATGAATTATTTTTCCACAACATATATTACATTTGAGTTGTTAGCCTTTGTGAAGCCTCCAGAGTCAGTGTTTAGGTTGCTCTAGTCTTTAGTGGTGGTAATTAGCCACAATATCTGTCTACCTCCTGTTGGGTGGAACTTAGTTTGCTGTTAAAATGTTTGTTCTTGTTCTTTATTAAAAAAAACAAAAACAAAACTTATTGTATTTGTATACATAATATATTCTTTATTTCAATAATGCAATATATTTCTGTGTGTGCAAGTCTTGTAAGCTGGAAATAACCTAATGTTTACACATGTTGTATAGCAACCTGATGTTTACATATAGGTCGTATAACCACAAAGCAAAATACATGTGGTCCTAATAAGCCGTCCATCTAACTTCAAAGACATGCTGAGTGAAGACTGTTCTGCACCTAACCGAAAATTGTGGGAGGCTGTGGTTTCACTCAACGCCTCACCTGTAAAGTGCAAAAGCACTTTGCAGGTGCTGACCTAGGAGCGTGCCCATGAGCACCTGCTAACAGACATCCACAAGCTCTGCCCTGGTAAGATTTAAGGGCCTGGGCTCTTCTCAGGTACTTCTCCAAAAACACTGACCTTGGTTATTCAAAGTTGATGTTTGGACACCTTCTTTAAACGAGTGGGATAAACACCAAAAACATGACTGTTGATACCAAAAGAGGTGATTGTAGCCCTCATGTTCCTTTGATGACTCAGGCTAACCCAAAAAGTTAACCCTCTTAGAGTTGTGTAGGCTGTGGGGATAGACCTTGCAACATGCGGAGACCTGGAAGAGAGACCACACCGCCTGTGTAAGTCCGCATATCACTGTTTAAAGTGAGAGGCGATACATACACAGGGGCCCTTAGAAAATGCTACTTCAATGCTGATACTCTCAGAAAAGGGAAACTAATCTCAGGGACCAAAATTAGTTACCTACGAGACAAACAACTTGGGGGGTTTATACTTATGTGAGCGTGATGCAAATGTTGGCCAGACCCTAACTATTTTTTTTAAACCTGCTCTCCCAATTATTGTGATAGTCTGAATTTCAATATATCAAGTCATATTATATGGCCCAGCCTCAATGCGCTAAAACTAAACAACAACAGAAAACAATTAAAGGAATATACTGATGTGTATGTAGGGATACCTGTGAGGCCCATAGTCCTCATTGCTTAAAAAGTCTTGAAAACCCAGCTTTTAAAAACCACCTTTCATTTACTTTTTTGTTTCTTCTGTCTGTCTTGGTTCATCTCCTCACATAAACTGTCTTGGGGTATCTTGAAAGGGCTATACAAGTCTTATGTATTTTTATTATTATTATTATTTGTTTCATAACAGGATGAAGTATACTCATAACACTACACTGGTACAGCAGACATATATCCACAGAGGGTCAGAGCTACATGACCAAAGAGCGGTTGAACAGACGGCTCACAGATCGGCAGACAGGCAGTCTGAGCCCAGAGAATGTGCTATAGCATCACTTCTGCACTCACACCATCCCAGTCAGCAAGCCACAAACTGTCAACATACTCTCTCTCACTCACACACACACACTCTACAGCCTCTCTTTTACCTCAGAAACATTTTCAATTTCACCATTAGGGCCAGGAATCACAGTTTATTGCATCAATGCAATAAACAGAGTACGATTCACAATATTAGTCATATCATAATATGGCGATAGTCACTGTGCCTGATTTCGTCCAGTATGTCACTATCTTTGACACACTTATAAATAAGTTAAAATGACAATCTATAAATAAGTAACAAAATGATACTGCTTTCACAATTTACATTTGGAAAACAATATTAATGGAATGCAAATATATTGATTCAGCAGTCTGCATTATTGAAACAGTAACACCAAAGTATCAAACTATAGTCTAATACTACTCCTAGCTCTTACTACTACTTTGCAACTGTCTCTTAGAGGACCTCAACTTTTTCATAGTTGCCAGATTTTTCCTCACTGAAAAAGAACAAAAAGGTGAGATCACTGACTCTTTTTCTTTTTTTTTTTTACAATTATGAGGATGAATGAAAGATTAATATGTCAGGAACTGCTTGAAATAAATGATGTCACACTGAACAGTCAAATGAATCAGTCTTGCCATAAATCAGACAGATATTTCTTCCAGCTCTTCTATCTCCATCCCTTTCATTATACAAATCTGACCCCTCCATGAACTCAGAAATGTGTGTCTGTGTGTGTTCTTTATAGTCTACTGATGCAATCTGATTATGACCGCTAATGCTATACTGCAAATAATCACATGACATGTACTCAATGTGAACGCAGTGCACATGTTTTTGAGCATGAATTAATTGCCTTGGGTACTTGGGTGACATCGGTAAATGAAAATAATTGCAGACAATAGTTATGGCTGAATTCTCTTCAAAATGTCTGAAAGGATGTACACCCACCCACATGTTCCAATTTCATCTTGTTCCAAAGTCACTAAAAATAATGTTGACAGATCAAACAATCATAAAGGTTAAATTACCCAGCCACGTAGCAATTTGATGTCAGCAATTTTTCTGTAAAATGAATACGAATGTGTGGCCCTGGAGAACATAATTTGCGAGCAGATTTGACAGAAAAAAAATATGCCAGGAGTCAACAGATTTGAACGGGCTATTAACATAACATAACAAAGGAGAGAGAACGTATTATCTCTATTACGGTAGCAGGGTAGCAACGGTAGCAACGGTAGCATGAGTCAGGGTTTGGAGAAGGAATCCCAAAGGACCTGTAGACGCTATGCCCACAGTACAGTCAGCTGGAGTGGTGCTTGAATCCCAATGAGGAAGAAGAAAGTACGACTGCAAATTTTTAAAAAGACCAAAGGGAGCTGCGGCCAGGAAGGAGCTTTTTATAGAATAGACAATGTGTGACGACAAAAAAGCAAATGAACAGCTGCAGACAAATTACTTAAGGACACAAATTAAAAATTAACAACAGGGAAACATTGAGGAGAAGTAAAACAGCACTTGGTAATGTCGGCACTCTGGTCTATATGATGATCTGTCTCTGGTCAGAACATACCACAGCAAGGTATGTGTTAATGCTTTCAACCCATATTTATGTTACAACACAAAGGCTAGTTATAAATAGACATTAATCCGGGTATCTATCACAGATGTTTTGTCATTTGTTAATAGTATATACTGGAAAAATATTTTTTTTAATGCATAATAGTCATGCTCTGAGAAACTACAAATACACAGTGCACAAGAGTCAATATTAGCAGATTTGGCACTTTTTAATTTGTCCTTACGGAAAATGACTGCTCTACATGTTTCACTTTGCAGGCAATCTGATCCGGATAAAACCCTTTTGAACCCATTTAAAGTCATTTTCCTGGACTTGGCTTTGAGGGAGGGAGCTCTGCCACACAGCTATAATGTACTGCATTGTCATCCAGAACAATTATTTCCATTTTTACCCCAGTCTGGTCTATCCAGCAATTATACTAGGAGGAAACAGAGTATGGTGCAAGGGGAGGAGGCACAGCAGCCACCAAAAGACAAAAAGCCTGTTATTTTATTAGTGAACACATACACACAAGTATATAGAGACATCCCCAAGTACAGTCTGCCATTCCACATTCATCTATATTGTATTGATTATTGCTCTGAACAGTAATCTTGCACTTCTTGTGGCTTCTTTCATTAATAATCAACATACTCTTCCCTAAGTGCCCCATTTGCACTAAAAGCAAATACTGGAATCTGGTCAGTGGCTGATATTACCAATAATTAAGATAATGCTATTTTAGGATGTCATAATAATACACTTGGTTAGACTAAGTATTTGTTCTACATAGCTTGAAACTCTTGATTGACCCATTCATACCCATTCTGTAATCTATTAGCCGGGCATCTTTAAAAGCCAAAATGATTTAATAAAGCATTAATTTCTCACACCACCTCAGGCCGAAGATGTGCATGCATGGTAAAAAGGCGGCACTGACCACAGTACAGATGAATCGGTTCAGTGCAAATCGCATGTATCTATGTGTGTGGTTGTACAAGTTACTAGCGACAGGAATCACAGACTACTCCATCAGAAACCACGGGACAGGCCAAGTGAATAATCATAAAACAAAATCAGCTCCGGAGGCTAATCGCAGCTTCATCAAACAGAGTTAATGAATTTGTGTAATTAAAACTATAATGGACGTGGAATTTTAAAAGTCATCTTGTAACCTGAAAGCACCCCAGTCACACATCAAAGCTAATTAGCTTTGTAGTGTAACAACTCTACAGTATGTAAAACCAAAAGTGTACAATATAAATAATTGTGTAATTATCATATATTTTCCCTAAATACATTTTATTCCAATTGTAGAAAATTACATTAACATTACTCTTAGCCAGGAGCGATGAGATTCCCTGTCATTATTTACCACAAAATGAGAACAACACGTCCTTTCAGCACATTTGTAATTTACTTAAATATGCAAGTCTTCAGATGGTGGAAGAGAACCACTACCCCAAGAAAAAAATGTCCCAAAAATGTTTTTGTTCTGTAGACCACTCCTGGATGAGAAAGGGATTATATAGATTTATATTAAATATTCAGACTGAAATATTGATTATTTTAAAGTAATATTAAAAATAAATATTAAATTAATATGAACTGAGGTGAATTCTGAGGTGAATTCTGGTAACTGTCTATCCTCAAAGCTTACCAAATGACATCACTGTTTACATGGGTTCAGTCAGTCACCTTTCTGCTCCTGGTGAAAGCCTGGTGATCCATCATCACAGCAAAACAGCCTGCTCTCACATCCTGCATCAGTCAAGTATATATAAAAGGAAACTTAAGGACCCTCCAGACACAGATCCAACAGCCACAGAAATATAACACTAACACATGATATGGATGCACTTGGATACATTTATAAAGGTGAATAATTTATTATAATTAATCAATAAAATATGTTAACATCCTGTATGAAATATCAGAAACTGTATTTTTTCAGTAACATGTTTCTATCGATCCAGCTTGAACAATGGACTTTTTACTGTACTATGTCATTAACCACCTGCATGCTATTCCAGGTTTTTACGTTTCTCTCACTTACATGATTCAAATCAATACCACTGCATTTATAGACTTAATGGTCTCACGATAGCAAAAAAAAGGAGTTTTCTAAGTATTGCAGATAAGCTGAAGGAAATGGGGAACACGCACACCCAAATACACAGCATTTAGACAGAGCTGAGGCACGCACAAGGGGCGGGGGCTATGTCATTCATTGGGTCCAGCAGTGATCTGGAGAGAAAGATAAAAGTGGGCAGTCATTTTTGGAGCATTAGCGGAGCTTTGGTTGGGTCTCTGTCGGCTCTCTGATAAAGCCTCAACACTTAAAACAACATCCTCTCCTCCCCTAACTGCCGGCCCCAGCTCAATACCTCACCCTATTTATTCCTGCCATTCTTCTTCATTCAGAGTGCATAAATACACCAGCCCCAGCGCTCCATGGTCCCCAGACAAACCTGTCACACATCTATTTGAAATAAATTGGGAAGAAATTAATGTTGTATTGACATGAGGAATGATGTGAAATTATTAGGTGTCATTGTAATATAACCTGTGAACACACAAGTCTAACGCTCTACATGAGGAGAAGAGCCAGGAGGATTGAACTGAGCGGCCAAAGGCAATGAAATCTATTGATTTGTCTTAAATAGAAGTAAGGGCATTGATTCAGGTTGAGGTTCTCCAGGGGACAACAGTGTTATAGACCTCCAATGAGAGAAACAGGACCTCAGGCATAGCATAGGGTCACACGCCTGAGCTTGGACATACAGTATAACAGCAAAACACTCATTCTGAAAGAACAAAAACAGAGCCATGAGTGGGATTGCTTTTTTGTCTAACACAAAAGCAGCACTTTAGAACAATAGCTTGTGTTTATGGTCGAGTGTTTGTGGCCAAAACAACACTTTTCACTTGACAAAAGCACCAACGCCCACACAGCTCCCAACTCAACTCTCATCATCTCGCTCTTGATACACTCCGCGAGCCCAGTGCAGCGATTTAAAGTGCCGCTTCACAGCCTCTTGTGTTGTCACATCACCACACACAACCACATTGAACTACCTCACTCATTCAGTCTCCTCCTGGAACTGTCATACTTCACTATTGTGTTTGGGCTGTTGCCTGTAAATGCAGGAGTCAGTCATCATGTTATAAAAGTGATTACAGCTCGACCACAGCTGTCTTTATCCTCTCCACAATACCCATTAAGAGACTAACATGCTAGGATGTAATTCGTAAATAGACACAAAATATGCAGGTACTTTTAAGAGACTTTCAAACTTTTCATACTGGCATAGAAGAACAAAAAGATTTTTAGGTAAATATTATCTGGGGTTATTTGAATTTTGTTTTGTTTTGCCTGGAGTAGTAGTTACAAAGCCAATCAGTTTACTACAGTGACCCTTTTAAAGCTTAATTGATTAAATAATATATGCAATAAACCAACACTGTTCTTCAAAGTAATAAGTTTTTGTCCAGGCAGAAGACTGACCATTCTACTTCATCTTTTCCTTCTCCACTAATAAAACATCAACACCTTTCCCAAAGTGTTACAACATTCACCTACCAGCCCAGATGCGAAGAAGACTGCCAGCAATGCCAGGCAGGTTCCCATGACAATCAGCAGCAGGAACACTATGAGCGGATGCTGCTGGCTCATTCTGTAGTAGGACTCGTACAGCCAGTCTTGGGGCTTCTCCGGCTCCAGGCATACGTCCCCCGCCTGGAAGCCCGCAAAACCATCGGCCATGCTCTCGGGCCCCTCTGCACCCTCTCCTCCTCCTCCTCCATCGCTCTTCTCCAGCAGGTATCGTCCGCGCGTCCACAGAGCCTCCTGCCACATGTGGACCTGCCAGCGTGCTCACTCACAAAAACACAGTCACTTACAATGAAAGATCCCCTCCTCTCACTCCCCCCTTCTTGTTAAAAGAAAGTTTCTTAGCCGCTCACGGATGAATGGGCAGCTGATTGAAAGCGAGCCAACTTTTCACGCACATGGTCTTGGATGGATTTGCCTCGCATCCTCCACCACTCCAATTTGGACAGGATCTAAGCCTCTTTCTTCTTCCCTTTCCTTGTGTAAGAAGCTAGTCGTTTCTTCCTGTGAGACAAAAGGAGAAGTCTTAGTGAGCTTGGTGCTCTGTGCAGCGGCAGCATAGAGGCAGCATGTTACAGCGCTGAGGTACAGATGAGGACTGAGGGAGAGAGAGGCAGAGAGGGAGGAACAGGGAGCAGAGAAGAGGGTGTGGAGCAGGGTGTTAGCAAGAGCTTGTGCTATGTGCCGTTGGGAAATGTCAAGAAAATCGTTCCGATCTTAAGACGTGCCAGAGCAGTCCCAGGATATTCCAGTGTTACGTTCATAGTTTCAAGCACAAAACTGTGAGATGACTAAATTTAGAATATAAACAAATAATGTAAAATATAAGAATTCTGCCAACACTGTGTAGTTATATGATTGTGATGATATATGATATGACATATGACTGAAGCAATGAAGTTAAAGGGGTGCTATGCAACATTTAATGCTCTGGGGTCCACTACCTGCTTGTCATCATGGAGATGTTATTGTTTTACTAGAATGTTCCACAGAATGTCATTAAACTTAGCCATCTTTCATTTACTCAATATTACTGACTTTGAAAAACATGCATTCTTAAAGTGAGTGGTGTCGCCTCTCTCAGATCTGACTTCTAACTTGGCTTGGACCTGTAACTTGGCTTGCCTCCATGGAAATAGATGTTTGATGCCATACTGTGGGACATTTCAGACAAAACAATACCATTTACAAGCAGAAAAGCTGGTGCCATACATACCATACCACAGAAAAGTGACAAAGTGCAACTTTAAAGCAAAATACAAAGAATGGTTATGGTTAGGTGCACAATACATTGGCTGCATTGATCATTGTGTCCATTGATACTTCTTAATCCAAACTATAAAATTTTTAGTATGTTTTTGTGCTTTTTGTTTTGCTTAACTACACTTTTATCCCAAATTACCAAGTTGTTGTTTTGCCTAAACATAACCAGCTCTGTGTAATTATACTGCTACACTTGCAAAGTACCAGTAAAATAAAATGATGTTCCTCAGTCTCAGTGAGTTGCGAAAAAGGGTGTGAAAGTTTGTGCAACCTTCAATAAAAGGAACTAATTTGAACATTTACATAATAGGAGCAAGTGCAGAGAGCTGGCAACAGAGGAAGCCCTACAAAACAGAGGATTTCTGTGTTGAGCTGTGGGTAGTTCTGCATGAATGTGCGTCTAATAGACACAAGGCGAGACAGACCACATGATAAAATTAAGAAAACCAGTCAAGTATGCAGATGACTGAAAAATAATGCCACCCTGAACCCAGTGAAGAGATGAAAACATGACAAACAGAAAGGAAGGATGAGGAGGAAGAGGAAACCAAGTGGAGAGGGTGAGGGCTCAGGAGACATCAAGCGAGTGGGCGGAAAAAAGTCTCTGGGTTCAAACACAGAGAAGACGAGTGGGTAATGAGTGAAAGTTTGAGAGTGACAGCCCGTCAGCAGCAGAAGCAGCATATGTGAGAGACAAATAGGCCACGGATGAAAAATAACAGCATGATTTGTGGGCCTGCCACAATAATCACTACATTGGGGTGAAAGATATATTGAAAAATTAATAATAGACACTGTAGACATATGCAAAAGGTTCATATTGAGCATATCGTCTGTAATTAAAACTTTACAAAATTACCTAGAATAAGAGACAGAAACATCTAGTGTAACCAAGTGTAATGGGTATAAAGTGGTTCTGTGGTTAATTTTCTAGTCATTTCACATTTTGTGCTAAAACTCACCATTACTTCCTGTGTATTCGTACTTTACTTCTCTTTTGCTTCCTTCAAACGGCCACTTAAATGATGTAAGACTATTAACTAGTGGTACTATATGACAAAGTAATAACTAGAAAAACATGAAAAGGACTTTAAGCCTATATGAACTGAAGCTGGTAGAATAAACATGACCTATTATAGATACTAGAACTCACTGCCCAAGTGAGCTATTTATTTATTGAAGGACACATCTTTTACAAGACGATTCACTTACATAAAGGTTTACTGAGATCTTTCTGATTTAGTGTTGTTATATCAGTAGTAGTTTCAGTACTACCATTTATCATGATGTTTTTCTGTAGCAATATATTGCACTTGGAAATGTATTATCACGACATACCTAATGATTCAACTGTTGCTCTAAGCCTCCATATCATCATTCTCAGTTTTCCCCCATATGGGCTTCAGCCATACCACCATGCGTCTCCTCACGCTGTCCATGCTTCATGCGATGCTTTGTGGAGTGTGAAAATGGCAGTTCAACATGTCGAATCCACATTTGTACGCAAAACAGGGAGAGCACTGGGAAAAGCGAAAGTCAAGAGCATCAGATATTTAGCAATGTGAAAATCATTTTCTTATCATAGTAACAAAGTGTCACATTTTTCCCACAGGTACTGATTTTAAACATCTAAAAGGCCATGTTTGTAATATGTGTGAATGATAAATAACGATTGAATAAACGTCAAACCTCTAGCCTAGAATCAGAATACACACTTCTTTAATACTTTACAAAGATATGAGTCTGGCCACTGGTGAATTTCAGTTTTCACATGGGTATGATTGACAGGTGGATTAGCCAATTGGGGACACACATGCTCCCTTATATATCACAGGGGGCTCAAAAACATTGTAGATTTCTGCAGAATTAATGAGCTCATTAAACTTGGTATCTGTTCACAAGTGTCACTGAAAAAAACAAAAACAAACTTTATTCCACAATCACGCTTGGCCGGGCCTGAGACGCAAGGGAGAGCATGGGGACCAGATTGATATCAGTCTGTACAAAAAATACAGAAAACTCCAAAATACAAACTCTTTTGGTCAGTGTGAAATAAATGCTAAATAAGGACTGATGTAGCCTATTTAAGGGACAACTTCAGTAGGAGCAAAACAGGAAGTTCAGTCAGGTTGGAGAAGGTTAACATGGTGAGAAAGAACTCATCTTCCAGTAATGGTGATATGAGGGGGATAATTAACCCTACATCATCACAGGTGTTGCTGTACATTAGCCCCATGTAATCCATATGTAGTCATATGAGTCTAATATATTGCCTAAAGGCCATTCATTTTCAACCACAAATGAAATTAAATATTACAAATAGTTACCTCATTTAAGGGGGCAGATTCAAGCTTGATTAAAAATAAAGTGGACCTAAACGCTAAATCCACTTTTTACCACTACTAAGCTTTATCTTCTGATCTGTTCCTCTTCTTTAAAGCATTATCTTCTGTTTCTAGTTATTTTTTAGCAACTTTATTGCACACTATGTAAATTTGGAGTTTTCTAGTCAAAAACGCCTAAACCTAAGTTTGTGCTGCCTTCAGTGGCCTCTGCAATTCCTAGTATCTCACATTTGTTTTATCTCCATGTAGGTTTGACACTGCTTAAAAAAGTAAAGACAAATAAATAAATAAACTAACTAAATAATTAACTACCCAAAATACACAAACAAATGCATAGATAAATATAAAACCGAAGTTGGAAGTCTGTTCATCGACAATGTATGTATCCTAGTATCTCACATTTGTTTTATCTCCATGTAGGTTTGACACTGCTTAAAAAAGTAAAGACAAATAAATAAATAAATAAACTAACTAAATAATTAACTAGCCAAAATACACAAACAAATGCATAGATAAATATAAAACCGAAGTTGGAAGTCTGTTTATCGACAATGTATGTATCTTACCTATGCAGACATGAAGCAATAATAGGAAAAGCCTCAAAAATAAAATAAACAAGGATTACATATTTTATCCTCTTCTGTTGAAAAATGCGTAGACAACTTCCTACCTGAAGTTGACCCATGTGTGCTAGTTAAGCCCCTGCACCGCCATCTAGTGGGGTTAAAGATCAACATACTGTCCCAAATATAAGTCTATCAAAAGTTCATTAAACTCAGTATGGCAAAACTGTTAAAATAAATAAATAAATAAATAAAATAGTGTATGTATCCAACTAGTGTTTTAATAACAAGATTGTTGTCCTCAATTTTTTACCATAACAAACCCACTCTAACCAGAGTTTAAAGGCATTTTATTTTAGTCTCAAAAAGGAACAGGGAGCATGGATTACAGACATGGATCGATTACAGGGCCAACAGCTATAGTGCCAAAAGCTACCACATTCACGCGTCTTTTTATAGTGCAACTGTGTCATATGTGGTAGAGTCTATTTGTGTCTTGATTAATGATCTGACCTAATTGCAAGCACATTGGAGGACCATTTGAACTCGATGGAACCAACCTGGTGCCACTGAGCAGGCATTGGCAGAGTAAAGCTAGAGCAACCAGATACTCAAGTGAGAAATAATTTACCTAAAAATTGCTCATAGAATATAGAATACCCCAGAAGGAAGCATTTTTGTTATTGGATAATTCTACCTAAAAATGTTTCTCTACCTACTGTCCACCTGCTGGCCGCTGTACAATACACTGCAGGAGCAGTGACAGAATGAGAGCACGGTGAGGAAACACGGCCTTATAACTCACTAATTCTGTATCAACACCCTCCCACGTCCAGAGAAGCCAACCACGTCAGGTACAAGAAGCAGATGGAGGGACAACAGCAATAGGTTATATGAAAGGGAAATTATAAGAAGCAAGTATGTATTATATATAGGCTAAATACTTTTATAACGAATGCAAGAAACAGACAGTCATTTTGGCCACTATTGGCTGAACTATATGCATCAGAGCACAACGCACAACCTGATCCACTACTCACACCCAGCTCCAACAACGTCAGCAAAACTACAAAAAGAGACTACGGTCACAACACGAACACACGGGATCAGCGAAACTCCTACAACGTACGGCAGAACAACCAGAGCAGCTACGTCGGCTACAAGCTCATTTACGCACTATTTAACTATTAACACAAGTTACCAGTGAGGCTCCGCCCGCAGATTTGCCCATAACTAACGAAAACAAGCCTCTAACGTTCTCCTGGGGACTGATGCCGAGCGTGTCCTCTACCAACTGTCCTGTTGGTTCTGAAGAGATGAAACTGGTCCAAGTCCCGGTGTAAAGGTTTCAAACTACCCCCAGTTTCAAAGTACTTGAAGCTGGTTTCAAGCTACCCCCCTTAACCCTAACCCTAACCCCCGGTAATTTGAAACTGGTTTCAAATTACCGGGGGGTAACTTTTGACGGGGGTAGTTTGAAAACGCTACACCTGGTCCAGTCAGGTCCGTGACACAATATCCGGGAGCCGAATGCACAAGCTTGTTTTAAAACTAGTCTCAATCTCTCTTCCTACTTAAATCTAAAAGTCAGTCCATATTAGCACTAGGGCACCGGGTAGACTTAAGAACTTAAACTTTTACGCCCAGAAACGGGCGGGTGGAGGCGGATAGAGCAGTGAGCGAGTGCCTCCGAGTCCCGGCAGTCGCAGCGCCCCCGGTGTCTATAGGACTCTCCTCCCGCTCTCCAGTGCGGAGGTTTAAGCGAAAGTAGCTAGCCGTCATTAGCCAGTGTGTGAATCAAAACGAGAGCTGTAGGATCTCACCGCAGCCAGATACACTCATTTCATAATGCTTCTTTTCTTGCTTGGCACAGGGTCCTTCCCTAAAAACTGTTCCCCGGACACGCTTTGACTTCAAGATGAACTTGCCATAGCTGGAAAGTACACAGCTCTGTTATTATCCTTTCATTAGCCTGTAGCAGTAACACGCTGCCAGTGGAGAGTTGGGGCTAGGCGGAAGAGAGAGACCACGCATCACAATAGGCCAGAAGTGTGTGATAATGTTTATAAAGACTAATCACTTGATTTCAGGTCGCCCCCACCCTACGCCCACAAGACGTATTTTACGGCTGTAATGTAAAGTAATGGGCAGAAGCAACGTAAAAACTATGTCTATGTAGATACACGTTAAATTTTAAACTAAATATTAGACATATAGCCTAATACAAAATAAAGACTTTGTAATTTTATTATTATCTTTAAAAAGCTAAAAAGATTATTATCTGAATATCACAACACGTTTAATAAATGACATGACAGGAAAACCTAAAGACAGCTACCATAGTAACAGGGTCTGGGTCATCTGTTCGGGGTAGGACAGGTTTATGACTTTTCAGAAAAAAAGTATTAAATAGCCTATCCCATAAAACAATCAACTGGGACTTAGTAAAGAAAAGCTTCATTTTGTCGTTTTCAACTTATTTAAAAATAAAGAACTGAGACTCGAAAGTGAGATCAAAGGCAATTAAATTTTATTTGAAATTTCAATAAATCACAAATCTGGTCGCAGTCATCAAAAAAAGACACCTGGTTTCCAGGGGGCAATGTATTTTGTAACGGGGGATTTCTGTTTGTTCTGTACTTGATTCTTAGGTTTTCTCATGGCATATATAACCCAAAAATAGTTCAAATATTTGTTAAATCTATTACAGAAATCTTTTTTTAATTGATGAACTCAACAAGAAAAACCTGAAACTTTAAGAAAAATGCTATTTCAACACAATGTTTTCACAATAACTTGCATGCAAATAGGAATAAGTCAATTTTTCTTGGAAAATCCTACAGTCGGCATCCACTTCTCTCATTTTTGACATTTTGCTGATGAGGGTGTCACGGTCAACAATCAAAACAAAAGTCCTTGAAGAGCGTTTGGAAAGAGGCAAGTCTTCATTTGTGCCTGTTCTGATGGGAGGCGGCCATGCACAGAGGCGCTGGAGATGCTGCTATGCTAAGCAGGCAGAAAATTACCAATATTTTAATAGAAAATATAATTAAGATATTTAGTAGAAAATCAGATGAGGGCCAGATTAAAGGTCTTGAAGGGCAGGATCCGGCCCCCGGGCCACATGTTTGACAACCCTGGTCTAGAAACTAACACAAAACTGATGTAATCTGAAAAATATTCAATAAAAAATATCACCAAACCAAGTAAAAATTATTAGAAAAACCTGCCATACACACTTTAAGATCAGGCTAAAACATATGTATATATATATATATATATATATATATATATATATATACATATACACACACACAATATATATATATATATATATATATATATATACACACACACATATATATATATATATATATATATATATATATATATATATATATATATATATATATATATATATATATATATTATATATATATAAAACTCAATGCGATTGTGGAAAACCACCCTTGAAGCCAATGGGAAGCCACTTGCACAAGTGTCCATCAAATGTGGCATATACCAAGGAGACTCACTGTCCCCACTGCTGTTCTGCATAGGTCTGAACCCCTGTAGCCAAATCATTGGCCACACTGGCTATGGCTACCAACTCAGAAACGGGGCCACCATCAGCCACCTCCTCTACATGGATGGCATCAAGCTATATGCTAAGAGCAAGCGAGACATCGACTCACTGATCCACACCACAAGGATCTACAGCACAGACATTGGGATGTCATTCGGGGGTCGCATTCCCAAAGGGAACAATAACAGATGCTGGGGCCATTAAAAATATCTTGGTATCCCACAAGCAAATGGCAACCTCAAAGAGGCAACAAGGAAAGCAGCTATGGCCAAATACCTGCAAAGAGTGTGGCAAGTCCTAAGAAGCCAGGTCAATGGCAAGAACAAGGTGCAGGCAATCAACAGCTACGCCCTGCCAGTGATCAGATACCCTGCAGGGATTGTAAGCTGGCCAAAGGAGGAGATACAGACCGGAGATGTTAAGACACGAAAGCTCCTGTCCATGCAGGGAGGGTTCCATCCCAAATCCAGCACCCTGAGACTGTACGCAAGCCAGAAGGAAAGAGGCTGAGGACTAGTGAGTGTGGGAACCACTGTCCAGGATGAAACATCCAAGCTAATTGAGTACATCAAGGATAAGGCCGCGACAGATGAGGTGCTCAAAGAATGTCTCAGACAGTGGAGTCCAAAGGAAGAGGTGCTGGAGGGACCATCATGGCAGGACAAGCCCCTACATGGGGCGTACCACCGGAACATAACTGAAGTGGCTGATATCAAGAAATCCTACCAATGGCTTGAGAGGGCTGGTCTGAAGGACAGCACAGAGGCTCTCATCCTGGCTGCTCAGGAGCAGGCCCTGGGCACTCGAGCAATAGAGGCCCAGATCTACCACACCAGACAAGACCCACGGTGTAGGCTGTGCAAAGAGGCTCCTGAGACAGTCCAGCACATAACTGCAGGGTGTAAGATGCTGGCAGGGACAGCATACATGGAGCGACATAACCAAGTGGCGGGCATAGTGTACAGAAACATCTGTGCAGAGTACAGGCTGGAGACCCCAGGATCAAGGTGGGAAACACCTCCAAAGGTTGTGGAGAATGACCGAGCCAAGATCCTGTGGGACTTCCAGATACAGACTGACAGGATGGTGATGGCGAACCAACCAGACATAGTGGTGGTGGATAAGAAACAGAGCAGAGCTGTGGTGGTGGACATTGCAATACCAAGGGATAGTAATATCAGGAAAAAGGAACACAAGAAACTGGAGAAATACCAGGGGCTCAAGGAAGAGCTGGAGAGAGCCTGGAAAGTGAAGGCATCAGTGGTGCCTGTGGTGATCAGAACACTCGGGGCTGTAACCCCCAAACTGGAAGAGTGGCTACAACAGATACACTACAACAGATTTTTTTTTATGTGTGTGTGTGTGTGTCTGTATATATATATAAACAGTATTTACCTTTGAGGCCGAGATAACCAGCTTCCTGTCAGCACTGATACACACATCTGTAACCCAATCAATGTGGCCCTAAAGAGAATTAGACTTAAATTGAGTAGAATAATTATTGAGGAACAGAGGGACATAAACATTTGCAAACTCAGACAGTGCTGGAGTATTTAAAGTTCACCTTCAGTGAGAGGGTCTGACTGAGGGAGGTCATGTCCAATAGAGATACTGTTTTATCAAATGAAATAGATACGAGGAAGGCACCTACAGAAAAAACACAGTTAATATTAAAATAATTAGTACAAATAAATAGAAAATACAATAATACTTTAATAATATATAGTATTAATAATATAGTCAGCCTCACCTCCACGCACAGCTTGGGCTCTGGAACCCAGCTCATTGAGAGGGGCTGGACTCTCCATTTCTCTGGCGTTGCCCAGATGAAGCAATGGTGAGCTGGTGTGGGCCTGCTCATTGCCCCACAGCTCAGCCGCCAAGTGTTAGAGTTCACCCCCGTGAACAAGAAGATCGCGTCTCTGCGCCTTCAGGCTGGAAACATGTCTCTCACTGTTGTGTCGGCCTACAGGCTGTACAGCAGTGCAGTGTACCCGGCCTTCTCGGAGTTCCTTGAAGGGGTACTAGACAGTGCAATGACCAGGGACTCCGTTGTTCTAGTGGGGGACTTCAATGCCCATGTGGACAATGACAGTGACACCTGCTGATCGGGAGGAACGGCCTCCCTGATCTGAATGCGAGTGGTATTTTGTTATTGGACTTCTGTGCTAGTCACAGTTTGTCCATAACGAACCCCATGTTTGAGCAGAAGGGTGTCCGTCAGTGCACATGTACCAGGACACCCTAGGCCGTTGGTCGATGAGCGATTTTGTCGTTGTGTCATCTGACTTCTGGCCACGAGTCTTGGACACTCGGGTGAAGAGATGGGCAGAGCTGTCAACCAAGCACCACCTGGTGGTGAGTTGGGTCTGCTGATGGATGAGGAAACCGGCAAGACCTGACCAAGCAGGTAGTGAAGGTCTGTTGGGAACGTCTGGCAGAGCCCTGTGTCAGGGAGACCTTCAACTCACACCAGCTGTCACGGCTGCAATCCCCGAAACTGGTGGTGGACACCAGAAGTAAGGGATGCCGTCAGGCTGAAAAAGGAGGTCTATCAAGCCTTGTTGGCTTGTAGGACTCTTGAGGCAGCTGACGGGTACCGGCAGGCCAGGCATGCTGCAGCAGTCGCAGAGGCCACAACTTAGAGCTGGGAGAAGTACAGGGAAACCATGGAGCAGGAATATCGGTCGGCCTCAAAGAAATTCTGGCAAACTGTTCAGCACCATAGGAGGGGGAAGCAATGCTTCACCAACACTGTTTACAGTATGGGGGGAGAGCTGTTGACCTCGACTGGGGATTCTGTCGGTCGGTAGAAGGAATAATTTGAGGATCTCCTCAATCCCAAAGTCACGTCTTCCAAGGAGGAAATAGAGGCTGGGGACTTGGATGCAGACTCGTCCGACACCCTAGCTGAAGTCACTGAGGTGGTTGGCAAGATCCTTGGTGGCAAGGCTCTGGGGGTGGATGAGATTCATCCTGGGTATCTTAAGTCTCTGGATGTTGTGGGGCTATCTCTGACATGTCTCTGCAACATCATGTGGCAGTCAGGGACAGTACTTCTGGACTGGCAGGCCGGGGAGGTTGTCCCTCTGTTTAAGAAGGAGGACCAGAGGGTGTGTTCCAACTACAGAGGAACCACATTCCTCAGCGTTCCCCGGTAAGGTCTATTCCAGGGTACTGGAGAGGAGAATCCAAACGACAGTCGAACCTCAGATTCAGGAGGAGCTGTGTGGCTTTCATTGTATTTATGGACAGAATTTCTAGATGCAGTCAGGGGCCGGAGAGGGTCTTGTTTGGGGACCATGGGATCTCATCTCTACTGTTTGCAGATTATGTTGTCCTAATGGCTCCATCGAGCCAGGACCTGCAGCATGCACTGGGGTGGTTTGCAGCTGAGTGTGAAGTGGCTGGGATGAAGATCAGCTCCTCCAAATCTGAGCCACGGTTCTCGACTGGAAAAAGGTGGCTAGCCCTCTTGGGGTGGGTGGAGAGTCCCTGCTTTAAGTGGCGGAGTTCAAGTATCTCGGGGTCTTGTTCATGAGTGAGGGGAGGATGGAGCGTGAGATTGACAGGAGGATCGGTGCAGCATCGGCAGTGATGCTGTTGCTGTATTGGACCGTTGTGGTGAAGAGGGAGCTGAGCCAAAAGGCAAAGCTCTCAATTTACCGGTCAATCTACATTCCTACTCTCACCTATGGCCATGAGCTTTGGGTAGTGGCTGAAAGAACATGATCGCGAGCCAGCATTCACTGTGATGTATTGACTATATCATAATAAAATGAAATGTGAATATAGCAAGGCCAAATGTCGGGCCTTGTTTATATAATTTTCCCGATCTTTCTGATACGAAAGAGCATTGTAGTCAGTGAAAAAAAAAAAAATCTGGAGGGGGGAGGGGGGATACGAGATAAACCCCCAGCGGTTATCTCGTAATTACGAGATATCTCGTAATTACGAGATAGTTTATTTTGTTTTTACGACATTTTTTTTTCGGGGGATAGTATCTCGTAATTACACGATAGTATCTCGTAATTACGAGATAATTGAATAATTAATGCATGTTCCTCATGACCTGCGCTCGTCTTGAACATCGCGAGTCAACAAATAGTACTATATTTGTTGCTCATTGTTCTTTGTGAAAGTGTATTTACCTTTCTCGTGTTCACTACAACGTGATCATTGTGCTAGTGTAGCTCATCTTTGTTATTGCGGTGACATGAGTGATGCCCTGTTGTTTGGCTTTCTTTGTACAGTTTTTTTTTGTTTTTTTTTTTTTGTTTGTTTGTTTGATAGCAATTAGTTATTTTGTAGTATTTGTAATATGTTCAATTATTTGTCTGCATTTTACTAATGTACATTTTTCTTTGTGCTTCTTATAGAGCCACATATATCAACCAATATACAAACCCTCAATACTCGAATAACTCTCCAATACCAAAGACATCTGGTTAAGTTTTGTGTGGACACCTTGCAGCGAATCTAAGTCTTACAGCGTCCCCTAGTGTTTTACATCACGGAGCTCTTCATATCCCCACTTGGATCAGACCTCCAGTGTTTCGACTGACCCTCCAACCATTGACGCCTGCCGACCGCGCCTTAATTGTGTCCCCATGCACCCGATCTGTCATCGTGTCTTGCTACCTCTGCTGTGTGGCGGCCCCATGTCCATATCCCCTCCGACCTCATGTATCCATGTTCTCCGTCCTCTGTCTCTGTCTGTCTTGTCTCTTTATCGCAAATTACTGGTATGCAGAGATTGGAGCTGCCGTGCCACATCACGTTGTTGTCCGGGATAATAAAATAGGCCTAACAAAAACACACACCAATGCTATAACACATTAATAGCAAACAATTTAAATCTACCTCACTTGTGAACACCTACATCTTAAATACACAAAAAATGCTTAAATGCTTTCTAACAATAACTTAGTTGTAAAACTACGGCAGTGTCTAACCGAGCCAATTCTTTAAAATGAGTATTCCAGTCTTGTCTCATCTGTCCAGTCCAGCCAAGTGTGGCAGCAGCTGATGTCTGACTTCTGGGAGACTTGTTCATCCATCCGTGCATGAAATGTTTGCGCTCACAGTTCATTCAAGCCTGGACAACGAGACGACAAGCCTGGGTCAGCTGACTGCGGCTTCTCTCGTCCAACCAGACCATCAGTCCAACTTAAGGGTCTATGTAAAAAAAAAAAAAAGTGCTATTTAGGTTACTGTAAGCTACCTGTGTATTGACATTACAACGTTGACATAACTAAAGTAAGAACGAATATCATCGATGCACAAATGCAGCATAGGCTTCTTTCAAACCTCACAAATAGGCTACGCTGAATGGGCTTAATTTTGAAATAATATTGGTAAAGTTTTCACGTTTATTGAAACTAATTATAAACATTACTTTAGGGCAATGTACAGCCTGCTTGACCTATAGTTCCGACTGTTTATTTATAATTATTTTGTTTCATAGTAAAGAAATGAAAATAGTGGAAGTGCGTTTCGCGAGCCAATTTGTATGTTACTGCCACCTAGTGTCTAAACAATCTACTCACAGGTGGAAAGAACTTGAGTTGTAATATTTTTCCGTTTATACATTTTACATATTAATATATAACACACATCACTCTTTTGGTTTTTAAAATGTTTATTAAAAAATAAAATAGAAAAAAATATATTTACATAAAAACGTCCAAAAACAAATTGCTGGCCAGTGGTTCCCTCATTTTGAGGGCCACCGCTCACATGACTTAGCCAGGTCACATCACAGTGGGGCCGCCTCCGCTCTTTAGCAGCCACCAGTTTAAAATCCACCATTGTGTCCAATGGGGGCGTAGTACATTGCATCTACATGTTCATGTGTACACTAAAGTCTCAGTGGTCTGAGCTAGTCTCTGTTGCCCTGGTTTCTTCTTACTCACACCAGACCCGAGAAGTGAAGGCAATTTGGCAAAAGCACAACCAGAACCTTTGTTTTAGCACTTCCATCAGTGTCAGTTGAGAGAAAACTCAACAGGAAGAAGAGTGAACCATGTTGGACTGCTGAAATGAACAGAGCCTTAGTTTAATCCATACCCACTCTGGGAGACAGCACAAGTTAGACTTTGCTGTGAAGATGCAGACAACTCCAACAGTCAACAACTTTACATGACCAACATTATTGCCACTTATAAAAGTGGGGTATAATTTCAATTGAGTACATCTCGTTTCAAATTAATCATGGGAAATGCATGACAAATGTAATACTCTTCTCAAATGACCAAATGAGTATTGAAAAATAAACTCATACTGTGCTTCTCCTTGTGGGGGGGGGGGTACAGTTCTTGACTAACTAGAGTTGCCATGGCTTAACCAGAAAACAAAAACCCAATAGTGTACTAGTGCAAAACACATTGTAAAAAATAAGGTAAAGTTGGATTACAATTTGGCCTGCTTGAGTACACTTACAGAGTGCAGGGCACATTCTGGGTGCACTTGCTGATCAACCATTGTGTGTTGGTTTAAAACTAGTGGTGGCAAAAGTCACAAATCTCACAAATATTTCAGTATGTTACGCACAACACAGACTCATACCCAACCACAAAGGGAACAGCCCTGCTTCCTTATACTCGACAGGGAAACTGAAGGAAAAACAAGGAACATTTTATGCCCTTCATACAAGTACAAGATGAGGAGAGCAGGCCAGAGGTCATTCAAAACGTTGGCTTTTTAGAGTCTGATGCTTTGTAACATTACTCCATTCCAACAGGCAGAGTTTTTCAGTGAGAAAACAAAGGAAACCACAAACAACAGACTAGACAAGAGAAGAGACACAATAGTTAAATCCACTTGCATAGTAATAACACCGGTGTGCGTAGAGTTCTCGGAGTAGTGTCTAGTTTGAACAGTCTTTTCTGCGAGAGTGGGAAAGTAGTGAGACACGCATCACTGAAAACCACATACACACACCCCAAGTAAACACAAAGAAAGGCATTGCAAACAATTAGCGGAAGTACCTGGCAATCAAATGTACAAGATTCCTGAATGGAATCATAATAGAATTCCCTTTCTGGATGTTCAAAAATACCCGTTCCCTTCCTTCGGTGTACAATTTTACCTCTTTCCTCTCCTGGTAAATCTAAGGATTGTAAAAGTAGTCTATGCCTACTATCACCAAGCTTCCAAAATAATACATTTCAGTCTACAATAAGTGCAGCATTTACCACACAGTAAACATCCTTTTGAAAGAAGTTTGCCTTAACTGTTAACCCTTCCCTTGACAAACAAATATAATAGAAAAAACACACGGTAACTGGCGGAACCTAAATAATGCTCTGAGCTCAATACACCAAATCTGAGGCTCAATTTTCAATGGCAATACTGAGATGTCAGTGTGTCCCAGAGCAGCATCCTCCTTCAGCATAATGTGGATATATGTTACAGTTTTTAAGTTTAAATTTACAGAGATTGTAATTTGAACTGTCAAAGAGCAGTTTAGTTCCACTAAAAGAACCAGGAGCAGAAAGAGGCAGAAAGAAGGGATAAGAGATTTCTGAATACAGGTCCATCTCAGACTCATGAGACACAGCAACATACACACATTCAATTACAATAAAATAGAAGTGATAAACTCACTCAAGATGCTGCCTGGAGAAAGGTCCGTAAACAAATAAAAACCCTACAAAAATAAAATAATATAAAAATGCCTTACGTATATGCACAAAATTAAATAAGCATTTACATTAGTTTCAAAAAGATAACATTATTGCACCAAATGAAACCTTTGTTCTCAAGTGTTAATTTTTCAAGTGAAAAGGTAACACTACCACGAGCAGCTTGGCTGCAATAGGCTTGACATGGTCAGAATGACTTGTCAATAAAAAAACAAGTTCAAATTAACAAAATGACCTGAATGAAAAATACTGCAAGTAAATGTGACTGCAAGGTATGACACAGAAACGGAATAAGTGGAAATATGAAGGTAGAGCTTCCAGGAAGAATATACAGCGCTCAGTGCTGCAGGTCGGTGATCCTACGTTTGAGGATCCGGTCTTTTTCAAGACAATCTTAAACGCTGATGCTTGCACCAAAGAGGCTATGGAGGAAAGAAAGGAGAGCAACAAGTGGCTCCTATCTGCTGAGGCTGACTGGGAGGCTGTCCCGCTTTCTACGTCTCCAAGTGTTACGGTGATATTGTGTATGCGTGTGCACGTGTCCACGGTTAGCCAGGACAGGATTGTTGACCAGTGGTGGATTATGGAAGCCCTTGATGTTGAATTTTGCTCCGTTCTACAAAACAGTATAAAAAGGACAAACAAATACTGTATGTGAATGAACAGTTTCCCTTAAGAGGTTTACAACATTAAAGAGATGCACCAAATTGAAATAGGATGGTGTGACTAGCATGGCATTATGAAAGGCAGTGCTGAAAAGATTTTGGGATTACAATGGTCATGTGTGTGGGTGGCATCCTACCTTGTGGGCGTGGCTGGAGGGGGAGCTGGACAGAGGCTGGGGGCTAGAAGGGGCAGGGGCATGAGCATGGGCTGGGGAGGGCATGTGGAAGAAGTGAGGGAGCCTGGTGTCTATACACACCTGTCTGCCAGGCAAGGAGTGCATTGCTAGACCACCGGCCAGTGAGACATGAGCCTGGAGAAGGAGAACAAAAGCAATAAATAGTCAATTATAACTTCCTAACTTCCTAATTTACTAATTTATAACTAAATACCTGTGAAACTGGAGGTATGAGGAGAGGGTGTGCTCCAATGTTGTGTTTACCAGACCCCATGCTGAATCCTGGTGGTAAAGCCAGTCCCAAATGTGGAAATGATGGGTAAGGGGGAAGGGGAGGGATGGGACATGGTGGAGTGGAGTCGGAATCCTGTTGAAAATACTGATGAAGATTGTACCAAACAACCTTGCATGTGTAAAATAAAGAGTATGTCTCCTTACATTGTCTGATCCAGACAGTGACGACACGGAGGAGGCAGAGGAGTGTTGTTGTGGACTGGAGATAGACATAGGAGAGTCTGCGCTGGGGGGAGACACAGAGTCCCTGTGCTCCTCTGAGTTCACACAACTGGACTCATGCTCTGAAACTGAGGGACTGAATCAGACTCAAGTATTCTAATCACTGCGAATTAATAAAAAATATGCATTTGTACCTCTGCTTTCCGTTCTTGAAAGATCGCGACCGCCCCACTTCTTAATAATCCACTCTCTGTAGTCAATAACTTCCTGAGTCAGTCTGATGATTCGACCTAAGGTGCTGCAAAAAACATGCCTAAAATGTTAGAGCATCATAAGAAAAACAGTCAACTATTGGACTGCAGTAAGGTCTAACCTTTCAGAGTCTTTGTTGGGATATGATCGAGCGAGTGGGGACACAGCATGACTCAGGACAGTGTATGCATAGTCAAACACTTGTTTGACATGCATGGCACCATATGAACCCCTGCCTACATCATTACCTACATGTAAAGAAAACCAATGAACCACAATAAACCAACTTGTGCAAATAGAGAAACTTGAAAACAAGAATAGTATTATGCATGTTACCTGGGAGCAAGGGATCTTCAATGCACAACATAGACGGCCTGGATCCATTTGTCAAAGATTTCATGATCTCTTCTTTGGCAATGTATGCACCTCCATTTTTTATGCGGATTCCCGTTTTCAAGTAGTTAAAATGGCGACCATACAACTCAAAGAATTCTATTAGTAAGACACCCAAGTTCTCATTTGGATTCCTTGCATCAATACGAGGATGAAGCTACAGAAGAGAGAGAATAGGAACTATTTAAACTGTTATCAAAATACCTTCCAATGCAATGTAGCTTCACTTTATGTACCTGTAGGAAACTGATGACCATAAGGATAAGGCTATAGGAGCTGATTCCTCCAGTGAAGACTTCATTTAAGTCTCTCTGCAGTAAAAACTGCTTAAGCACAAAGATGAGGTAAGGCAGAACAGGATACTTCTGGTTGGAGAAAAACGCAGAAGAAAAATTAGATATGTAGGGTTAAGATTTATTTTCATAAATTTAATTATGTATCAAATGTCTATATGTAAAAGACCACACAAAAGATGTTTTGCAGAATAGTTAACTACAATAAAAAAATAAAAAAAACATCTGCAACTGGGCCACAGTTTGGAGATGTTAAATATAGCCTCAGACATGACAATGCTTGTACCTTTTAAGAATGAGATGTTAATTTTCCAATAGAAAAGGTAGTCTCACCTCTTGGCTGTATATGTGTATATCTGTGCCAAATGAGCAACAGAGCTAGACTGACCTTTCAAATATGCTCTAAAGAAGTGAGAACACAGCTGGGAGGGGTTGAGCAAGCATTGGCTGCATGGGAGTCTGGTAGAGGAGGCCTCATAGTAAGGTGACCTCTCATTGACATGACTGCACTAAAGTGTGCTCCACCCATGCATTAACAACATCGTTTAACACTGTACTGATGCTCAGCAACCTTGTCTACAACAGGCTTTCAAGCTCCAACATGTACTATGAGAATATGTAGAAACAACAAAGCACCAAGGCTGACAGCTGGCTGAGCATCCACATGGAGAATTTCTCTGTTTTAACTAAACCCCATGAGCCAAAGGGTACAGCACATTCTAACTAAGTCAAATTGGCAGCAAAGTCTTTTAGGTCACTCTTTTGGAAAAATGAGCTATAATGGCAATATAAGTAAAGCTCTTTCAACTGTGTTCATGAGGGGAATTTCCAATGGCTAAATTTAGACAACAGTTTAAAATGTAATTATATGTTACTTGTGGTCGATCTTATTGACAAATGCAAGTACAACCTTTGTATAGCAGTTTTTCTAGTGATTTTAATAATATACACCATTTACACCCTCCACATAGAACATTTAACATGAACAAAACCACATACATTTACATTAAATAAATAACAGATAGGCCTTACCTTAACATAATCTTTAATAAAGCTGGCTGCTTTGACTCCAGTCTCCACATTAAAACTGATGTCGACTTTCACCTCTGTTTCCTGGTCTGTCAACTTAATGATTGGCACCTGTGTGAATTAAGCATTACATTAGTATCTGTTGGAAAAAGGCATCTATCAAGCTAACTAACTCACTCAATACAAAATAAGCACAACAGGGCTAGTTGTAATAGGCAATAAAACGGTACTTTTTGTGATATGGAAACACTTAAATTGGCCTAGTTCATTGTAAGGATGCATTATATACATTTAAAGTCCCATCACTGCCAAATTTTAAATCAAATACTGGCTAGCTGAGAGAAACCCCACTAAAGATGGCTAAATGTACACAACATAATATGACCAGATGGCAGACACAAACAATACATTAATCTTTTACCAATATTATAAGGCTATCTTCTCTAAATATGCTCAAATGCATTGTAGTGTTTCCACATTTTAATTGTGCCTAGATACACAAAAATAACCATGATATTTAATATAACTCATTAATTACCATAGTAAGACAGATGGGACCATCAAGTAAAATAAAAAAGTCACTGATGCTTTTGATAGACATCTGTTCGTGCATATTTTAGAGCAGCGCACCATGTCAACAGTAACACTGGAAACATGCCCTTAACCTAATTTGCCTGGTGATCAATAACACACAATAATATGAGGATTGGATGAAAACAATTGCACTCATTTCAGTTTGAGCAATGTAATTTCTTATCTTACTACAATCCATATTGACTATATGTAGCTAAATGTTGGGGTACATAAACACATGATTTAACCTGACTCACTGTAGCTTTGTCAAGCACTTTAATGGAGAACGGTTCTGCAACATTATGTTTGCGAAGAGCTTGTTCTAACTCTTGTAGTGGAGGCCGCTCCCATTTCCCAAACACCACAAGATCAATGTCACTAAGAGAAAAATGCATATTATTATTACTATAGGATATAAGAGAATAGATTCTATTTTTTTAGCAACCCTTACCTGGTTGGTAGGTACAATCCTGTACTAAAGCTGCCAAATATTTGAACCTGGAGAAATGTGGAAAAGAAGTATTAAAAATAAAGGGAACCTTAAATTTAGTAAAAGGTACAGGGACAGACTATTGCAAATAATAACTGCAGACATGATTTACATATTCTTCTCAGATGGTCTCAAAATAGAGAGAAAAAACGCCTAAGTATTTCTGTGTTTCACTTCAAATGCTGCCAACAGAGAGAGCTGCCAATGCAACTGTTCTCTCAAAAGAAAGCAAAGTAAAGTTCCCTCTTTTTCGGCCTGTGACAAGGCTACAGCACAGAGTAAGTCTAGGATTAATAGAAGGAGATGAAGAGAGACTACAAATCAGCAGTTCAATCCATTTATTGGGCAGTCTGGCTGAAGTGGAGGACTGGCAGCCAACAAATCTCATATGCATGTGTTTTACATGATTAAATAATGATAGAAGTATTACTTCACCACCATGCCAGTACTTCCGTTTCATTTTTTAGTACACTGTGAATTCTTATCTGCACTGACGTATAGCATTTTTTAACAGCATGTTCAACTGGGTCATAACGGTTTATATCTTACATCTGAAGTGGGCCAGAGCTCCTTGATGATCCGTTCTATTCGGTTCACCACCTCCTTCCTCATAGCTTCTTCTTCTGGCCGAGGGGACATGAACTTGTAGAAATCCATTATTTCCTCATGTAGCCTGCACAAAAAATAAAATGGTTAAAAGATTTAAAAATGTAATCCTGGATTTAATTCCATACATAATTTATGCTATTCTTGAGGTACATATATCAATCATTCCCTCCTGTTTTTCCTAGAAGTGTCAGTGTGAAAAAGAGAACAGGGAGTCCCTGCCTCTATTACCAGTCTATTAGGCTGGAGGCAACGCAGTTAGAAGGTTTCACTTGTACTACTGGTGGATATTCTTCACACTTCTGAGGTACATCCTCATTCAAAACTTGTATTTCTATGTTACACTATTTTGTAAAACAGCTGTGATAATGATGTAATATGTCGATTAGATATTTAAATCTTACATAGTGTTTCCACCATGTGCTATCAATCATTACAAGATACTATCAATGTGACGTTACTTTTGTAACCCTTTCTTTCAACCCTGGAGACAAACAGCAGCATGCCAAAACTTGCACATTATCTTGTGCAACCCATGAAAAAGGCACAATACAACAAGCAACATGTGTAGAATCTTTAACTATTCCTTGCACTATAAAGTTCCATATGGGCATAACACTACATTACAAACATAACAAATTACCTGCATGTTAAGTTCTCCCAAACACTCAGACCTGTAATCATGCCTATGACTTAACAGATAACATCAAATTCATCTTCACCATCTGTGATGTGAGTTTCATTTGCAAAAGTACAAATCAAACCAACAGTACTGCTCAGTAAATGATTTACGCCATTACTCTACTAAAATGTTGACATTTGATGACACAAATGTTGGGCATTTTTTTCTCAATTTATGCCATGGCAAACATTTTACCATTTTGCATTTTTTTTCTCTTCACTGCTCTTGTCAAAACAGTCCAGATTATAGTATTCTGTAACCGATGAAAGCCCTTCATAATAAAACTCCAGGTTAACATTTTTTATTTGTGTTACATGGCAAACAAATATGACTATTCATGAAAATATTACAAAATTTAAAAAAAAACAAACAAACAAAAAAATAAACTTTCGTTTGCAGAAAAGTAGGTCCAACGTTGCTTTGCGAGGACCTTTAATTTTACTTGAGTTTTAATTACACAACAACCACTTCCGGTCCCCTGCTGCGCGTCTTATGTAAAATTTATTTGACTTCTTACAAAAACTTCCCGTAAATTATAAATGTACTATACATCTCTATAATCATTACACTGTGCCAGGTCGTATGTATAATAACACATATGACAATAAAAGGCGCTTACCCAAGGACTCCAGGATTGTACTTCTTCGTCTTCCAAGGCGTCCAAGCGCTCACAAAATTGCCATTAGTGCAATTTGAAAGCAAGTAATTCATGCCATAAGTGCTGGCCTTATTGTCACATTTCCTTCGGCCTGGATGGTGACTGTGAGGGTGATTAACAGGTACAGGTACAGAGAGAACCTGGTGACGATTTGCGCAAATTTGCTGCAAGTTGTACACGGACTGCTCGTGCACACGCTGATGGTGCTGATAAAGATTAACATTGTCCATGCTGTCGCTCAAGTGTAGCAGTAGATTGGCAGTCCCCATATTCCCGGTGACATTTCCACCGATAGTCCTCTCAAGAGAGCTGCTACTGGGAGGTGGGCTGTCCGGCCCAGATTCTTGAGATGATACCGAGGAGACAGATCCCGTTTTCTGATTTTTACTCCGACTCTGGCCCGTAGTGTTTGCCGTGGTGTAAGAATCCGGTGCATTCCCGTTGCACAGCGTTATCCCCAGAGAGGACATCGCAGTGCCACTAGTGCCGTTTGAGATGCTGTGATGGCTGCTGCTCATACCGCTTGTAACGTTACCATTGCTGCTGCAAATGCTCGATGCCACCGCGGTCGCCACATTTTTTAAAACATCTAATGCTGCGTAATTGACACAATGGTTGTGGTTTTGATTGTGAAGCTTCTGCTGAGCGGAGAGAGTGCGTAGTCCCTGAGAGGTCTCCCAGACGTGCATCCATAAAGCGTTCGCAGGTCCTTTCTGTTCGGGCTGAATCCAAGCTACCCTCGGATCCATTCAACTTCTTTCTCTGGCAACCTCCCGACAACTATCTAACTACCACTTGCGAGCCCGTTGTGGTCCAGAACAGGCGGTGGGGCCTTTTAAAGGCCACGGCACAAAGCGGGATAAGAGAAAGATACGTATTTATACATTAAACCAAACCCGGACCATTGGAAGTGGTCCCCTGTACCGCTAACTGGAAAAATGCTATCCGAATCCTACGGGAATTCAATATGGCGTATTCTCTTCAAATCCACGCGCATGCGCCATGAAGGCTTTCTTTAAATGATGACTGCGCCCCCCATACGCCCACTCTTCACCTCTACATAAATGATAAACTACCCCGTAAATATTACACACATTTCATCAAGCATCAACCGGAGCATATTACCTTTGCTGCAAATGGAGAAAAACTGTGGACTTGAAGCTGTGCATTAATGAGAACTAGAAAGGACGCATTGCATAAGGATGAGATGGAATGGGAGGTGGGATTTTTAGGGGTTCCCCCGTCGTCTAGAAAAGCATATGTATAGCCTGCTTAATTCTGACAAACGTATCAAAAACAACATTAATCTGAAGACCTTTGTTTAAAGGCACCAATAAGATAAACAATCTTCATTGTTTGCAAAACTAGCTTTCATCTACGGCATGCTAAATAACACCATATATATATATATATATATATATATATATATATATATATATATATATATATATATATATATATATATATATATATATATATATATAGTAAATAACAAAAAAATAATTACAATAAATACATAAATAAGATGTAAAGTGTAAAGTAATAAACCTAATCCTGGGTGCTTATTATCAATTATTAATAGGCCAACATATTTTTTAAATCAACAATAAAAGCCTATTGCCCCAAGCCATAAAATTCCCTAACAGTTTGAAGAGAAAAAGGGTGGTGGTAGTATTTTATTTACTTGTAAAAGAGATAGAAACAGATCTTGCATAATGCACGGCCCCAACCTTGACCACACACGTGCAGCATGTGACACTGGAAGGAGGAAGCCCCCCAGAGCAAGCTATGTGTCAGCCTGGATATGTAGCTTTTTATGCAACACATTCAGACATATACATAGCTACTCACTTACTCAAACAAAAATCCCATCAAGAACTCAATAATATGCAATTCATTTGAGTTAAAGCCACATGTCTAAAATCCTGTTTGTCTACAACCAAAAAAAAAAAAAAAAAAAAAAGAAAGAAAGAAAGAAAGAAAACAAACCACTAGACAAACTTCAAACTTCAGGTTTCCCTCAGTGAAAGAAACTCCTTCCCACAGCAGGTGAAAATAACTGCAGCAGTGCATCCAGAGAATATCTTATACATCTCATTTCAGGCATGAGTGAGTTATTGAAAGGTGTGTTTGATGATTCATGTGATTTCCATGAAGCCTGGCTATTTCTATAGCCTTTACACCACTGAGATGGGTATGTTTTTTTCCACTTGTTAGAAGTCATATCATGAAGATGTCAAAAACTGTGGAGGGAGTAGAACAAAAATACTGAATCTTGTCACAATCATATATATGGGAGTCCTCCTATAAAAATGATGTACTGATGCCATGATAAACCGCACTGTTGATATAATATTATTTCATGGAGGCACTAAGCAATTTCAAAGTTTTACTGTCCAAATATAAACAAATAAAAAGAACATTTGTATATCAATTAATGTTCCATCGAATTACCTTGTTCTGCCTCAAAGCAAAAATGGTATTAGTGCTTTTCTGTTTTTGGGGTAGTCATCAAACTTCTCATGGTACCATCTGAAAAATACAAAAAACTTTTTAGGCAAAGCAAGCATCACAGACAGATGAAGCTGCTACCAAGTAGTGCATGTGTGTTTTATACATACTTGTGGTGGGAAAAAGCCCTGCTGCTAAGAACTATTGTGGTGAAGATGGAGAATGCTAAACTTTGGGCAGACTGAGCAGCCAGAGCAAAGCCTGCCCACTCTATTATTTCTCCAAAGAAGTTTGCTCCTGACACATATTCAAATATCCCCCCTGTTGGGAAAAAGAAGAGACTTTTAGTGCACATACACTGACAATGAAATATTTAAAATTGCACATCACCAGGCATAACACTACGGCCATCCTCCTAGTAATGGTGGTCATGAAGACCAATTGTTTCATCAATAAGTCAATATCAACGTGTTCAAAAATAAAAATATCCTTAAATGTTCTTGTGAGGAAGCTGGCTCATATGGTCATAAGTAGGAGACACACAAATTACTGAGGTAAAAACACTTCCCATCAAATCAAAGACCTCCACCTTCATTTCATTTTGTAGGTAACACTGAGGTTTTAACAAAATTCACAAAGTCATTAAAACTTAAAGAACTTAAAGTGGAACTAAAATATAAACTCCACCATAACCATAACCATATTTCAAATAGAGCTGTAATACTGGGCAATACCTGGTGGACTAAAGAGAGGAATAGAGGCAGAGTCTGGATATATGAGGAACAATGAGATTGGTCTAACACAGTGGTGTCAAACATGCGGCTCGGGGGCCGGATCCAGACCTCCAAGACCTTTAATCTGGCCCTCGGCTGATTTTCAACTAAAATATTTTAATAATATTTTCTATTAAAATTTTGGTAATTTTCTGCGCCGCTTAGTAAAGCAGCGTCTCCAGCACCTCTGTGCGTGTCTGCCTCCCACCAGAGCAGCACAAATGAGACTTGCCTCTTTCCAAATGCTCTTAAAGGACTATCGTTTTGACTGTTGACCGTGACACCCTCATCAGCAAAATGTCAAAAATGAGAAAAGTAGACTCTGAGTGCAGGATTTTCCAAGAAAAATTGACTTTTTCCTATTTGCATACAAGTTAATGTTAAAACATTGTGTTGAAATAGCATTTTTCTTAAAGTTTCTGGTTGTTCATAATATTATAATATTTTGTAAAAGAGTTCATCAATTAAAAAAGATTTCTGTAATACATTTGCATTTGCACAAATGTTTGAACTTATTGTCATTTTTGGGGTATATATGCCATGAGTTTTCTGATCCAGCCCCTTTGGGATCAAAGTAGGTTGGATATGGCCCCCGGACCAAAATGAGTTTGACACCCCTGGTCTAACACAAGGGTGCCCAAAATACAGCTTGCAGGTCAAACATGTGTGGGGGCTGTGAGATCTGAGAATCTATTCTAGGGCCTGGCACATTAAAGAGTTAATTTTGCTTTAACTAATTAAGTCATTATTGCTGACAATTATTTTAACGCCGTTAATGCAGTTTTTATTATTTATTTTTTATATATATTATTTTTTTATTGTAAACGTCTGTGTCTCACTGGCTTTTATTTTTTTAAAAGGCCACAGCGAGCGTTTCTTTAAGTTTGACGTCTTTTCTTGACACTTTTTTCACTTTTTTCTGACCACGTGAGATGCAATGTGTCCGAGCCTCTGCGGGCCAGGCCATGGGCTCCAGCTCCGGCTGCGGGCTCAGCTTGCTGCTCCCCCATTGGAGGACTTTATAAAACCAGACTTTTGAGCAGGATGGGCAACCAGCTCGAGGAGACTGTGAGGTTGCACACAGACGCACCAGCCCAAGAGCCCAACATCCAAAGCATCAGTGTACAGTAAAAGGCAGTTCAAAATCTGGACACCACAAACCTGGTTGCTGACACAAGTACTGGGTCATACAGAGGCTGGTCTAGTTGCAAAAGCTGGAATTAGCCAACCAACCAACTCCAAGAAGGATCTCAACCTTCTCTTGGTGTGGCTAAGTGATCAAAGCTGGTCAAAGCTGATCAAAGCATTCATCCTCAGGTTGGTAAGGTTGAAAGTATTTCAGCTTTTTCAACATATTACTGATAAATATATGTACTACATGAATGCTGTAATCACTGTACTTGTCTTTGTTCGCCTGTCCTGGCTAACTGTAAAGCAGCCATGTTTCACAAAGGAAGTTCAATAAACCTGGCGTTAACTCAGGGTTAATCTCCCCTAAGGCAGACAACTAGTTGGAAAACTTGGAGATAGTAAACCCTCAGTTAGCAAAGGACTCATAACTTTCTCAACTTATCCCAGAAAAGAGGATTTGCAATGACAACAATAAACCCGAGGAGGCTTCCATCTTAAAGGGACAGGAAGTCATGTGACTGTGGAACATCAAAAACATAAATATAAAAAGTTTAAAGTTACCATTTTAATATTGCAGTGCTGTGTAGCTCATTGAGTTTTAAAACGTATCCTATATTATTCAAATTTTAAGAGTGTGCATGGTTATGATCCATTAATCTAATGATTTGCTCCTCCCAACACACTTTAGTGCAGAAGGTGATGAAAGAATTATTAGTAGTATCAGAGCACTCCTTCAGAAGAAGACACAGGTTAAACTCTCCAGGGTGTCTTTGACGCATGCAAATATGCCATACACCTTGGTTGCTACAACTGAAGCTGATTTTGTTTCTTTTTTACAAAACAGATGTGTTCCCTGCTGCAAGTAATATGTACACTTCTGTCCTCGAACCTGTAGACGTATAATAAAAATAATTGAGGCTACATTTTAAACACTTGTGGTATAAAAGAGGCACTTGAACTGTGCACATTTTTTTTGTTTTGTTTATAAATGAAAAAAACATTTAAAATCAAAAGACACTGTATTTTGATTTTAACAACACACAACACACACGGACAGTTTGCCAACAACAGTATACAAGCAAATATACAGCTGGAGCTGCGTGTTTTAATGCGCTGAGCTCCCTGGTGAGTAATCTTGATTGTATGTGGTAAAAAAATTGTTAAAACAATTCCTCAAAACTGATTAGCCTATTAAGAACTGTAGCCTATACCCAAGTTTGTTTTAAACCAAGTAGGGGGACACCTATTCCTGCTACCAAACCAATAATATTCATTTGAAATTATCAAAATATCACAAACAGCACTCAAGATGTTACCTCTGGGAATCTTATATCCAGTCTCTCCTGGTTCCCTCAGGTTCCTCAGAATATGGTCTGAATGCATATTCACCACCCAGCCAAACAGCCACAGTAAAAATCCTGAAAATAATGTATTCATTGTTTATGGAGAGGTTGTAGTTACACAAAACTGGCTCTGAGTCTGTGAACTCTGTTGTGACATTAGTTTTCATCAAAACATGTCTGTAGTAAGTTGTTTAACACATTTAAGTAATTGTGCATATTCAAGATATCATTTCAATGGTCAAACTCACTAAGAAAACAACAAACCACTTTCACACAAGCTACTGATGTCTAAGCCTAATTTAAATTCTTTCACTTTTCAGTAGGTGGTGTCCTTAAACAATCTAGACAAATGTGACCTATTTCTAAATTAAAGTTTGAGACCTATAGGGGCTTATGGCTTTGGATCATCAGTACAACCTAATGTAACAGAGTGGAAGTTAAGCGTGGCAGTGCTTTTCTTTGGAGGCCCAAGTAGCCTCAGCTTATTAAAGGGCCGATATTACGCTTTGTTTTTTTGGTTTTGTTTTTGGTTTTGTTTTTTATCAATGTTATAATGTTGTTGCCTCATTAAAAATCTACCTGGAGTTGTGTTTTGTTTCATTCGCACTCCACTGTGATTTAAAATCCATAACTTGGAAAACTACCACTAAATGACATCACAAGGTGGAACATAGCATTTTGAGCTCTGGAACTGTAGACAGCAAAACTCCAGGTATGTTTTTGAAGAGGTAACAACAACAGAGTCTATTTTGACTATTACAATAACAACATTCATGTGCCCCCAGTTGAACTTAAATAATTACGGACTGTTACTTAAGCCTGGTTAGATTTTTTTCCATTAAGCCATTAAACTTTTCACAATCTGTCTTTTCTAAATGTGTAAGTTTCCTTCCCAAGTACATTGAATAAATATTTTAATGTAGTCTTGTTTGTTTTAGGGTGTTTTCACACCGATAGTATTTGGTGCGCACCAAACGGTCCATAACCAAAAGTGGTTAGTTCGGTTCGTTTGCGTTGGTGTGAAAGCGTCAATCGGACTCGGACCCGAACCAAATCAAGCGGACCGAAACCGCAAAAAAGAGGTGGTCTCGGTTCGCTTGAATCCACACCAAATGACCAACTTTGGTGCGGTTCCTCTGGTGTGAACGCGAACCCGGGTCCAAACCAGAGACAGTATGGACAAACGGACTATTCGAAATGCATCATGGGAGGGACACGCGTCTCCTCTGCCTGAAATGACGCGCTGTACGACTCCAGCCCAGTAACAGATTGTTGTCCAGACGCAGACGCGATTCATTTTCGAATCATTTTACCAACAATGGCCATTACTGAGAACGTAATACACGAAGATCAGAGCAAGTACTGTACGTGCGAACGTGTGGCTCCAGAGTGAGTCAAAATTGGGGGTGCGTACCCCTGTTCGGGACCTACACGCACAGAGATGACCCGGTGTTCCCCCGTGATCACGCAGCAACCAACATTTGTTATTTTAGGCTTTAATTAACCAAATAATTTTATGGCAATAGGCAATCGCCCATTCAATTGATACAACTTAAAAAAGTCCCTGCTTTTAGCCTAGTGTGAGAAATACAGTCGGACTAGATCCAAACCAGAGTCCCGAACCAGCTGGGGCAGCTCCGGTTCAGTCCGGGCTCAGAGGAGCTGGAGCGGGGAGCCTCGACCTGAGGAAGCGCTTTCCCCGGGAAGAACCAAATGCGCCAAGGACGGACGCTCAGAATAACATATAACAAACCAAACTGGACTCACGCTTCTGTCCGGATGCTGCACCACCTTGGAACCAGCCGTGGTTCTTGAGCGCGGAGGACAGGAGCAGCGCGCCCGGACCTGTAGTCCACAGCGCATTCTCGCTTTCCCGCACAGAACCAGCGCGCAGACGACGGAACGTACCCGCTCAGACCCAGTCATTGCGCACTGGTCTTGCTCGCCACCGTTTGGAACCAGCACACGGAGGATGAAGCCTCCGGACCATCTGACCAACGAGCTTGTAACAGAAGACCAAGGACCAGACCCCAGCCCCGTCCTGAGGAGCTGCGCGCTACTTTGAGCACTGTTGGCTGCTGCTGTTACCCGAGCTCTGGGCTGATGCGGTGAGTTTGTACAAAGTTCTACATGTTGCTGTTTTATAAGTTCATGGTGATAATTTGAGATGAGGACGGCCTGTGGTATTAACAGGAACATCGGTGTTGATAACTGGAGTATCGCTGTTTTACCGGGGAAACAGAGACACGTGAAGCGAACCAGTTTTGGTTTGTTTGCCGGTGTGAAAGCGAACCGCACTGGAGTGTATTTGCTACATAATAACAATTTTATTGCCTGGTGCGGACCAAATAATCGAACTAGCGGTGTGAAAACGACCTTAGACATTCTATTAGTGTTGCATGTGTGCATAATTACCTAGTATGAAGCACGGGTGAGAGACCCATCCTGCGGGGTACTCAGCATAGTGGCTCAGGTATCTTATCTGCATGTAGCCATTATAAATGCAGAAAATAACAGCCAGAGCAAACGAGACGAAAGGTGTCGGTTTACCGCCTCTTATTAAAAATGGATAAAGAAGAGACCTGCAAAAACCATCGGAGGGGATTGTAATTACAGGCATATTATCAATCTAACATGTTACTAACCTATGAATGTAGTGGCAGAAATACATGACAATAATCAGCTGATTGGGCATCATCGAGATTTTGGCTGCTGACGTTAAAAATACAAGTAAAAAAGGCACGAGGATGGCTGGCAACTCCTGCACGAACCAGGCAAATTTGACATTCACTGGAAATCCATACTTGCTGGAAGCATATCGTCCGTACGGTACGTCTACCATAAGTAAAGTTATAAAAGTGCAGAACGACATAAAGAACATAAAGTACGCCATAGATGTAAGAATGTGCATTTCTTCTTCTTCCGAGGAGAAGACCCAATCCAGAAAAGCCTGCATGACTACGGACTACGGAACAATCTCATATATCCGTGAACAGTCTATGGAATTGACTTCGCCTTCTCGTGGCTATTACTGGCCGCGTCTCATTTATTTTTCTTCGCTTCATTCTCCTTGATTCCTCTCCTCGATTCTGCAGGAAATGGGTGAAAAAGTCCCACCCACAGAGGACATACAGAAGGATAGAGGATATAAACTCCTCACTGGAACCAATAAAGTTTGATTCTTTTATTTCTTTTTGGTGTCTGCTCCTGAAGTCTCCTTCCCTCTGTTTACTCCTTCTTTCCGTGTTTTTCTTAGGATACCACTTAATATGACTATTTGATTGACAGCTGAAAAATAGAGGATCAAGGAGGGGAATCAAGGAGAGGGAAGCGAGAAAAGAGAATTGAGACGCGGCCATTGGCTAAAACCAATCAGAGTCTACAGTGAAAGCCCATGTGACCATTATTCAGCCAATGGAAGGCTTTTCATCTTCGAGTCTCATTTCTTTCTCTCTCTCTCTCTGTCTCTCTTTGTTTCTCTTTCTTTCTTTATTGTAATTATGATATTTTATTGCAGATTTTCAGATACAAACAAAAAGAGCACCTTTTTCCTAAAATTATTCTTTTTTTTTTTTTTTATCACTACCCACATGCCATTATTTTCATGTGAAAATCGGACCATATTGTGTTTTCTCACCCTCACACATAACCTATTTAAAATTTTCAACATTTGATGATTTCTTTTAACAGTTCTAGTACATATCTTGATTCTCAAAAAAAATTTAAGGGTGTACTACACTGTTAAAGTATGTTAATCATGCCTCAGTTGTATGTCACAGGGAGGCACTACAGCGCAGGTTACAGATGGCAGGTGTGTCAATTTATATATTTTTGTTTACTTGAGCTTGCCTTAGTTCTCGGAGCTGGTTCTCAAAATAAATATGCCAGAAAGCTGCTGATTAAACTTCATCTTTCATCTGCTCTTTTTCACCCGAATGCAACGCTGGCTGTAACAAAAGCACTCCGTAACTCAACATACACCTACAGGTAGCGACTAAAAATGGTACGCCATGGAAATGAACACGTTTTTTTTTTTTTTTTTTCATTTTTAAGTTAATATAAAATGACAATGAGTTGAGGTACCAAACTTTCAATAGATTTTATTTGAACACAGAGTAGAGGAGTACAGGCCTACAAAATTTCAGCCTTCTATGTGTGATACTTACGGAGATATCGACCTTTGAAAATGGCCGAGAAAAAATGACACGATTTTGGGCCTGTAAATTGACACATACTCCCCTCATAAAATGAGCTGTAACTTGAAAAGTATTGGGTTGGTACATGATAGTAAGGGACCAGCTGGTAATTTTTTCAAAAAAAACAAAAAAACATGATGCGTGAGATTTTGTGGAAATTTGGTGAAATGGCGTGGAATGACCCTACAGCACTTACTTAGCATTCTGCCACCTTAAACTAACACAATTTAAGGATGAAACAGTAAAATACATTTACAAGATCTTGCTCCATGCGAAGGCGACAGTATTCTGGTACACCACGAGCCTGAAGAAATCTCGAGAGTGGAGAATCCACATTTTCAGCCTGGGCCATGCTCAAGTTGGAGTTGACTGGACCGAGGGAAGTGTGACTGGTTTAGACATTAGTAAGGTTATCTGAGCATTTATAAATTATAGATTACTGAAATTAAATGTGCATTTATTTGGGGTTCGAAAGTTTTGAAACAAGATAAACAAATTTTTACTCGATGACGATGACGATAAGGCTGATCTGAATCTGTACTATTTAGTCCGGTTCCTTATATACTTTTGTGGGAATTTTTTGGGGATTTGCTAACCTATATATTTTTGGAAAGGTTATAGTATATGGAGTCAGAAAATCAATGTTTGCATTTGCCCACATGTCTTTATGGCAGCCATATTGGATTTTTTTTTTAAATGGCCGCCAATAAACCCTTTTTGGAATATCTCAGCCTCTGATTAAGTTGAAATGTTGATTTTAACTGCTAAACCCACATTTTCAGGGTCAGGGAATCAAATGGTGCTAGTTACAAAGCTGTAAGACCTACCCACATTAACCCTTAGATGCATAAGTGGGTCAAAAATGATCTGGTTTGGTTGTTTACTTGCAATTTCACTGTAATATTCACATGTAATACTCCATGTTCCTCCAAAAACATGTTTGTTTGTTTTTTTGTTTGTTTTTTTAATTATCCTGCTGAAATACTTCAACAACATTGGTAAAACAAATTATAAACATCACATGCAGCTGGTCAGATAACTCAAAGAGTTTAAAAGTAGCTAACATAAAATTTGGATGCTGGATGTAAACACACACATTTAGACACAATATGATTACTCAACCTTTTTATTAGACATTTTCTATACATCATCATTATCATCATCATTTTCATACAACCATAGACTGTATATACGAGTGGACAGATCTAACACTGTAGCCGCCATGTGCCAAATAGGAAGTTCTCCAGGAGGCTCTTCCAGCTCCTTCTGACTCTGCCTCCAATGGACTTACATTAGGATCTTGTGGCTCCTCTCTCTGTACCTGCTGCAGTGAGTCTCTACATTTTGGTCTTAAAATGTTTGTGTTAACCCACGACACATGATCCTGATTTTTTTTTTTTTTTGCTATTTTGTCCGTCAAAAAAATCCTATTCATAATATAAAGCCCGTGGTTGGATGAGATCCATCCTAAGTCTCTGGATGTTGTGGGTGCATGTGATGTTTATAATTTGTTTTAACCATATTGTTGATGTATTTCAGCAGGATAATAAAAAAAAAGAAAAAACATGTTTTTGGAGGAACATGGAGCATTACATGTGAATATTACAGTGAAATTGCAAGAAAACAACCAAACCGGGTCATTTTTGACCCACTTATGCATCTAAGGGTTAATGTGGGTAGGTCTTATAGCTTTGTAACTAGCACCATTTGATTCCCTGACCCTGAAAATGTGGGTTTAGCAGTTAAAATCAACATTTCAATTTATTCAGAGGCTGAGATATTCCAAAAAGGGTTTTTTAGCGGCCATTTTTAAAAAATCCAATATGGCCACCATAAAGACATGTGGGCAAATGCAAACATTGATTTTCTGACTCCATATAGTATAACCTTTCCAAAAATATATAGGTTAGCAAATCCCCCAAAAATTCCCACTAAGGTCAAAAAATGACAATAAGGAACCGGACTAATTAATACTAATCAAGTGTTTTTTATAAGAAAATGAGCATGGAAATTAGTAATTATAAAACTTAATATTGAGACGACAAATGAGGAGACAGTTGTGCCTCATTTGTTCCATTATCAGCGGTAATTTGGACCTATGCTGAGAGTTTTCAGTAGGCTGTATGTAAAGACACAGGTGTAAACCGAATGTTTAGGAGACTTTATATTTTATTTAACTCTGTCAAAATATTAATACAGCACAAATAACAAAACTGCACAGAAGGTGGCGTTATAGTGTACAACTGAACGTGCCGCCCGCCATTAAACTGAAGAAGAAGTAGAAACCCTCTTGAAAGTACGCATGGATCTGATAGCTGAGTGCTCATGGATCTGTAATAATAATAATAACAGGAATAAGAATAAGAATAATAAGAATAGTAAGAATAAATTGTATTTCATTTAGCAGAGAGAAACACTAGCGTTGATTTATATGACCTGTTAATGTGCTTTGTTTCAGGCAGTTTTTTTGCCATCCTTTGGGGTCCTAACTCACGTGCGTCAATACGTCCGTAGTCAGAAACAGGCGTTGCACACAGATAGCAGCACATTGTAGATACGGGTAAAAGCTTACCATTCAAACAAACTGAATCTCCTCTAGTTTATTTGTCAGCCCCTTTACTTTGACTTCATCACCACGTTGTTCCGCAGGGTTTTTTCCAGAGTTGTGTGCTACTCCAACATGGGCAAAAGAAGCAGACAGCGACAGAAAAATCAATCTGTTGGAAGAGACAACAGGGACAACGCAGTAAGATGCACTCACGATTTGCTTTATGTAACTTTATTTATCATGACACAAGCTGTTTCTATAGTGGTAAAGTTGCGTACCTTTAAAACACCTACTTTCTTTGAGACAGGTGAATTAATTTGTAGATCACAATCTACAATGCAGTGATTCATAACATGTGAAGGCAAATCTTTCTATGTGATTGAAAAGCCTAATACTTTGAAGTACACTGAAGTTAAGCTCTCTCTCTCTCTCTCGAGAGAGAGAGATTGGTGCTTTAAGAACATGTCTGTGTTTTAGGGTTGGGGGGCAGGTTATGCTGACATTGTCAAAGAAAACAAGCTTTTCGAGCATTATTACAAGGAACAAGGTCTTGTCCCTGATGGAGAGTTTGAGCAGTTCATGGAAGCCATGAGGGAGCCTCTTCCAGCAACCATTCGCATTACTGGATACAAGAGGTGTGTTGTTCATTAAAAAGTGTATTAAAACATAATGTTATAGTTTCTGATCCAGAGTTTTACAAACAATTAATTAAATGAGAGTGTTTAAAAAGGAATTTAATTACAGCCATGCCAAAGAGATCCTCCACTGTCTTAAAGACAAGTACTTCAAAGACATTCAGGACCTGGAAATTGATGGACAGAAAATTGAAGCTCCACAGCCATTAAGTTGGTAAGGCTTGTTAGCAACAAAACACCAGTGTATTGGCAACCATTTTAACTTTGTGTTTGTCATCTCCAGGTATCCCGATGAGCAGGCCTGGCACACCAACATGAGCAGGAAAATAATCAGGAAGTCGCCACTACTGGAGAAGTTCCATCAGTTTTTAGTCAGTGAAACGGAGTCTGTGAGTAAATTCTAAGTATAAGTGAGCACATTTGTTTTTGTTAAATAAAGTGTGTTTCAGCCCTGAAAATGTATATATGTTAGTATGTTATACTTTTATATTCAAATTATTGATTAATTCTTATGTTTTATTTGAATCTTGTGGAAAGAAAAAGTAACATTTTGTGTTCGCAGGGTAACATTAGTAGACAAGAAGCTGTCAGTATGATTCCTCCCCTGCTCATGAAGATTGAACCACACCACAAGGTGAAGTTGGTAAAAGGTAATTTTTTTTTTTACTAATCAGGAAACTGATATTAATTGCGGCTCTTTGTAGATTTTGGACATGTGTGCTGCTCCAGGGTCGAAAACTGCCCAGCTCATAGAAATGCTGCACTCTGACATGGATGTGCCTTTTCCTGGTTAGAAACATTGAATGCACAATGCACTATGCTAAAATATACAATATATATTTGATTACTGTTGTTTTTTGATTTCAGAGGGTTTTGTTATTGCCAATGATGTGGACAATAAGCGGTGCTACCTGCTTGTGCATCAGGCTAAGCGTCTCAACAGTCCATGCATTATGGTGATCAACCATGATGCTTCATGTATTCCCACTCTACAGATTACCTCAGGTGGAAAAAGAGACATCCTCTTCTATGACCGCATTTTGTGTGATGTGCCCTGCAGGTTTGTAAAGCGAATGGGTTACTAATTGTGCATGTTCTGTATCTGGATTCACTCTTCACATTCACACAGGAGCAAGCTATAATACTGCTATAATACTATTATTATTATTATATATACTACTCCAGGCACAGTATTTAGCTGTTTGCAACAAAAAGGCCACGTGAGGGCCATATGACATAAAAATCTGTAAATAACAATGTAACAATGCAATTACAATGTACAAATATAGCCTGAAGTGGCAATGATCGGCCTGCGAGAGCACCAACAGAAGACGCTGACATCCCCTTTTTTCTAGGTCAATTTATTTTATGTTGCGCTATCGTGCACACACTATTCCTTAGTCCAATGAGATTCATTTGGTCTTCCAATATTCTATGTTATTAGGTTCTTTTTTTCAGACCTAGAGTGTTATTTCATACCTGACAGTTTCGACTGCTCACTAGCGTCTTCCTCAGAGTGGTCACGTGATGTTGCTGTGACGTGCAGATGGCGCTGTCGTCCTGCCTCCACCGGTAGGAAGACAGTGCCAAAACCTGTTTAAATCAGCTGACTGGACACGTCACAGCAACATCACGTGACCACTCTGAGGAAGACACTAGTGAGCAGTCGAAACTGTCAGGTATGAAATAACACTCTAGGTCTGAAAAAGAACCTAATAACATACACACTATTCCTTTGTTGGACAGCATTATTTTGCACTATCATTTTTATATGCCCCCATAGCCTGCCTACACTGTGCCCCATGCCTCACCCTAACCCTATTTTAAACCTAACCTCTAACCTTGACCTTGACCCTAAGCTTAAACCTAACCTCTAATCTAAACCTAACCCAGCTCCGGTATTCTCTATAATTAAAAGTAGTGAGAGGAGCTCAGACCGCGGGCTGTGTAGGCTGGTGCTGAAGCCCACTGTAGTCTTTTTCCTTAATAAATACAGTTCTCACATAATAACATTGTCTCTGTGCACCCTTTTAAAGGCAGTGATCACAACTGCACAGCAGAACTCCGGTCTAACACAGAGAAGTAACTAAACCGGATGCAGTCTGCGCTCAGGGTTAGAATAACACGGAGATTCTGAAAATGTAGAAAAACTTTTTTTTTTATGTGTGAAAAAATGTTTTCACATGAAATTACTATGAAGTAATGACAACAGATTCAAATTTCACCGAAATCTGAACTTGTTTGTGTAAATGGAAGCAATTTGTATAAATTCAAAATTTCCAAAATTCTCAGCAATTTTTGCAGCTTCGCCACTAGAGGCTTTTGATGCCCCACCCCTTGAGATAATGTTTTTTTGAACCTTTTTGGGTGAATGCCCTAGGAGGAATTAACAAAAGTACAAAGTTTTGTGTGGGGGCACTGATGCACGAGTTTTAATATTGTGCAAATTTTGAGTTTTCTCTATTGTTCACTGGGTCAAAAATTGATGGGTTGGTTAGGACAAATCAAAGAAAAAGAATATTTTGGTATGAGAACAATGTTAATTTTTTTAGCTAATAAACTATACATTTTCGGAAACAACGTCATGGCGAGGGTCCCTGGTCACTACAGCACTTCCCATCACGTCGTTTCACTTCCTGGCCATTTATAGCATCGATTTGTGATACTAATAGGCCCTTCACCAACTTCAGGCGCTCAGCCCTGATTAATCAGTACAGATTCTTTGACACTTGAAATAGAAATGGTGACCATTAAGTCCATAAAGCAGTCAGCAGTAGCCTAACCTGTAGAATGTTCACAAGGACATTAGTCCAGAGATGTCTAAGAGATGTAACCTGTGTTCCTGCAGTGGTGACGGCACTATGAGGAAGAATATTGATGTTTGGAAGAAGTGGACCACAAGTAACAGCCTGCATCTTCATGGGTGAGTGAAGCACGATCTGTCTTTGTATGTATAATCATCTCTTTATGTACTTAAGTTGTTACACCACATAATCAAATCTGAAAATGTTTTTTCCAGACTTCAGCTGCGTATTGCAGTGCGTGGTGTTGAGCAGCTGACAGTAGGAGGCAGGATGGTTTACTCCACCTGTTCTCTCAACCCCATAGAGGATGAGGCTGTTATCGCTGCACTGCTAGAAAAGAGTGAAGGTGAGGCTGACATTGTCAACTGAGAGGCCCTGATTTTCAAAGTGAAAACTGGCATAGCAAGTACACAGTGATAAGTTGTATAAGGGCTTGACACTCAATATCTCAATGATTAAAAAAAAAAATTGGAATGCTGTTTCATTATATTTTTCTTAATTTTCCATCCACATTGGCAGGATCACTAGAGCTTATGGATGCCTCGGCTGATCTTCCAGGTCTCAAGTGGATGCCTGGTGTCACCTCTTGGAAGGTATACTGGCTAATATGTACCAATATCAGTTATTAGTAACACACACACTGCAGAATATTTTGTACAGTTATACTTTTGCCTCTTTTGTGTAGCTGATGACTAAAGATGGGCAGTGGTTTTCAGACTGGTCTGAGGTTCCTACAAGTCGGCACACACAGATCCGACCAACCATGTTCCCACCTACTGACCCAGAAAAATTGGCCAACATGCATTTGGAGAGATGGTAACTTTTTCATATTATTTGTGAAAGTAAATTCCTAATAATAGGCTCTATTCACGCTTGCGTCACAAGCCAGGAAGACGTTTGGAAACATGCCTGTTCACAGAAGTAAGTCTGACAAAATCTAGGAAAAATTTGAAAATGGCCCAGTTTCCGCAGCATTCCGTTATGTGCAGCTAATCAACAGTTACAACCATACCTCAGGCTTCATGATTTCCCCACTGACATACAACTCAGAACACACTGGGTACATGTGATTAGGAGAGATGAGGGTGCCAAATTCAAGATTATTCCAAACAGCATATATTTATGCAGTCTTCATTTTACTGCTGATGACATTTACTTCAGCGGGTTTTATCATGGTAGGCGTGCCCAGTGTTGGGAACTACAACGAAAGTTGTCATTTGTTTTCATGTTTCCATACATCTTTCTGATTTGTGACATAAGCATGAATAGAGCCTATTGGAGCACACAAATCATCGATAAACCTATCAGGATAGCCTGTGTATTTGACAGATGTTTTAATATCCATCCAAGTAATGTAAAACAATATTTAAAAAAACAAACAAACTCATTCTTAAAATATATATTCCATGTTTTTTCTGCTTATATCCATAAACTTTAGTCAGGATTATACATTCACTTTCTTGACAATGTTGAGATATGATGCAATTTTATCTTGGGTTTTTTGCTTAAATTACTTTGACCAGTAGAGGGGGCCATTGGTAAAGTTTCCCCAACCTCATCATCGTCTACTCATGCTGTAGAAAAAAAAAACACTCTAGGTGGCAGTGTTAATAAACACCAACATCTAAAATAAATGTATTAATGTGTGTGTGCATGTGCTGACAGTATGAGGATTCTGCCTCATCATCAGAACACTGGGGGCTTCTTTGTGGCTGTTCTATTTAAGAAAGCACCGATGCCATGGAACAAAAGATTTCCTAAGGTTTTGTATCAGAAGGACAATATTATTATAAAATCAACATTTGCACTCTGACCACCTCTCTGATATTCAGGTTAGGAAGGAGGTGTCCACAGCCTCATCTGCCTCCCCAGACTTGGACAATGTCACTGAAAGTTCTGTGGATGATGGGGAGGGCGGCTGTGTAGAGACAACAGGGGATGCACAAGCAGAAGACGAGGCACCCAAAGGAGCTGCAGTGGCCCAAGAGACCAGTGCTAAACAAGATGGAGTTTGTGGGTGAGTCATGCCAGTCTGCCGGCTCTATCTGGAGCCATAATAAATAAACAAATGGCTCAGGGTAGACATTAGGGACTCTCAAATGCTCTACCGCATTTGATAAAAGCACTTACTTAAGTAATTTCCTTATTGTTTGCAACTGACTTTATGGTCTGAGCAAAATACTAAATTAATGTTTGTCGTGTAATAGGTACAATATTCAAATGAAATGTTTTTTAGTGTACTACACTTTACATACCTGTATTGATGCTATAACAAACATTTGCTTAAAGTGACAACATGCATGTAATTCTTATATGGATGTACATGCAAGGAAATAAGTTTGTAGTATAAAAGGTCATGCATTGTTAGCCATATAATTTATTCAGTTTTTTTTTTTTTTCTCAGACCTCCGCCAAACAAAAAGATGAAGCTTTTTGGATACAAGGAAGACCCATTTGTGTTCCTAACAGAAGATGACCCAGTGTTCACTACCATACAGTATGTGCTTTAGTTACCACACACAAACATACAAATACATTAGAAGTAATATTTGTATTACATTAATTAAGGACTTGTTTGTGTTGTCTTGTCCTGTCCTTCTTTTTCTAGATCATTTTATGACCTGTCCCCAGACTTTCCCAAATTGAATGTTTTAACCAGGACCCATGAAGGCAAGAAGAGACACTTATACATGGTGTCCAAGGAGCTGCGCAATGTGCTTCTCAACAACAGTGAGCGCATGAAGGTATGTGTCTGTTTTAGCATATTTTAAATGACATGACACTGCAGTATCCTTACTTTTTTATATATGCACACATAAGCACATTAGTCTAGACTGGATGTTTGTTACGCAAGTTTGTGTATGTGTATGTCTCATCAGAGAGATGAGAGCTAACAGATGGGACGTGCCTTTCCCAAATCTCTACAGTATTCCACCTTGTAGCTCCTCCACAGGTGGTGCTGTGTCTGTTTGCTTTGCATGCATTCAACTATAAACTTCTATGGTCTTTTCATGTGTTTGTCAGCTAACTGATACGGAGGATCTGTATCACTTGAGTTTTATTTTTTTTTTTACTATAACTATAACTTATGACCTTAGCCTTAAAGCCAATTCCTTAACACACATTTTGAGGACACATACATGTTTTTTTCATTCTCAGTAAATGGAGAGGTTGTTCTGTAACAACAGAGGCACCTAATGATTGGCTGCAGGTTCTGGGGTTTAGGTAGTGTAGATTCAGATCATAGAGAGTCATTTTGTTTGAATTAACTGGAGTTCAGTATTGAAACTGGCAACCCAATGAGACTTATGTGAGCTCTCTGATTGGATAATCATCTTGACAGCCAAAACCCCATATTATTAACAAAGTCTTTCTGGGGACACAATTAGATCATGATTATGAGATTTAAAATCTAAATCTTACACGCAGACTATTACACATTTAAAAACATGTTTCAATGTTGTTTTCTTGTTAAGGTCATAAACACAGGAGTGAAGGTGTGGTCTCGTAACAGTGATGGAGAGGAGTTTGGTTGTGCTTTTAGACTCGCCCAAGAGGTAAAACATTGTACTGATAAAACATATCACTTGTCAGTTTGTCATTTTGAGTCATTTTGGTTGCGGTTAATAAAAACTGAAAATCATATAGTGTTCTTGCAGTTTTTGTCTCTCTCTCTACATTTTGAGGTAGCCATCCTAATTCCGACAGAAAACTAAACAAAATTAACTGATAGTGGAGAGATAAGTTTCTTTGCTTGGTGTGGCTGTTGAGAATACATTTGTTAGATTGGAATCCATTATAGACAGGATTGTTCTGCTCTGATCCTGAGTGTGTTGTGTCTGTAGGGGATCTACACTGTCCAGCCGTACATTCGCTCCAGGATGATCACAGTGAGTGTGGAGGATATCAAAGTCTTACTGACACAGGAGAACCCCTACCTCAGCAAACTACAAGATGATGCTCATGCTCAGGCCAAGAAGATTGGTATATTTTCGAATTCTATGTCATCCTACTCTGTTGTCCACTGTCCTTTATTGGATTATTGTCCAATCATTGTATTGTATGAAGAGTACATCATACATATGTATTTTATTTACAGGAATGGGTAGCATCGTGCTGAAGTATATTCCAAACCCAGAGTAAGTTTTTTTTTTACCTTTCCACATATATTTTATGTAAATATCTGACTCTGAATACTTTATTTTTATCAGTAACCCCACAGAGCCACAGTGTTCTATCCAGCTGTGTGGCTGGAGAGGAAAGACATCAATCCGAGCCTTTGTACCTCGTAACGAGAGACTCCATTACCTTCGAATGTTAGGGGTCGAGGTGTTCCGGGACAAACAGGGCCTGGGGCACAAACACAGTGACAGAGAAATGGAGGGAAAGGGACAGGAGGAAGAGACAAGAAAAGAGTCAAAAGACAGCAATGGAGAAGAAACAACTGAACCAAAGGGTGAAAATGGTGACCAAGAGAAAAGCTGAAGATGTTCAGGCCAGTATGAAAGGACAGTATGAGAGATCTGGGGGTGCTTATGTGTTCTACTGCGGTTAGATGCAGATTTGCATCTACTCTTCTCCTGACTTAAAGACACTCCTGTGGGAGTTTATTTTGATTAGAGATCAACTGTTTAGTTGAAAGGCTTGTCTTCTTTTATAAATATATTTTAATTGTTAACATTTGTCCACAGTTTCAGTGGCATTAGTTTTTGTTATAAGCATACTAACAGTCATGTTTTCTACTGCACCACAGCAAATCCAGTTTATTAAAATGAGAACAGCTTCCTGCTTCATGAGTCAAATTTCTGGACTCTCATCTTATACATTTTGACAACACTAATGACTAAACTTTACATTACAACACAATTTTCATTGTACCCAGTGGTTGCCAGGGCAGCCAACCTGAGCAAGATGGACACGCATTTGTTTATTACCCAGTCCAGCTGCTATGACAACTGGTGTCATGACAACCAGCCCGCTCGCCTCTCGGTGAGGACCGAGGTTTCTAAGAAGAACTTCACAACATCCTCTTCATCTTTCTTGTTATTCTGCTCTCCTCTGCTAGATCCGTGACCCTAAAGCAGAGCTCCTGCCTTCTCAGAGTAGTAGCTGTCATGTCAATTCCCTCAGCTGTGGATAGGCTACATATGGTGTCAAGTATCCAGAGATCCATGGAACTAGACAAGAGTGGCTGAGTACTAAAAGTACTTCTAGTACTTTTTTCAGACCTGCTATTTTCCTTCAAGAAACCTACTAAAAGAAAGAAATCTAGATCTCACATTGCAGTGTGTGTGCGTAGAATTGATAAACCGCTTTAAAAATGAAGTGTGAAAAGTATTTGCGTGAAGGAGAAACTCCAGCAGGCTTTTTTGTTGTTGTTGGGCCAGTCAAGGATGAACAACATGAGAAAAGCGCTTCCATTTTTCGATAAAAGCCTTGAGAGGATGACGAGTGAGTGGATGCTGGTGGGAGGGGGAACGATGGTGGCGTGAATAAATTGAGTTGGACAGATAGAGAAAGGTTTGGTGATAAGGCGTTGAGTTGTTTGTGACTCATTGGTCCGACTGTGACTGTGCAATTGTGTACTTCTCAAATAGGACAGGCTTTTGTGTGGATGCGCTGCTGCTTTGTTTCAGTGTTCTTTTGTCATACACTTCTATTTGTTTCGAGTGAATCTGCTGTAACTTCTAAAAATATTAAGTCATTAGGGCCCATACATCATATTTTACTACTTCTCCATCAGACCAACCATCGGGGTTGTCAATGATATACAGATACTAATGGATACTAATTCCGAAACTAATTTAAAAACATCTAATCTATATACTCAATTCAACAAACAGTGATATTGTAAAAATAGGACAGAATTTGACCTGTCTGAATAGAATAAGACCACATTGCAGTGCAAAATAACCTTATTTTGGGATTACAGTCTATTTGTATATAGAATTTTATATATTGTATGTAAATGTGATCTATTATCATTTCAACGAATGCACTAACGCTACAACTAGGTTATATGGGGAATACTTCTATAATCTAACTTTATTGATCATCGTTTTGATATCTGTCTAGCAGCACTCAATTTTGAAAAGATTCTGAAATGTTCTCAAGTGGTTTAAGTCATGCCTCTGAATTTTCCCCAAATGCATTTGTTTCTTGGAGCACAAGGCCAAACCTTCAGTGATTGCAGGGACAAAGTAGATGTTTCATCAGCTGTCTACTGGACTTGCAGCGTGGAAGGCTTATACCCTTTTTTCTTCATGGAGGTTAAGTGCTAAATTCTTATCTGGCTAACATTCAGTCAACCAGGAATAACACACTGGTGAATACCATAAATTGGCACATTGTGATGACTAAAATTTATAGTTACGTTTTTATATCCTACTTGAAAATAATAATAAACACATCTTTCATTACACCTTTATGTATCTCCTAAAGGGCCTGTATTACCTGGAGTTGTATTTTGTTTCATTCACATGTTTAAATTACAAATACTGCATATTTAGGTGGAGATCTTCTCTCAAACAGAAATCACTGTTCCACCTTGTGATGTCATGTTGTAATACAGGAAGTGCTCCACTGTGTTTTTAAACTCTATACTTCTTCAGTGGAAGCATTTGAATAATTTCAACCTTGACATTGCACATCTCTACTAAACAAAAGGTAAACGCTAGCTGTTAACTTCCATTTCATGACATCAAGGAGGAAGCTTTTGAGCTTTCAATGTAGGCAGACTAATAAAGGATTACTCAAACATGTGTGAATGAAATAAAACACAACTCTGGGTATGTTTTTGATATGGTAACATATAACACGGCTGAAAGCTCACAAGCTCAGTTTTGTGTAATATAGTTACGTTATGCAGCTCAATTAATTTCAGTGTTTCCCTCCTTTTCTCTCTATTCTTGTTGATGTGATGCTCTGAACCCTGTAGTGTGCCCAGGCTAGTGGACTTGTATAAATGTTTGGGATTATGTAATCAAGCTCTTACGCAATACTACAAGAGGCAAATTTGCAGAGAGAGAGAAAGAGGGATTGAGAGAGGAAGAGAGAAAGTGGAGGAGGGGGGTTGGTGGGGGCGGTTCATGTTTGGATTAAACCAGATCTCACTCAGCTCAACACACACGGCCCTTTAGAAATCCACAGCTAAATCTCTGCTGGTCTATTGTGTGAAAGAGTGTGTATGTGCGGCGTGTGACTTGTGGGTACAACGGTTTTGCAGCCATATCACACAAGCTAAAATACTGATCTTATCTTTTTTATTGTTGTGTTTGAATTAATCCCCTTTCTCTTAGCTGCAGGAATGGTGATGATGAATAGATGGGTTCAGATGTGGTTAAAGCACAATAGCCTAAAAGTGTAATAATAAATTCACAGATATTATTATTATTATTATTAACATTACTGATGTGGTGAATATAGAGTGTTCATTTACTCATTGTTCAGAAATTAACTTTGTAACATGACCCATTCTGAAAACAGGACTAAACAACCAACCAAATTTCACCACCTAGCTATCACAGGTGAAGTATGTAGCCTTTTTCAGTTGAATATTTTTATGCAAATTTAAATAGAAAGGCAATACATTTTGATGTGATTTAGTATATCTAGATACAACTACTAGAAACCTGCATGTACAACAGTTTGAGAAACGAACTGTGTTACAAAAGCATGTATTGACGATTGCAGGTGAGCCCTTCTCCCTCCTGCATTAAGCCAAATGAAAGCCTCCAGAGAGCCTCTTCAGTCCTCTCCACTCTGTGTGTAATCAACAGCTGCTCGGTTCTGGCAGCACAACACATTTCTCTACACAGACTGAAGAGGACTGGCACGAGTGGACTCAAGTGAAACATGTATAAACAAAGGTGCATTTTTATATGATCACACTACTAATTCACAACTAGTACTATTAAATCACAATTGTGTTAGCATTATTGTCCCTGTAGATAAATATGTCTTCCAATATTTTGTATCTGTCCTTCACTGACTACAATGCACCACTTTGGGACAAATTTTGAGCCAGGAAGTCAGTGAGGACTACTTTGGAGGAGTACAGCCAACTGGAGCAACTGAAGCACCTGAAGAAAAGCCATCCATGCATATAGGACAAACTTCAAATTGTTCGGGATACAACCTTGAGACCATCTGGCTGTGAGGTAAGACTGCTAACCACTATGCCACTGGCACTATACGGGTCTCTGTTTACAGTATCATAGATATTAGTTGCTGTTTTTCAGTCTTTGAGAACATTACAGTATTCTTACTCCAATTAGATTTCAGGACGGTTTTGATTGAGAACATTGATCATAAACCAGAAGTGACCTCCTAAACTGGATCATTTCATGGTATTTATCTCCACGGAGACAAATATGCCAAGTTACAGGTTAGATCAGTCATTCATGGTAGAATGCATTTCATTGCATGAAACACCTAGCACCTAGCCTTTAACCATGTAATAATGCTGGTAACTCCTCAAAAACATACCGGGAGTTCTATTTTGTTTCATTCACACATACCTGCATCCCCAAAGCTCAAAACTCTCTTTTCTACTATATGATGTCATTCAGTGATACTTTTAAAGTTAAAACAGCTATTTTTAATCTTGGTTGAACTTCTTTGGTCTCTAATAACTCTCTACATTTTGTATTTTTGATTTTCCTTTTAGTAAAATTGAGATTGTCAGTAGAAAGTCTCTAATATGAGTGCACCAAGGTTTGAAGCCGTTTCAAGAAGGATAAAACAGTAGCTTGAAAGTTAAGCAAATCCAGGGACAAAATTACCCAAATTATTCCAATAAAAATGTATGGAGTGTAAACACACAGTGGAGCATTTCTTGTATTACCACTTACTGACATCATAAGGAGAAACTGTTTTCACAAAGTGTTTTCAATCTGAGAAGAAACACAGCCTAAATATGTAAGATTTGTGTTAAATATGTATGAATGAAACAAAACACAAGGAAACAACATTATAGCACAGATCAAAATAATGCAATATAAGCCCTTTAATGCCACCCTCCAATAGAAAATTACAAACTGCAGCTTTATATAGTAATAGCTGAAAATATGTAGAATATGGGAGATTTAGAAATGCGATAGTTAGTTACTAAAACACACTTAATTCACTCATTAGTCTTTACATTTCTTACTCATGTGCAGTTATGTAACACAGACAGTTATACAGGAGACTTGGCGACACAAAATGGCCTCCGTGACTGTAGGGGTCAGTAGGGATCACCGCTCATTGTGACGGCACACAGTCTTACACACAGCTGCTGCCAGCCTGACTGATGTCCAGCACACCACACAGATTTATACCCAGCACTCACAGCAACATGGGCCCGTATTTCACAGTGACAGTTTGAGGTTAGCTCTGTTGGCTATGGCAGGACCCCGTGTCTTTAACTACAGCTACAGCCTAAAGCAAGTCCATGGTTGAAATCATCCAGTGGTTCTAATGAAAGTGTATGGTATTTTAAAACACTGGAGCACTTCCTGTATTCTACAAGGTGGAGCAGAGTGTATGGAATAATATGAATATTGGATATTGGATATGGATAAATGGATAATTTGTTTCATCAAATTTTGAATTTTAAATGTGTTTTCTCACTTTGAACTCTTGAACTTTTTAACTCTGAAAATACATGTTTGATTTGATTGAATTATTTTTATTTCGAAATTCAGTTGATGAATTTTAAAATGTGCTATTTCAATGTGTTTAATATTTCAATATAAAAAAATCACCTTTTAAATATTCATCGCAGATATTTTCAAGCCCCTA